GGAGAGTTTGGTCCGTGATCCACGAAGAACCAAGCTCAGGTCAGGTTTAAAAGTTGATAGCTTGGAACAAGGTGGAATATTCATGTCCAATTGAGGAGGGGTGTGGTGTAAGACAACCAAAGCAGGAGGGGCATCAATCGGTATAAAAACCTGGTCTTTTTTTCTTCTTCTTCTATTTAGTACCCAATCTGAAGCCTTTCCTCTCTGAGCTTTTAATTCTTTCTCGTGATGAGACAAAAAATAACGCCAATAACGAAACAAGACAAGATAAATCGGAGCGTGGACCGATGTACAAAGACCGTGTGTGGAGTTTCAGGCCCCACGATAGCCTGTCATTGTTGTTTAGGCGGAGCTTTACATAGCGGGTAGGCTAAACACGGGTCGAAAGCAAAAAAAACAAGGATGATCTATGGATGATGAGACAGAGTCAACAGCAGGGCCCGGTAATGTTTGGCTGATATGATAAGAGTCGAAGGTGACATGATAATTCGGCATTTGGCTGAGAAACCTTGTACTACATACATAGCACTATGTAAAAACGTTGATTGACTGTGCCTGGATGTGTTGATCAATGGGGAAGGAGATGTACATGGAAATAACCAGGTGCCATTGGCCTACGAATGGAGAAAATGCCTCCGGTTGATGTGAGTTCCATTGGGTGGTGATGCTGTATTGGTGGGAGGCTGTTAACCAATCTCTCGGGCCTGTAGGTTGTGTGTAGGTGTAGGTGCACAGTTACCCCAATGGATGGACATGAGGTGGCCTCTCAAATCGACACGCCCTCTTGTATTTCGTTGATCATGCACTTCACATGCCTGATAGACTGACAGCTTGGTATTTGCCCATGACTGTCTTATACTCAGGCATTTGGAGTTGAACTACGGTATGGTAGTGACTGGGGCTCAGCGAGAGAAAGCTATAGAACATGGTTGCTCTATGAGGTTATTCTATAAAGGTTTCGTAGCCCGATCATCAATGACACTGTTTAGACTCTCGTCCATGCACCATGCTCTACGTAACGCCGGCTATTCTTGACATGTACGCATTCATGACATCTAGGTAACCATCACCGTCTGAACTACGCCTGAAACAACCACCACCATCTCACCAACCACGCCAAGCCAGACTATCTTTTCATCTTTCCCTCGCTACAACAACTCGTCCATTCATGCACTTCACTCAAAAAGATTATCTCACACCCTTGTCCAAAAACTGGCTGCACCGGCCCGTTTGCCATACCACGCCGTCTTGCACGGGCCGTTTCTACTTCCCGTCTTCGCATCAGATTGACTGAATTCGACTCAATTTGCCGCATCATTAGGAAATCTTGAGATTAAAAACCGCATAGACCATGCGATTGGAGAGATGCATGCGGTTGGTGGCGTGCATTTGAGATGGGATGCGTGTGTAACTTGCAGAAGAATGGTGATGTTATGCGTCTTGTTTTCATCGGACAGATTCCATCTCAAAACAAGCCCGAGTATTCCGCCCTTGGATAACGAGTCTCAGTTTGAGGTCTTGAATACTGACAAGAGGTTAACTTTCTCTCTAGAAGATCGTCAGGGGACCCTTTCCTATTCTTGATATTGTTTCTCAACTTAGATGCACCCCGCAGCTTCTCCGTGGTGGAGTAATTCCTGTGCCTCTTCAATTCTTAGTCCAACCCGAGAATGTGCCTCGGGGCAATGGACAAGAATAATTGAGTCAGATATTGGGGTAATCACGGTCCGTGTCACATGAAAATCGTGATCAATCACTATCCTCTGATATGATCATGATCAGTAGATGTCTACAGTGCAGCCTGGACATGCAACATGCACGCATCTTCTCCAACTTTCCAAGCACCGGATTCCCGTAACATCACACAATGCGGCAACAGGGATATTCGGTTTTCACCTGAGCCCACAGCCGGCCGGAGTACCGGGGGCCCGCAACGGGACCGGACAACTGCGTTTTTTTTTCTGCGTGTAAGCACTTGTTACATTCAAACAGTGATGCACATCTACCTGAGTACCTAGACATTGATGTTAGCCATTTTCTGAATTCCCCGCATCTCTTTAGGTTGCTCGCTGCCCGATGCTTTCCGGGGTCATATCATCCACTCACGATCAGCGGGGAAACCTCGTGGTGTCGATGGCAGGCTGTAACTTTGCAAGGTCTTGACTTCGAGAGAGAAAAAAAGAAACATCACTTGGAGATGCATCAGAAATGCAACGTCGGTCCGGGTCCGATATGATCCGACTAGGAGGGCTGGGCATCCAAGCCTGATTCGAGGACATGCAGTATGAGGCTTTCTACGTGATCGAGATGAGATGTTGGAGCCAACATGAAAGATAATTCTAGATATTTCGCTTGATGGAGTTCCAAGTTTAGCTGTGAACTTGCTTCGGGAATTCGGGATAAAGTAAACTTAGCTTGGACATGGTTTGCTTACCCCACAGCACCAACACCACTTTCTAGACAGGTTCCAACATATCGCGAGCTTCACTCAAGCCAGTCTCCTCATTACCAGCTCATCTAGTCTGTACATACGTGTTTCCAACAAAATCATAGTAACATTAGGTAAAAAGAGGCCCCATCTGCATACATGCGGACCTATCAACTTGACTGTCTTCAAAAGCCGCACCTCGATCGAGGGTGTTCAGTACCCGGTGGGACTACATCTTGGATCACAGTCTAGAAGCTCGCCTCAACTCCCGTGCATGCATGATCTGTTACAACGCCTCTGCTTGACAAAAGAAAAAAGACTGGCAGACTGAGAAGTATTGCGTGAGATTCGGAAGTCTCCCGTGCTGAGCGCCGCGTGTGCACCTAGAGATCGCATTCTGAAAGATAAGCCCAAGCACGTTTTCCTACGCCTCAAACACTATCCAGTGAAACATGCACGGCACAGCAAACTTATGAATCACTTCAGGGGTATCTTGACTTGTAACAGTAACAAACACCATTTTCGGGATTCTAATTCCGCCAGAGCCGAACGGCCTTGTCTTTACCACCGCTGCCAACCCTCTTTCCATCTGGTGCCCAATCCACCGCGTACACCTCGTCCTGGTGGCCGGGGAGATCCACGGCGAGTTTGTGAGAGGCCATTGACCACACCTTGAGTGTTGTGTCCTTTGATGCTGTGACGAGAAGACGTGAGTCTGCTGAGAAGGCGCATTGGTAGACGGGAGCTACGTGGCCGCGGAGGGTGTTGATGAACTTGCCGTCCCTATTATTGTTAGTATACGGAGTTGAATGTGGTTTGGAATGGCTTACCTGGCACTCCAGATCTTGGTGTGGTTATCCCATCCTGCACTGGCAATGAGAGATCCATCAGGGGAGAAAGTGACATGGTTCACCTGCTTCTGATGTCCCAACATACGCGCAACAGGCTTTGTGCTCTGAGCTGGGTCCCAAAGATACATAGTGAAATCATCACTAGCAGTGACCAACCGCTCAGCGATCCTCCCCTGGAACTTGGCAGCCTTCTCAAACCTCTCCTTAGCCTTGCTTCTCTTTCCCTCTTCCGTTTCAGGAACAGGTGTGTGGTCGTAGAATCCAGTCCTCAAGACAAAATCTGTCGAGAGTGCAAGATGGTTCACCCAATGGACATGAGATGACAAGGTGTGCACAAGAGTTCCCTTCTCAGCATTCCATACTCGGACCGTCTTGTCGTGACTGGCGCTGTATACGAGACCCTCGCCTCCCCATCGCACACAGCTTACACTGCTCTTGTGGCCAGATAGGACATGCTCCGTCTTTCCTGTGTTGACAACCCATATCCGGACTGTTGCATCTTTGCTTGCACTGGCTAACCGAGGTGTGCCGTCTCTCCAGAGATGATAAGGCTCCCAGACGATATTGGTCACCCACTTTGAGTGACCTGTCCAGGGGTTCCCAACAGCTTTTCCAGTTTCAGGGTCCCAAAGTCGAACAGACTTATCCATACTTCCAGTAGCGAGACGTGCACCATCAGGGGACCAAGCAACTGCCAACACCCATCCACCATGGCCGGAGAGTGTGTACTTAGGTGTTCCGGTATCAGTATCCCATATACGCGCTGTCTTATCTCCAGAACCTGTCGCTAATCGATTACTGTTCTTTGGGCTAAATTGAGCTGCGAGAATTGCTTCGCCATGACCGGGGATCTTATGGGACATGCGCGTTACGGGCTGGACCTTGAAGACAGCCTGAGGCTCGGCGCTAAGTGTGACAGTCGTTTCGAAAGGGTTCTCGATGCCATGGTTGCGGAGAAGCTGGAGGAGATCGGTAGGGTATTGGTCCACGATGATATCGCTATCTGGGATGTGAATTCGGAATCGATATGGCAGAAATTCTTCTTTTTCCTGCATCAAGTCAGCAAAGTCCTCACTATCGTCTCATAGCAGGTCACATACTCTAGCAAGTAAGGTATTTAACAAAAGCGACAAGTTCTTTTCTGAAGCATCCGCAAGAGGAACTTCAATCACATCTGCCATCTGCTTTCCATCTCCATCCAAGAATCTCGCCTTGAACGACCCAGCGGGTCCAGACGCAATCGCTGTAACATCTTGTTGGATCTGAGAGCGCTCAAGCTCTTCTCTCTTCTGCCGTTTCGACGGCGGGGGCACAATTGTCGCCATTTTGGTATTTGTCTTGATGCTTCACAAAGTCTGGAGATTTTCAAAAGCGGGATGGTGGGGCAGATTTTGGCAAAATCTTTAGAAATTTTGGCGGTGAGGAGCTGCAGTGATGGTCTAGGCCTCGATTCCAAGTGACAAAAAGGTTTAGCATAAGCTCGGGTGGCTCGTTGATGAGTTAATTTTGGCATCGTATTGCAAGGTCCAAAGTTTCTTACTCCCCAGGGACCATGCCCATTCTACCTAAAACTCTACTAACAATTTTGGCACAAGCCCCCGCATAAACCCGTTAGCGACATGCCTTGCCAGGCTGTCTTTCTTTAAAAAGAAGTTCAAAAAACCACACACAAAGCATCATTTTAAAAAGGCTCCCGTTTCCCAAACGCCTGGTTCTCCTTGCTATTGAGTTTGTTGTCCACCTTGAGAAGTCCGTCCGCGCATCCTCTTATTAGCCGGAGCCACGTAATGCTGAAACTGCGGCATGTCCATCGTAGGCACGGCAATTGCGGCCTGTTGAGGATTCTGCGGGAGATACAGCTGTGATTGCATCATGGCCTGGGCCTGAGCCTGGGCCTGGGCCTGCGCTTGTGCTTGGGCCTGTGCTTGGGCTTGCACTTGGGCTTGAGTGGTTTGTTGGGGCAGTTGTTGTTGGATGTGCTGATGCATTTGCTGCTGCTGCTGCTGCTGCTGCTGCTGCTGATGGCTCTGCTCCACTACTTGCTGACGACGTTGCCTGGCCCGCTGCTTCTGCACAGAGGATTGCCTCTTTGTCTCCTCAATTTGTCGATGGCGCTTGTCTTGAGCTTCTTGTCTCTTTTGTCGTTGCAGATCCTCATTCTGAACAGCATAGATGGCTGCAACGCGAAGCTGAAGATGCGAAAGCTGCGCAACACGATCCGGATGCGACATCTTGCGATATTCGCTCTTGAATTGATGGAAAGTTTCACCGGTCAAGCGAAGGACTGCGTTTGAGACACCCGCGACCTGGATTGCAGCTTGAGTCTCGGCATCAGGTTGTGGCCCTTCGTCTTGCCAAGGTGTCAGGAGCGGTGTCGCAACCGGATCCAAACTGTGCTCACCTTCCAGGTCGTCCATCATATTCGCCTCGTCCTCGCTCGCAGCTTCGGGGGTTGGTGGTTCGGGTGTACCGGGCTCGTGGTTATGCTGATTGCAGGTAATCGTCAAGACCCATCCTCCCATAGTCTTTCGATGAACCGCCTTTGCTTTCCAAGGACAGTCCGTCTTCTTTGTCGTTGTCTTGTGTTTTGTCGCCATGCATCGATAGGGCCTCCCGCCTCGATCGCAGACAAGATCGCATCGTACTATGTCATTCCCTGGGACGTCGGCACCACCTACTTTGCCTCGATGAGATCTAGCCTTGACAATCTTGTAGCCCTCCTTTTCCATGCGGTCGCTGAGTTCTTTGAAAAGTTCTTCATAGCTGTTGAAGATGCCCGAATGAGGCACGGAGACGGCCTCGAGAATGCCAAACATGATGAGTTCAAAGAACGCGATCAACGCGTTCGGAGCTCAACGATGTGTGGATTTGGTGGTTAACCGGTGTCAGGCGTGGCCGCGCGTAAGGTAGCGGGGACTGGACTGGGAGGGTTGAGGAATTTCCGTGCGGAAAATTCTCGGCTGATTTTGAGGACTTCCGTTGTCGCTCACTGAGGTGCTCGTGTAACATGAGCTGACGCGTTGGATGATAACTTTCATCCGATATTATGCCTTATTGTGATCCCTTGTCTCTATTATTTTGTTAACGCTGGGCATGAAAAGCCCGCTTACCAAGGTGGAAACTCACCTTTACTGACATTTCTTTCCCGGAGCCTTGGTTGAGCCTGAGCGTGCACTGTATTCATTGGCACAGGCAGTGTCTAGGGTATTCAGCTTTCAATAGTTCTCATGGTTGCGCAATGTCCTTGCTTTATTTCTTGCAACGTCGCCAAAAGGACTTATGATGTAATGTCAAGTCTAAGACTCGTGAACGCATGACTTTATTGTTTATTGTGTGAGAATTGAGTTGTCCTTCGTTATCTCATTGGTTTGAAGCTTATTTCAGGGCACGAATACCCGCTCATACTCACGTACGCTGTTCATTGCTGTGACCTGGCATCATCCCCAGTTGAACAAAAGGACCGAAGTAATAGGTACCTTCGGGTTGCCTCCGGCATTCGAGCTGCTCTTGGTCTATCTGTCCTGACGTCTCGGGTAGCCGGCTCAGCTCGTTCGGCAACAATCTACAGGAACCAAGGGGCTCGAGTGTGATTGACCTCCATACTATCATTGTCTACTAGGTTTCTTGATATTCACTATCTGACCTGACTCTTGATACAAATGTGGCCAATGGCAGTAGATCTTTCTTTTGATACGGGTAAAGCTGATAAACGGAGTGGGCTGAAGTGTCAAGTTGGGTCCGGGTAACAGTTATCCAATCTGCCCCAGATTTTGAACTCCCGCTACCCCAGATTATCACTGATCCTCAGGATGTTAGCTCCCATCTATCATCACTAGCTTCACTTCTGCATGATAGCTAGATATGATCAGCCCGTTCATGAGCGGGGGAAGTGGCCGGGTAGCAGTTAACCAGCTTGACATTGTCAGGTACAGGGTATATTGATAAGACGCAGCTAAAGAGAAATTGTTATATAAACTCACAAGAATCTCGACGTCCAAAGAGAAAGATGTTAGAACTGTATACATAGTGTCTTCTTAGTTGCGCTATCAAATTCTCATCAACAATGGTTGACTTTACACTTTCTCCCTCTCAGCTCGAAGCCCGACGACATGCTCAGGCCTTCGCATCCACCGTCCTCACCAAAGCTTCAGCAGAGTACAGCACTCAGAAAGACCAGCTCTCTCGCTTCCAAGCTACCAGACCCTTTTATAGGGAAGCTGTTCGTCATGGCTTGATCAAAGCTCAAGTTCCTATTCCCCTTGGCGGAACTATGGAGAGCCTTGTTCACGAGAGCATCATACTTGAGGAGCTCTTTGCAGTTGAACCAGCAACTTCAATCACCATCGTTGCTACTGCGCTTGGGCTGATGCCCGTGATTCTTTGCGATTCACCTTCTTTGCAGGAGAAGTTCTTGAAGCCTTTTATTTCTGGCGAGGGAGAACCTTTGGCTAGCTTGATGCACTCTGAGCCGAATGGAACGGCGAATTGGCTACAGAAGGGGGGACCAGGTCTTCAAACGACAGCTAGAAAGGTTGGAAATGAGTGGATCATCAATGGTGAAAAGGTTTGTCTACTTCCTTTGCACACACCCCAACTTTATACTAACGTCTGTGTTTAGCTCTGGCCTTCAAATAGTGGCGGTTGGGATTATAAAGGAGCTGATCTTGCATGCGTCGTCTGCAGAGTCTCTGACGATCCATCCAAGCCCCAAGATCCTAACGTTGATCCAGCAACGCAGATTGCTGTACTATTGGTGACTCGGGAGACAATCGCCAATAACAAGAAGGATGCCTATCAGATCTTAGGCGAGCCTGAGCTTGCAGGTCATATCACCACGTCTGGTCCCCACACTCGCTTCACTGAGTTCCGTGTTCCTCACGAGAACCTTCTTTGCACCCCCGGTCTCAAAGCGCAAGGTCTTGTCGAGGCAGCTTTTGCCATGTCTGCTGCTCTCGTTGGCGCCATGGCGATCGGGACTGCCCGCGCTGCATTCGAAGAAGCTCTCGCCTTTGCCAAATCCGACACCCGCGGTGGCTCCAAGCCTATTATCGAGCATCAGAGTGTAGCTGATAAGCTCATCGACTGCAAGATCCGTCTCGAAACAAGTCGTCTGCTTGTATGGAAAGCAGTGACCACCCTTGAGGATGAAGCTCTTGAATGGAAGGTCAAGCTTGAGATGGCGATGCAAACCAAGATCTACACAACCGATGTTGCGGTTGAATGTGTCATCGATGCCATGAAGGCTGTTGGGATGAAGTCTTATGCAAAGGATATGTCTTTCCCGAGGTTGTTGAATGAGGTTATGTGCTATCCGTTGTTTGATGGAGGCAATATCGGTCTTCGACGACGACAGATGCAGCGCGTTATGGCTTTGGAGGGCTATGAACCTTGGGCAGCTACTTATGGATCTTCCAAGGTTGATAAATCTCGCCTATGATGATATCATAGACATGGATCATACACAAGTGTCCGAAAGCAAGTTTGATACAGTCGTGTTGTTTATGGAAGCCATCGTATGCCTCGTGGGATATATTTGCCTCTATGTGAAGCGAGCCAATGCCATCGTAGATTTCTAGAATGACATTAAGGACCACCACCTTTGTCGAGTTGGCGAAGATAATACTGCTCAGCGGGCAACAAAAGGTCATTGACCAGACCAAGGAGAGCCCTTTCCTACAGATGAGCATACCTAGAGATATAGTGTACTGGACATTTACCATCCTGCTTCACACAAAGTAACGATAAAGTCTCAAGTCTCGTCACGATGTCGTGCGGAATTAGTGGATTATCCTCTTCGCAGGAAGCGATGTAATGTGCATAAAGCGACTGAACATGCGGTAGAAGGCTTGTTGTGTATCCCATGATGCTTTCACTAGCCTGTGCATTGGATTTCTCACCCCTTGGCCAAATGGGAAGCGTTCGCGGCAGTGTTTTAGAAGACTTGCCGGGACTCGGGTTCCTCAGAACTTGTAAGGACAGGCCGAGTAGAGGATAGACAGGCGGCGTCAAAAGCCCCCTCGAGACTAATCATCGAAATTTCGAAGAATTGCTGGTCGCCTCTCTAGGGTAAGGTAATTATTTGTTCGTGATTCGCGTTGGCACCAAGAACTTGTTCATTGTCCTGGTCCAACGACACAACTTATTTTGGGCACAACTACAATTGCGAATGTCAGCTGTAGGGACTAGAGAACTGATGCCGTAGACTTGAAATTAATGCTTTCAGAATTTCTGATGATGGCAAACCTTTTGACTTGATATATCACACTTTTGAGTTTAGAGAAACCGTGAACTTGAAACAGTGTATCCAGAGTAAATTGTTGATCAGTGCTCGGATATTGCTAGCACTGTGATGGGAGCCAAAGGTAAGATGCCATCTACCAGGGTGTCGCGGGACTGGAATTGACAAGATGCAGGGAGCGATCTCATGCTCATCAAACTTGCCACGGAAGCGTTCAAAAAAACTGGATGGCCTACAAGTATCCAGACGGGTCGCTACATGTACCCTGTTGCTGATAATGCGAGGAATGTTGGTTCAGCGCCTAGTGGCAGTCTGGCGTACGAGACGAGACAAAAGCTCTCAGGGAGCTTCACAGAGCGTCTGACATACGCTTTGACTAATTTAATAAACGTAGTACTTCGATTTGCAACGTCATCTAACAAAAGCCCTCTCAGGGGGTGGTGGTCAGGCAAGTACAAGAGCAGTGCAGGCTGTCAGAATAAGCCGCGAGCAGCTAATATTCGTAGTATTCAATACAGCCCTTTCTCCTAAGATATATGTCCCTATTTAAAGCTTTAATAACAATTATTAAAATTAGACATATTACTTTAAAACAGGATCGGCAAAGGCAACATATGACTCTCTTGAGTAGATGCGCCGCCAGTTCACAGTTCGACCTACAATAATGCCGTTTAAGTAATGTTTAATAACACTAAGGTCTTTATAGCTCCTCTAGCCTTCTTAAATCGATACCCCTAGAGATGTTTGTCCAAGCCTTGCCCTCTCAGTCAACAGAGTCACGATCTCACCATGTCCTGACTCTATTGCTAAGGAGACAGGTGTTTTATTACTATCATCCATAACGCATAACTCAACTCCAGGAACAGCAAGTAAGGCCTTGACTATCGCAACATATCCCCTCCATGCTGCCCACGACAGCGGAGTCTTTCCGTGGTGCTTCGCGCTCGCTTTTGCACCAGACGATAAGAGCATCCTGGTGGCATTCAAGAGCCCAGACTTAGCAGCAGCCAGTAGTATCTGGTCTCTAAAGTATTGCGCTGGTTGGAGCTCGTTTTCACGTACGATATCGTAGCCTAGAACAAGTTTAACCCAGTGCTGAAAGAAGTAAGTTGCGACTCGGTCTCGAATATTAGAAACAAAACTAAAGATATGCTCGCTTAATTCGTCTCTTTGTTGGCAAGCATCCATATGGTACCTCAAATGGGATAATGCGTATACTGCCAAAGGCCTGTCATTCAAGAATCGTGCAAAGGCCAAATAATGTTGTAACGTCCAGCTATCCAGGTCAGGGAAATGGGTACACTCCTCTGGCCCTATCGAGCAGAGCATGAGGTACCTAAGACAGGTTATTGAGATAAGAAAATGGGCATCTTTTTCGGACATCCTGAATTCAGAATTGGCGACATTGCCATCAGGACTGAGAAGGAATTCTCGAGCCGTCTGATGCATGACTTGCACAACTTCTTCTCCTACCAATTATTAGGTTTGATTCACCAATGTAGAGATTCTCTCACCATTCTGATCCGTGATTTCCAGAAAGTTGCCTCCGCAAAACCAGATGCGTCGCTCAGATGGCAAATGTTTTTCGATGTAGTCATTGGTAGGGACGAACTTCTGACCAGTGCTTTCTACCACGCTGAGGGCGTGAAGAACTTCACAGATGGTAAGAGGCCGTTGACAGTAGAGCACGAAAGAGAACATCCTGACGGTGTCGCGAGTTTGCTTCTTCTGCTTCCGTATCTTGATGAACATATGCTTATAATAGTCCTCGAGTTCAGTTGGAAGGCTCCTAAGTAGCTCAAAGACTTCTCCCTGAGAGGAACCGCTTTCTTGTGAGGCCAATAATTCTTCGCCGACAAGCTTCACCCATAAAAAGACCCCCTGGGCGTGATCTAGGATATAATCCATTGCCTCGCGATAAACCTTTGTCATTTCAAGATCGTCGAGGAATGAACGAGCGTACAAGCTAATTGCTTCCTTAGTCTCGTCTTGAAGTCTGATCAAGTTCAATGTTGTGCAATTTTTAAGCTTGTGCTCGCCTATTGGCCGGCTTGCAACAAACGCCTTGACTGTACTTGGAGAAGCAACTGAGCAGAGCTCTGACAGCAGTGTGAGAATGCTTCGTCTGTCTTTATCGTCTGACTCATCTACTGCATCGATGATAAGATATATGTGCCTCGTTTGTCGATGGGTCGCGAGCGATTTTAGGAGTTGTTGAAGTGAGTTGTAATCCCATTCCCACTCTCCAGGGTAGTCCGCTTTCAGCTTTTGATGCTTCCTGTATTCTGTCTGACCCCGGTGGTAAAAGAACGTCTCATCTTCATCTATTATATCGTAAAGAATGGACCGAAGCATGTTCCTGTGACTTCTCTGTAACTCGCCTTCTCGGTAACTGTAGAAGAAGCTGGCAACGACAGCGCTTTTGATCGGTGGGTGATGCTCCAAAGCCCCTTTGTGAAAAAACCGTGTTAGTGTACTTTTGCCGCTGCCCGGTTTCCCTTCAACCAGCAACAGTCTTGAACTCTTCGAAGATGACCACTCTTTGAATTGCGGCTGTTTCCAAAGCCAGTCACACGATCCTTTGTGTTCAGTTGATATCTTGTTCATACGCGTGTTGTCAAAGCGAAGACTTGATAAACATGCTTAAGACAATTAGCATAGTCGGGTTAAAGAAAGATGCAAGCATACCTGCCCTTTCTCTATCATGTTCGATGAGCGAAACGCCTCTGAGGGTCATTCTGATGTCGTGGTGCATCTCTCCGGTTAGAAGTACCCTGATCTCTGGCGCTTCACTTTGAAGGTGATCCAATAGTAGACGGAGAGAGTGGTGAAACCTAGGTTGTTTCTCTCTTGGGTATCCCAGTTCATCCACAACTACAAGTTGAATGTTATGCCGTTCATGACTAATGAGGGTTCCCAGGCCTTTGCCATGTAATCTTCTCGTAAGCCAAGCATTTCGGTCAATACAGCGTCAAGACTATCACTCTGAAGAATTTCACGCTTGTTAGAGACGTCGAGAGGCTCTATGGCTCTGTCCTGCCAGTAGCTGTCCATGAGACTCGTGAAAACGAGCTTTGCTAATATGATAGTGCTTGCAGGCGATTTCTGGAATATTCGGTGCATAAAGGTGTGTGCCAAAAATTCGAAATCAGTCTTCTCGGAGCAGCAGAAATGAAGGCCATACTTGTCATTCTTCGATGTCTTTGGTAGTTGCATCTCTGCAATTTGTCGAGATATTCCCTTGAAATTGAGCCCTGCTGACCCAGATACCCATAGGGCTTTGGTTGAGGTTCCTTTTTCCCAATACCTAAAGTCAATGTTCTTGAACACCCAATGATACATTCCATCGTCGGGGTCCACAGGCTGTATCGCCAAAGATTGTCTGCTCTGGTTGACTGGTGATAGCATCGAGACAAACCTACTTGCTGACTTATCATCCATGCTATTGATAAATAACTTCTGCCTTTCTTTGACTGACTAAGGAAACATGTTAACTCAATGTCACAAGACGAGCCCTAACCATGTTACCTTTGCATCCATTAGTATTCCTTTGTCCAACGTAGGAGTTAGCAAAAGGATTTCTTTGGCGCACGCAGCTGCTGTGGCAGCTGCGTAGGGTTGCCAAGCCTTATTCTTATGTGAATCCGAGTAGTCACAGATTCCCCGAACAACAAGACAAGGGAAATTGTTCATGAGCCCTGCACCTTCCATTTCGAAACATAAAACTCCACCCAGCTCGTTACTGACACTATCTCTCATTATGCCATCTCGCATGACTCGATTTCCAGACGCAATTGTTCCAAAGTGAACAATGGGTTGGTCACTCACACGTTGCTCTCGATTTATCTGCCACTGCAATTTGCACATATCGCAGTTCCCACCAGAGACATGCTGATAGGATGGCTCAAACAAGATATCAGGCTCAACATTAGCGCAATTAAACATCGACCTTTGTGTGAGTATGCCTAGATGCTTTCCAATCCCATTTCGCTTACAGAACTCATTAGCTCGGAACTTGGAAACGACATTCAGCAAGACTCTAGGGGGAGCATTCAGAGCTCCTGTTCTCTCGAAGCCACTTGGAGTTGACTTTCCGGAGTCATATTGTACTACACCGCCATGCTGCTTGTCTGGTTGACTGACGACAACATCTCCAAGTCGTATATCAGCTGTACTACTTGGAACGCCCCCGCCAATTCCAACCATCAAACCAAAACGGATTGAGGTGAACCGTGCTTTCATCTCAGTTGCGACGACAGCAGCAACATTGTTTCCGATCTGGCCTGATGGAAGACAGACAATGACGACGTTGTGATCGCCTATTCTGCCAAGAGTATACACATTCGTATCCTCGCGATAATCGTGGGGGAGTTCAGGGTGTTGATCGTCGAGCATCTCCTGGGCTGCTGCAAGCTCAATCGGAAGAGCACATATCCAACCGACGGTATAGTCAGCGAGCTGAGGTCGATGTCTCTTCATAATTACGCGGGACTATGAGAAGACTGAGAGACGTGGGAAATAACATGAATATCTTGGCCAGAGTCTAGGAACGCTTAGACAAATACAACAGTCCCAGGAACTGTTGTCGTCGTTTCGAGTGCTGTAGAACGGATGAAAGCGGGGCTGTGAAGTGAGGCGAATAGACTGGCTGCCCTGGTTGGTCAGATGCAATGGAGTTCCAGCCTTATGTTTCTTGCCGGCTCGATGGGGGTATGAGGCTCTGACACGCTCTTTCATGGGCTAGAGAGACGATCAATTAACCCTTTGTATCCTGAGCCTGGCTCGATAGACCGATAAACGTCACCGGCCATCGTAATCAACCCTGTTAGCCCAACAAGTTACCTAGGTATGTACTCGTTCCTACCTACCAACTTACTGCTATGTACGGAGTATTGAGAACTCTGATCAAGCCTTACAGGATTGTGTCTGTAGCCCGATAATGGTGTGCCATAACATCTGAACAATAAGGGCAACTGGCTAACGTGAATCTCAATCTTCCTTAATTACTATTACTGGCTACTGCTTATAACAAGGCTAGGTTATCATTATAGTGTAAATATAGTTCTTCTACCTTAAGTTATATTACCCCTCTGTCGAGGGGTGATGAATCCACTGTTTTACCTTAAGCTGCTGGATACCTTAGCACTCCCGTGCGCGCCACGTGGGCCCCCGATCTGCCTTCTCTCCACCTCTTGAGCCCCATTCTCTTTCCTTATCGAAGGCGATTTCCCAATTCGGTAATCCCATCTTTGACAATACAAGGCCTCTTAAACCTCAATTTACAACGGAACCCCAAAACACTCGTACTCAGGGTCAGACTCCAGCAGAAATCTTTTCGGGGTGCCTTGCTCCCGTTATTGCTCTTTTTATTAATTTGGCGTAGGTATGGAGCGAGAGGATGCTCCTCTGCTCGGATCACGGCCCTCAACCAATACCGAGGCCAGCCAGAGACCACAGCCCGTTCTAGATATTTGGTAGGGCTTCTCCCCAAGCTTCAAATACTAATTGGGCTTGAACTGCTCTACGAGCTCGCCATGATGATTCTGACCGTGCCTATGGTATCTGCTCTGGAGGACGCCCTTTGCATCCGACACTATCACGGTAACATCCCGCCATTCAAACTCTACAAACATCCTTCAATCCGCGAAACTTGGCCGAGATTCGAGGCTGGACAGCATCCTTCGAGACATTCTCCGGTAAGGACCATGGTTCTTATGATCAGATTTGACACTGATGTCCCTGGCAATCATCATTGTTGCGCTGCCCCTTGGTCGCATAGCTGATCATACGCGGTGCGTTCATGGTCGTTGTGACGGGCATCTTGACGAGCATCATTTGAACTCTCATAGTCCGTAAGTGTTACATTGGAGGCAAGTAGAACATCGTGGAGCTAAATGCGCAACAGCCACCAACCCTGTACTCCCGGTCAAGCTGGTGTGGGCTTCTGCCCCCTTTCTATTCGCGGGAGGAGGAAGATACGCTGCTGAAATGTTACTTGCCGCGATAATTGCAAAGGTATGCACCAAGAAGACAAGGTAAGATTCAGCTCTCAAGTCGCCAAAAGGCGAGCTTACGCTTATAGGACTCAAGGCCTCTACTACTTCTATTCATGCTTCATCTTCAGCGAACTGGTGGGCCGTCCGATTGCATCCATCGCTGCTGACATTTCACCATGGCTGCCCTTCCTCATCAGCTATGTCTTGCTATTTTTGACCTTTCCGCTCCTTGTGATCATGCCAAAGGATCATAAAGCCCCAGCCCCAACCCCGCCGACTGGTGACCCGGCTGAAGACTTGCCAGCGTCGCAGGAGCACGGCCGCAGTATCCTTCAGACGGTTCTCCATGCTTCGCTTGATCAATTCTGTCTTTTCTGCTTCATGCTTTTTGATCATAATATGTGCCTGGCGGCAGTAGTATTTCTTATCAGCACTTTTCGAGGAATCTCACTCCGCGCTCTCGCACAGTATGCACCTTCTCGGCTTGATTGGAAACTTTCCAGGGCAAGTTTGGCAGCTCACAAATTTTGGCATAGAAACTAATACGCGAACCAGACAAATACTCTCATTAGTGAAGTCGCTCTTGTCAACCTGGTCTTATTCTTTTTCATCATGCCTGCTCTGTTGCGCATCGTCAGCAAATACTTGAAGCCCACACCCCAGGTCCTGAATCTTGTAATTGTGAGGGTTAGCTTGTCACTGCTCTTCGTAGGGTCAATCTTACTTGCCTTTGCCACAAACTCAGCCTTTCTGATTGCGGGTGAGTTGAATTCTTTTCGCGACTTTCGAGTTCTTTTGCTGAACTCCATGTAGCAACGATGGTCTACGGTCTCGGATTCGGTGCCCGCTCGACACTGTTGTCACTCGTCACCTCATGGATTGACCCCAAACGCGCCGGCACCCTTTTCAGTGCCGTGTTTCTCGTCGAGCAAATTGGTATGCTCGGGGGAGAACCACTGGTGCAGAATGTGCTTGGGATTTCCTTCGGGTTGCAAGATCCTTGGAAAGGCTTGCCGTTCAGCTGCACTGCTGTGAGCCCCCAAGCCCCAAAGAGATTATGACTATTCTAATAAGCGGCCAAGGCCTTCTATCTAATCAGCCTCGTTTGCGTGTTTTTGATAAAAATACACCAGGAGTAACAGCCTGAAACTTTGTGGGTGTCGACATGTCAAGGAAGATCTGATTGTAAGTCCTTTGAGTTACTACGCACTTTAGCTTACTTTGATAGAAGATTTACGACAAGCCTTACCAATAAGTAGACTCTTATTCTCTGAGTCACTCGAGAGAGCATCGCCAATAACCGCAAGGGTGCCTATCAGATCCTACCTTCGAGTCTAAGCTAACGGACCTTTAAATGGCATTTCGTGCTATCAACTATTTTATGGAGGAAATATTAGTCTTTGCCTACAATAGATATAATACGTCATCATTCTAGAGGATTATAGACTTTATGCGCTTACTTGTAGGTTTCTTAGGCTAATAAGTCTTGACTATGATGCAGGGATCATCGGCGTCTCTTAGGTTCAGTCACATTTCTTGTCACTTTAGATGAATACTACAGTTGCCTTGTAAGACTTCGCAAGTAATATAAGAATGAGCATAGAAAGTATTGATAGTGCGTAGATGGCGTATCAATGATTTTTCGTGGAGTTACTCGATATCTAGCTTGGTGGTGCTCACCATGACTGCTCCTTCCCAAAACTCGCTCAGGGTCTTGCGGCTCCTCATCACCAACGCAGGAAGGTACCGCCAGTTCTATACACCAATCCAAGCGCTCATGCAAAACCTTACTCTGAATCAGAAAAAGACCATCGCGCTTCATCCTTGCACTTGAACACCGCTCTACCTGCCTACCACAACCCCACACAATGCCGTTTGTTGATCACAGCGAATCGATCGCAACATGGATGTGAATACAGAGCTATTTCGTTCTATGCCATCTAGAACCGACAGCCGTTCATCTTCGAGTTACTTCCAAAGCAGCGATAGCCAAACACGTCTCGATCACCCTACAGCTTGGAGCTCTTTGGCTGCCAGACGACCACAGACCAGTCTAAGCGAATACTCTGGATACGAACATTCAGGGAACAGCACAAGACCCAACATCTCAAGACCCTCTACTGTACGCCCTGGATCGAGACCTGGTACAGCATCTGGAAGAAAGTCTCGCAACGGAACTGCCTCCTCCATACTGGGGCTTAGCGAAGCGCAGACCATTGTATGCGCTGTGAGCGAGGCTCGCGGAGTTTCTCCCGCAGTTGGTATCGCCTTCGTCAATGTTTCTCTTGGTGAAGTTGTTATAAGTCAAATATGTGACAATCAATCATATGTCAAGACAATTCACAAGATCCAGCTGTCTGCACCTTCGCGCATACTCTTCATGTCTACTGCCTGTCCCCCAAACAACCCCAGCACCCTCTTTTCTCTCGTACAAGACCTCATTCCCGAAGCTCAAATTGACGCATTGGAACGGTCAGCATGGTCTGAGACAGAAGGACTGGAGTATATTCATAACCTAGCTTTCAAGGATGACATCGAACCCTTGAAGGTGGCTACACAGGGCAAGTTCTACGCCATTAGCTCTCTTGCAGCTGTAAGTCAGATCAACTGGGAATCTCAGCGAAGATTTTAACGCGCGGTACAGGCAATGAAGTATATTCAACAACTCTTCTCCATCAACTTCGTGCCGCACTCGCTGCGCATTCAATATCGACCTTCAGAAGATACCATGATGATTGACATTTCGGCTATTCAATCACTTGAGATAATGCAGAACATCCGCAGCCCAAAGTCGAAAGATTCACTCTTCGGTCTGCTGAACCATACATGCACTCCGATGGGTTCAAGGATGCTTCGTAGCAATATCCTTCAGCCATCCACTCGCCCAGATCTCTTCATCACTCCTAGATATGATGCACTCGATGAGTTGACTACCAATGAAGAAATGTTCTTGGAGATTCGCAAGGGTACGTTTCGTAGTTATAGCATCGAATCTCGCTAACTCGAGCAGCCCTCAAGCTTTTTCATGACACGGAAAAACTCCTGACCAAGGTAAACTGGCCGCCTGATTGATGAATATCCTGCTAACTCCCATAGTTGATCATTGTTCCCACTAATGCCGATGTCCAACAAGTCGAAGAACAGATCAATCAGGTTCTTATGATCAAAAGCTTTCTCGAGTCAATCCCTGAACTTCACACGGCGTTGGGTCCTGCCAACAGCGTCTTACTAACCAAGGTCCGAGAGTTGTGTCGCCCTGAGATCACAAGCCATAGTCTCAACAAGATCCGACAGACCATTGAAGCAGACGTCACTTACATGAAGTCTGCCCTGGACCTTCGCAATCAGAGGACCTTTGCTGTCAAAGCGGGTATCAATGGAATGCTTGATGTTGCTCGCCAGACATACAAGGAGCTCACCGAAGATATTCACAAGCACATCGATGTTTTGAATGGTACGAAACATACCTTTTGTGCACCATGTTGCTAACAGGATCTAGAGGTACACCGGCTTGATGCTAACCTTCGATACGATAACGGGCGCAAGTATTGGCTAAGGCTTCGAGCGGTAGATTTTGATGATCGTCCTCTTCCGGATCTCTTGATCAATGTGGTGCGAAAGAAGGACAAGATTGAATGTCAGACACTTGACTTGGTCAAGCTCAATCTGAGGTTATCTGATACCTCCAATGAGGTTGTCATCCGAAGCGACAAGGTTGTGCAAGACTTGCTAAAAGAACTACGCTCTGATGTTCCACACCTGTTCCGGGTCTGTGAATCGGTTGCCCTTGTCGACATGATCTCTTCCTTTGCGCAGCTTGCAACTACCCGAGACTACGTGAAGCCAGATCTCAGCACAACGCTCGCATTGAAGGCAGCGAGACACCCTGTCCTCGACAAGGTCAGTGCGAGAAGTCGCTACTGATAACACACTGACTGACTGATCTAGGCCATGAACGGCAGCTTTGTACCCAATGATTACTACTCCACAGAGCAGTATTGCTTCCATATCGTGACTGGATGCAATATGAGTGGGAAAAGCACGTACATACGGGCGGTCGCGTTGCTTCAGATCATGGCGCAAGTCGGATCTTTTGTGCCTGCCGAGTATGCCGCTTTCTCCATCATCCACAGCATATTTGCTCGAGTTTCGCTTGATGACAACATCGAGAGTAACCTTTCAACTTTCTCTGTCGAAATGCGAGAAATGTCTTTCATCCTGAGGAACATTGACGACAAGAGCCTTGCCGTAATTGATGAGCTGGGCAGGGCCACAAGCAACCGAGATGGTCTGGCAATTGCGATTGCAATGTCTGAAGCCTTGATTCAAAGCAGAGCATCCGTATGGTTTGCAACCCATTATGTTGATCTGACAAAGGTTCTCGCGGATCGTCCGGGTATCCTCAACCTGCACCTCGCGGCCACTACTTCTACAACTGAAGATGGATTACCTCATATTACGATGCTTTACAAGGCGACCTCTGGTGCCATCAGAGGCGAAGAACACTATGGAATCAATTTAGCGCGTGCAATCGGCCTACCCCAGTCCTTTATTGACAAAGCAGAAGAAGTGGCTAAGGATATCAGGCGAAGACGAGAATCGACGAAGCGTAGCTCAGAGTCAACCAGACTTGTAGCCCGTCGAAAGCTCATTCTCAACTTGCAGGATGCATTGAGACGGGCTAAGGATTCTGGAAGCGAAGAGGCTCTCCCAGGTTACTTACAGCGATTACAAGAAGAGTTTGTTGCTCGCATGGAAGAGGTTGACAACCTCTAGTTGGGACGTGTATTGTTTCGCCACGAGTTTCAGGTGCATGTGGAAGGGCTGAAATGGGCTATTTGTTGCCCAATATGCTTTATGTTTATTATGTTCAGATGGTTGAAGCGGTTTATACGCCTGGGCGCTTGTAATCTAATTCTCGGACTCGCTTCCAGACCTCTCTCACTGTTCGCTCTTGTGTCTGTCGTCCAGTTTCTGTTTCCGAAGGGCCTGCGGGGCTATTAAATGTCAGCAAGTGAACTTTCAAGGTTCGGTTGACAAGTGCGTACCGTATGGCCAGATACAACCGCCCTCCAAGATGTGCTCTCGTAATGTCGGCTGTCTCTGGATCGTTGGGAGGATTGGCGGTTGTTACAAGACCACCAGCCTCTTCAAGAATCGCGAAACCAGCCGCGACGTCCCTACTCAAGTTAGCATCATTGTGTTAAACAGAAGCTTGAGGTTGTCGTACCATTCCCAGCATCCACCCTCCCACCAGATATCGAAGGATCCCATAGCGGTATACGCAAGATCCAAGGTCGCACTGCCCAAGCTTCGCATGCCATGTACCATACCACCTTTGCCTCCCCTGCCATTTCTCTCCGAAGCCATGTTCACAAAAGACTCGACCTTTCGCGACATGTTTCCATCTGGAATATCGCGACGGTCCTTGCCCCATTCACACGAAAATGTACAAGCGCTTGGCGCATTAACAGGCATCGGGGGAATCGGGTTTCGAATCAACGGTAGTCGCTGCGTCTCGTTGAGCCATGCGCCTCGCCCTGTGCATGATGAGAAGAATTGGCGAAGGAACGGAGCGTTGATGACGCCAATGACTGGAACACCCTTGACCACTAGAGCGATTGATACGCAGAACATGGGGAAGAGATGTGTGAAGTTGACGGTGCCATCGAGAGGATCAACTACCCATGTTGGTTTATCTTCAACGAGGTATGTTCGCGAAGCACCAGCAGAATATGACTCTTCTCCAAGGAATCTGTACTAGTTAGAGAGGGTCATGATAAGACGAGGGGTAAACTTACCCATGATGGGGATATTTACTGAGAACAGTTGTGCGAATAAAGTTCTCAACATCTAAACAGTCAGTAACCATGAAGCAAAAGAATGACAGAGAGGAAATACCATTGTCTGTCTTTGTCACGAGATCTACCGAGTTCTCTTTCTCAACATACGAAACCGCACTCGACGATTCCCCGTTCCCATCGATTCTGCGCTGCGCAGCCGCCATGAGCATGTCACCCGCATCCTTGCCAAGCTGCACCGCAAAAGCGTAAATGTCGTTCAATTCGTGTTGCTCCATTATCTTGAATTATTGTTTTTCCAGAAGACACAGAAAAAGGATAAAGTCGACGGCAGCTGTTTTGTTGGTAACAAGTGCCGTATGAAACCGTTGCTTGAGTGTTTTCCGCGGTACGGATTATGATGCGCTGTGGGGATGGGGAGTTAGTGGGGGGGAGGGGGAGGGATGAAGGCTTAACCGGGCGCGGGGGATGCCGAGAGTTTGGAGATGGGGGATGGGAAAAGCTGGGGAATTGGCGGAGTTTTACTTTTGCGAGGGATCATTAATAAACTGACAATTACGAGAGAATTGAGTAAACAATACCATAACTCAATTGACATACACAAGCAATCATGTCTCGTCGTCTTCTCCTCATCAACGGCCCAAACCTCAATCTCCTCGGCACACGCGAACCTCACATCTACGGCTCAACCACCCTCGCCGACGTTGAAGCCTCCGCCTCAACACAAGCAACATCCCTCTCCGCAAGCTTAACATCCTTCCAAGCCAATTCCGAGGGCGCCATAGTTGATCGCATCCACGAAGCGCGAGGCAACGTCGATGCGATCATCATCAACGCTGGTGCTTACACGCACACGAGCGTAGCTATAAGAGACGCGCTGGTGGGAGTTGATATTCCGTTTGTGGAGGTTCACATCACGAATGTCCATGCGAGGGAGGCTTTTAGACATCATAGTTATCTGTGTGATAAGGCGGAGGCTGTTATTTGTGGGTTGGGGGTTTTTGGGTACAGTGCTGCGATTGAGTATGCTGTTAAGCATCTGAAGTTGAGGACGAAGCTGTAAATATTATCACGGGACACAAAGCATACACAAGTCAAAGAGCCATGATTCGAAATTAGTCGTTTACAACTCATATTAGGTGACGGGAGTAAGTAGTGATGGAGTAGTGATTGAGGTATACAACAATGCGCCCGAAGATGTGAGAATACGAGAGATGATAGTAACGACAATGCATTGTAGTGGTATTATAAACTAACAAACAGCAAAACATATTATTTACAACATAGCCTGCAATCTCGGCTGAACATCATCCGCCGTTCTCAATCCAAGCTCAATCTTCATCTTCTCCCAAGACTCAGCCGCCCTCTTGGCCGTCTCCTCCGGCACAACAGCCTCGGTATCACAAAACCTCCTATTAAACACCTCAAAACTCAACCACCCCTCAAACCCCAATCCTTGAACAATAGTTCTCAACAATTGCTTACAAGGAAGATAAGCACCATACGAACTCTCCCCGTAAAATAACCTCGCGTTTCTGGACCAGCTCATCCGCGACGGTTGCTCCGCGTTGTAAAACGGATGGCTCTCGTTCAGAGGTGAACTGAGTTTCTCGCCATCAGCCACCTGCACCAGAAAAACCTTGCTAACATCAATGTCTGTGAGAATCCTCTTGATGGACTCTTTGGTAACACTCTCGCATTCCTTTGTCTTTCCGCCAACGGCTGCAGGGTCTGCGTAGATTCGACCGAGGATGTTATAGCTATCCAGGCAAATACCGAAATTCTCACGGTTAACGCGCTGGATTATATCCCAACTCGCTTCCCACGTGTTAATCCTCGTTCCCCAACACAGCGCCTCAAAAGCAAACTTAATCGGCGGCTGTTGCTCCAGCCCCATATCAGCAGCCACCGTGAAGTCAGCGGCAATAACACCCATATCGTCCGTAAGTTGCTCCTCTGGTAAAAAGCTACTAGGGAACAGAATAAGATCCGTCTCCAATGCATGACACAGCTCAAACCACAGCTTCAACTCCTCATATTGTTGGGCTTGTGCTTGACGATCAACGAGGCCGCCGAAGTGCATGAAGGGCTGGAGACAGATTATGGTGAGAGAGCGGGAGGCGCAGAGGTCACGGATTGTGCGGGCGGCAGTGATTTGGTTGGCGGGTGTGTCGCCGCCTGGGAGGGACTTTGCGAGGTCGACGAGGTCTTCGTAGAAGACTTCTATGCCTTGGAAGCCGTATTTTGCGGCCATGTCGAGTTTGTGGGGGAGGGAGTGGCCTGCGAAGCAACGGCCTAGGGACATTGTGCATATGCTTGGTTTGTGAGCCATGGCTGTTGATGAGTAGACAACAGTCTATGGGTCGAAGTCGTCGATGTGGTGTGTTATGTGATGAAGGCTACAGTGAGGTGAATGACACTCGACGATAGAATGCTTATATGAACAGCGATAGATACAATAATGTGATAACTAAAGAGATGAACCACCACTGATGCTGTGGCAACTTGATATAGAATCTACGAAGCGGAGAATCCCCTGATCAAGACTCGATGATAAAGCAATCATTCATCCAATACAACCCCATTTCCATCTCGATCCATCCCGTAGTATCCATCGTCATCAAAAGCCGTCACGAGGCGGTACCAGCCGAATCAGCCATGTTAATCGTTTAAGAGGACACCCATTCACACAATGATAAGGCAATTTCCAGGCGACTTACATCATGGGGGTGTAGGTGATGTTTATTCATTACCCGGGACCGAGGTGGCTAAGTCTTTATCCGGTGGGGCAATTTCTTGCATTGCAACCCCAGCTTTAGTGGATATTCACTGGAAAAACCCTTGAAGCGGAGATTTCGGGGGCAAGTGAAATTAAGATCTGGGGTTGATGGATGATTCTTCCATTGCCTTCTCTGCTACTGGACAGTTTATTACTTGAATAGCACCTATCTTCGCTACTTTCCAGGATCATTTCTCAATCAGGCCACTTTCTTTTACTCACCATCCTTTCGTCTATCTGCCTATCATGTCTGTCCAACAAGTCTCCTCTTATCCCTCCGGGGACTCTCTCCAATCGAACCAAGTCTCACAACTCCAACGCCACGGCTACCTCTTCGGCAAGAAACTCACTGCTTCGCTGTCGCCGTTTCTTCATAATGTTATTTATCAGGATCTGGGTTTGAAGTGGGGTCAGGTTAGACTTGATTCGGCTGATATTCCTGGGTTTTTGGAGTTGGCGCAACATCCCGACTTCTACGGTACGTTCCACTCACTCACTCTGTCAATTGAGTTGGTTACGAGTTGAGTTACGATACTGATGAGTGAACAGGCGCCTCAGTTACTATGCCCAACAAAGTCGCAATCATCCCATACCTAGATGAACTCACAGAAGAATGCCGCGACGTCGGCGCTTGCAACACCCTCTTCATCCGTGAAAGAGACGGTCGTCGTATTTTCTGCGGCGCAAACACAGACGTCATTGGCATCCGCGACTCATTCTACCAAAACATCGACAACCCCGATGCTGTCTTCCACAACAAACCCGCTCTTGTAGTCGGTGGTGGCGGCGCAGCTAGAAGTGCTATCTACGCTCTGCGAAAATGGATGAAGGTCAAGACCATTTACCTCGTCAACCGCGATGAAGCAGAAGTAACCGCCGTGATCGCCGATTGTGCTGAGCGCGGCTACGGCGAGGGTTTGCTACATGTCAAGACCGTCTCACAAGCGCAATCCCTCGAAGCACCAGGTGCTATCGTAGCGTGTGTTCCAGACTTTGAGCCCGAGACAGAAGAGGAGATTCGCGCACGGGCAGTCACAGAGACGTTTTTGGACAAGGAGCAAAAGGGGGCTATTCTGGAGATGTGCTATAACCCCACGCCTTTTACGCGGTTGGGCGGTATTGCGGAGGATAAAGGATGGAAGGTCATTCTCGGAACGGAGGCGTTGATTTATCAGGGGTTGGAGCAGGATAAGTATTGGACGGGGAAGACGTTGGAGGAGATGCCGATTGAAAAGGTGCATGTTGCTATTGCGGAGAAGGTTGCGCAGAGGGCGGAGGCTAAGTTGTGATTTGTTTTTAGAGCATAGATAGCGTGCATTATTGGAGTTATATATAAATGTTTGGACTTCTTACTACTTCACATGGCCTTTGCTGCTCTGTTGCTTGAAGATATCAAGTGATATGGCAGATTTTCATCTGAACCTCCCTAAGTTTACCTAAACTCATAAATCTTTACCTAAATATAAGCTCACCTGATGTAAATAGTATACTAGCGATGAAAAGTATAACCAGTTCCTAGGCGAATAAGATATCGCTATAGCCAAGTGAAGCTTTCAAGTATTAGGCTTTAGGCCACAGCTGGAGAAGATCATGAACACTGCACCCAATCACTGTAACAGATAACTAGGCAGCAAATAAATAGACTCTTATTCTCTTTGAACAGCAGTGGCTATGACAATGAAGAAAATGGTACAGTTGGAATGTTTCTCTATTTGAATCACCGACCGTAGGCGAGCTTTCACCTTGATATCTTCCTCTCAAAATACACACACGCCGTACACGCATACACACAAACAGGCACAGAAGAAGCAAAATAATCCACACGCCTAAGAATACCATAGAGAGAAAACCATCACAATGGCTGAATCTTCAAAGCCACGCCCTCTCTTCATCTACGGCACACTCCGCGCCCGCCCCTTACTAGCCTGGGCCCTAACCGGCCATGCCACAAACACCAAACCCATCTCAGCACACGCCCACCCAGCCATAGTACGCGGCTATGCACGCTACACCGTCCAGTCACAGGATTATCCCGCCGTTGTAAAGAAAGACGGACATGAAGTAGACGGATACCTGCTCATCCTGGAGACCAAGTCGCAGCGCAAGAAGCTAGATGATTTTGAAGGAGAGATATACACCTCTACGAGTGTCGATGTTGTACTGGAGGATGGGAGTGTTGTGAATTCTGATATGTATGTTTGGGCGGGAGATGAAGATGCGCTGAGTGATGAGCCTTGGGAGTTGGATACTTTTGTGAGGGATAGGTTGGAGGATTGGATTGATCTTTTTGAGGGTATGGAGATGATTGGAGAGGACGAGGACTGAGAAGTTCCAGGAACTTGTATAACTATAAGCTTGACTCATATCTACTCCGAGCCCTGATCCTCTCGCCATAAACAAAAAAGCACCACGGTATAGGCGCCATCAAAAACGTAAAACCAGCCAAAAGAGTCGTTGCCCAGCCAGCACCAAGCCTTTCAAACATCTGCAACGCAAACATCGGAAATGCAAAGCTCAACGAATATCTACTCAACATCATGGCACCAGACGCCGAAGCTCCGTACAAAGGACCATAAGCATCAAGCATAAAGAGATTTACACCAGCGTAGATCAGAAGACAGGCTAGCATCGTCATTCCGTGGAAAAAGATAGGGAGAATCCAGTGGATGCGGAACTCAGCTGTCCATCCTGCTATGAGGAGACTCGCGGGGAGGAGAAAACTTCCTATCATGGAGGAGATCAGACGGTGTTCTGGGGGTAAGGGGTCGCTTGTATCGTGGGTCTGACTCCAGTGGACGAGGCGCTTTTGATAGTATGAGAAGTCGATTAGGACGAAGGGTACGCAGGCAAGGAGAGTGCCGAGAGTTATACCCAGATATGAGAGGGACTCGCCGGTTGCGTTGAAATTATAGTAATGTCTGAAGATCCAGGGAACGGATATGATGAATGTGTACAGTAGTCCAAAGATGAAGCCGTTGTAGAGACTGACGAGTGTGACGATTGGTTCGGTGAACAGCATATGAAGAGGTCGAAGGATGAGAACCGTGAAAAAGTGTCGAATTGTCCTAGCAACAGTCGTTTGTTGAGAGGAGGTGTCACCCAAACCCATTCTAATAGCCCGTCTTCGTAAAACAACCTTTTTATATGTCTCCCTCGTGAACAAAACCGGTATGTAAAGAGCGCATGTTATCATGACAGCAACCCACTGCGTCCATCGCCACCCAAGAGACCGCTCAACAAATCCACCAACAAGAGGCCCAACAGCTGCCCCAAGCGAAGGTATAGAGTAATATATCCCCAAACTCGCACCACGATATCGAGGCGCACAATAATCCATGATAGTAGCAGAAGTATTATTCACATTCGGCGATGCGAACATGCCCGCAAAGAACCGACAAATCGATAAACTCACAATACCCCCCGCAAAACCAGACCCTAGCAAAAACGCGAGGAAGATAGGCGTAGTAGCAACATACACCGTCTTCCGTCCATAAGTCTCAGATAGCGGTGCTCCAACGAGTGGACCACACGCCATACCGAGGTTATACAGACTCAAAGGCAGCACAGCAGCCAAACGCCCTTGGTGGAATTCTTTGCTAACGGGGGTTTGGGCTGGGGCGTATATAGCGCCTGCGAAACAGGAAGCCCAGGCGAGGGATGTGATGGAAGCTATATTGAGTGTTTTTGTGAGGAGGGAGAAGTTTCGGGGGTTGGAGGAATCCTTGGGGCCGGTCCAGTCGTAGGCTGCGTTGATGCGGGTTGTTATTTGATGGGTTTCTGGCGAGATGGTTGGCGGAGTGGTGTTGATCTCCATCATTTCTGGTTGAGAGAATGAGGTTGAGGATGCCATAGTGACGAGTGCCTACGTTTGGATAGTAGAGGGTCAATGAGGAGTGACGTCGAAGTTGAAAAATATATGTTCGGCGAAGACCGTATCTTGCCGTGTTGGAGATTTAGCTTGGCAGCATATTAGCACAGGGCCTGGATACTGGTTCTCTTAGTTCCGCGTCATCTTTCTCACTAATAATCAGCATATATTATAAGCACTATCTATCTATATATTTCTCACGATGCTTCGAGAACTGTACGACAAGTCTTATTGAGCAATTATATCAGTTCAACGGGGCATACCCAACGCCAGAGGATGCATCAGTGATGAAGACACGGCCCTGAATAACACCAGCAAACTTACTTGGAAGCTACGAAACGTTTTAACTGATTATTTCATATCATGTCAGGTATTGCTTTCATTTTGGCCGTGTATCGGTAAGAATGCTTCATGGCCGAATGATTACCCCGACTGATCTGCAAGGTCTTCAGGGTAGTTTTAGTCCACGGGTCATCATGATTCGGGCGATGGAGACATAAGCACAAGCCTTTACTCTTGGCAGACGATGTAATCGAAGTTTAAGTCAATAGCTGACTGGAAAGAGTGAGTCATTTGAGATCTGAGGTTGACAAGACTGTCTGGATGACGTCGTCTGACTGGCTGATTAAACGAGCACGAAGGAATTCGATATCCAAATCTTAAGCCAGGTATTTCATCGGGTCTATAATAAGGAGAATTTTTGAAAAGCTGATAAACCTTTATCTCAATTAAAACTGATAGACAACTCTAACCGCTGAGTCACCGGCCATATAATCAGTGGCTATCAGAAGAAAAGAGTTAAAGTCGATTCGCCAGTTCGGAAAAGAAGCGCTCTGATTGGCTGGTGGAGCAACTTGCCATGTATATCGACCCACGTGATTAGACTCCCCTCGGATGATTACCTCTTTTGTCTTACATCAACCAACTGCATAAATACCCAGATTCCTCATGTTATCGCAAGTCAAAATCACTCATCACTCGTTTCTCGCTGTATCTTTCAAATCACCAATCAGAATCAAATCCTTCTCCGCTCTTGCAATGTCGAGAACCATCGAGAAGAACTTCCAAGCCGCCATCGACTCTGGCAAGATCAACGGAGGCATCATCTGTGCTACCAACTCCAAAGGAGACTTTACCTACAACAAAGTCCTCGGCCAGCGTACTCTCCTCTCAGGTGAAAAGCGTCCTCAACAGCTCGATGATATCCTCTGCCTCGCCTCAGCTACAAAGCTCATAGCCTCCATCGCAGCTCTGCAGTGTGTTGACGATGGTCTTCTCACTCTCAAGGGTGATTTATCAAAGGTTGCACCAGAATTAGCGGAGAAGCAGGTCCTGACCGGTTGGTCAGAAGATGATGAGCCGATTCTTGAACCAGCGTGTCAACCTATTACGCTTGAAATGCTCCTTTCGCACAGCGCTGGAGTGGCGTATGATTTCTTGGAGCCGACTATCGGGAAATGGAGCAGCAAGTATAAACCAAAGGATGGAAAGAAGCGAAAGGTTGAGGATACTTTCATCTATCCTCTTCTCCACCAGCCTGGAAAGGGATGGATGTACGGCTCTGGTCTAGATTGGGCTGGCCGAATTGTGGAGCGCCTTACCGGAAATACCTTGGAGGAACATGTCCACGAGCGTATGCTGAAACCTCTTGGTTTGAAAACCGACGCTCAGTTCTTCCCTATCACAAGAGAAGACTTGCGTGAGCGCCTCGTCGATCTCAACCCCGATGATCCAAAGGGTCTTGGCTTCGCAGTCATGGGTCAAGGAGCAGAAATCAACGGCCGTACAGATGGATGTTTCGGCGGCCACGGTCTCGCAATGCCTGCTCCAACCTATCTCAAAATCATCCAATCCCTCCTCGCCAACGACGGAAAACTCCTCAAACCCGAAACCTGCGTCGACATGTTTCAGAACCATCTTACTTCTGAAGCACTCAATGGTCAACAAGGCATGCTAGCTAGTCCACTCGGCCCTTTCTTTAGAGTTGGTATCGGCGAAGAGACTAAGCTTGGGCATGGCCTTGGAGGCACTATTACACTTGAGGATGTTGAGGGATGGTATGGTGCCCATACTATGTCTTGGGGTGGAGGTTTGACGTTTGCGTGGTTCATTGATCGCAAGAATGATATTTGTGGTGTTGGAGCTATTCTTGCAAAGCTGCCTCTTGATGGAGGGATTTCGAGTGATTTGAAGGATGTTTTCAGGAAGGATATTTATCAAAAGTATGCTGCGTGGAAGGAGAATGGTGAAAAGCAATAGGAGGGCTAGTATGGTAGGCGCAGCTAAGGGCTTTTCAGGCTGTACCTAAAAACTGGTGGTATATTCCAATGAGAGATGAATACGCTGGTGTTTATTAAACATTCCTTTTTAATATCTCGCGACAGGGTATTTCGAGAGGCAAAGTGCGTTTATGTTTTGGTAAAGCCGGTACTATAGTAGCTTTTCTCTACACAATTCAGTCATAGTTAATCCTCCAGTTATAGATGAAGACAAACATGTTATAGAAAGTGATGTATTAATCCAATCTAGCCTCTATTTAACCTCACACCTAATATATCATTCAACTTTTAAGCCTTAGCCTCAATCTGCTCAGCATTGGCCTTCTCTTCTCGCAGATCAACACCATCAACATTGTGACGGAACTCCTCATCCTGGAGTCTTAATTCCTCCATAACAATCTTGTTAGCCCTCCAGATAGGCTTAGTCTCAAAGAGCTTGTCCATCGCCTCAAGAGGAACACCCTTGGTCTCAGGAATGCAGAAGAAGACGAAGACGATAGAGGTGACCATGAGGGAGGCGAAGAAGATGTATACTCCGAATCCCCAGGCGTTGAACATCTGCTCGGTGAATCGGGCGATGATGAAGTTCCAGAACCAGTTGTTGGCAGCGGCGTTGGCCTGGCCGAGAGAGCGGGTGTTCTGGTCGAACATCTCCGAGTTGAGAACCCAGGGTGTACCGTTCCAAGAGGGTGTGTAGAAAGCGGTCCAGAGGTAGAAGAAGAAGACAGCGGCGATACCACCAGAGGAAAGGGTGGGGCTCTCTCCAGCAGCGACCTTGGCTTCGTTGTTGGCGATCTTGATGTAAGCACCGATGAAGTACATGCAGAAAGCACCGCCACCAGCACCAATCATGAGAAGGTTTCGGCGACCGACGTGATCGATAAGAACGAGAATCCAGACAAAGGTAATAGCCGTCTTGACAACGCCAAAGATACCAGTGGTAAGGAAGCTAGTGTTGGTACCGGTGATACCGATACTTCGGAAGACAGTGGGGCTGTAGTAGTTGATGGCGTTGATACCGGAGCCTGTAGAATGTTAGTCATTGAAATGAAGGCCTAGATGAGATTTCTTACCGTTTTGGAAGACAAAGAGAAGAGCACCAAGGAGGAAACGCCACTGGACCTTGCGCTGCTTGAGAGCCGCAAAAGGCTTCCAGAAACCAGCGCCAACAGCACTGTTAAATCGGTCGATCTCAGCATCGATAAAGCCAATCTCCTCAACGATGTAGATATCCTCTCGGTCAAGGTTTCGCATCCAGCAAAGGTTCTTAATGGCATTGTCGCGCTTGCCCTTGGAGAACAACCATCGAGGCGATTCAGGAATGAAGACAGCACCGATAAGGAGAAGACCAGCAGGGATGAGCTGAACAGCGAAGGGGATCAGCCAGACATTTTCGTTCTGGCCAGGAGCGTAAGGGAGGTGCTGGTTGATTCCGTAGTTGATCCAGAAACCAACAAGACCACCAGCTTGCCATCCGACTTCGTAAAGACCGACAAGGCGGCCTCGTACAGCGGGAGGAGCCAACTCAGAGATGTAAATGGGTGTCATGTTGGAGCATCCACCGACACCGATACCGGCCAAGACGCGTCCACCGATAATAAGGCCGAGACCTCGGGCACCATTGGCACCAAGCATCATACCAGCGCCGACCATAAAGACAAGGGAGAAGAGGATGAGAGAGTATCGGCGACCAATGAAGTAACTGCTGACATAGGCGAATAGAGAACCGAAGAAGGCACCGGCCTGGTATACAGAAACAATGTTCTGCTTAACCAGTGCAAGCGCATCAGGTTCATAGCTCTCAAAGTTGAACTCCTTGACGAACGAGGGCAGAGCAAGGGTCGTGCCGATGAAAGCAGAGTCGTAACCAATGGTGCAAGCAGCCATTGATGCAATGGCGGCGCAGGTGTAGACGCGCCAGTTGTAGACGGCCTTCGGCGTGGGCCGATCTTCTTGAAGAGTCAAGAGGCCCATGATTGCGGCGTATCAAGGTTCAGACTTGAACTTTGCTGCTTGACAACTGTTGCAGCTGTGGGGAGATAAGGTTGCAAAGAAGGTTGTGGATGAACTGGAGATTCGAAAAGAGAATCCCCAAGACCGGTGGGGGGCAAAGATTTATACAAGTCAAGATGACCCATATCCCCCTAGTCTAGCAGCAACCGTCTCCAAAAACTAGTGTGCTTCTGGATCAGCAAGGGCCAACTCAATTCAACAACTGAATAATTGCTTCTCCAGAACTGGAGATCCAGTCCGGGGTTTGCGGGGTTGGATCTGTGGGGGAAGAATATGCTTCCGTCGTTGCATGAGATTCGAGATTGTCATTGTTTGTTTGCTGGGACGAACAGGGTGTCTGAGTCTCATGTTACTGAAAGAACGTGTCGGGGGATAAAGACTTTTCCGTGGTGGCACATCCTGACTCAAATGTTCTGGGGTCTCCGCATCATTACCACCATGTGGCCGCGGATCTAACCTTGTTTCGTCAGTAAATGGGGAGAAAATCTCAAACCCTCATCATTTATCCCTGTGTACCCCATTCACGCGGCGATGTCGGCACTCTTCCGAGGTTGATTGGACGTTTCTCAGCAGCTCCAACACACCGCGTAAGCAAAAATGTAGTATTCTCCGAGGATGAAGGGATGTTGTTGCTTGGGGTTCCGTAAATCACACAAGGTTCTCGACTTGACCAGATTTGACCAGCGCTGTCAGTCTAGGCAGTCAGCAGTCTATTACGCCCCATCAGCCAAGACATCACACGCAAGGATAACTTTGGGTGAACATGTGTCCGTGTAATATATTGATTAAATTGCATTAAATCATGTCCCAAAATCACCTTGAAACATCTCACCCAGATCACATCCTGGCGCAAAGCCCAAGTTAGTCATAAACTGAGGATCCACATCAATACCATCCGCGCAGTCTATGGATCCAAGTTCATCCAGAATTGCGTCGTAGTCAAGTAGTTGACTTGGCATTGAGTTTTGCAATGATCCCATTTGCCCATCAAGAGATGGTGTATGAAGGGTATGAAAAGTCAGGTTGGGTGTAAGGGTGTATAGAGACTGTGAAGTAGCAGGGCTACGTTCTGCAGCTTGATACCGTTGTCGTTCATATGATAATGATTGTTGCTCTTTTTGGCGTTGCTGCATGCGCCCGAGTTCATGTCCGAGTTCCCCGGATGTGATAGGGGCAGGGTGGTCTGTGTGGTGTGAGGGATGAGAGGCGGTTGATATCTCATCCATAAATGATGGGCTCACTATTGGGCGGCGTGAAGGATCCACAGAACTAGGTGTATGCTGGTTGCTTTTAGATGCGTCAAGCCCTTGATATTTGAGCTTCCAGCTGTCTGTGAGCGATCCGACTGTCGTATTCCACTTGACTTGGTCGTGTTCTGGCATTCGGTTCCCATGGCCGTGGTGCTTGACTATATCCATCAAGATGGCTATGATTGGCGGTGTTCCACCTGGGCCAAAGTTTTCCAGGCACGACTCAACAACCTCTATGAAATTGGACAGGAGGGACGGCCGATGACCAGGCACCAAGTCCAAGGTGATTGCCAAGAACATGCCTTGGAGTAGGTATGCTGAGGGCACTCTTGGCGTCGAGCCACCAAAAATGAGGGAATTGCAAAACGAAAATCGAGCATCCAGGCTTCTAACAAGGTCTTCCGGGGTGATTCGTTGAGGATTGCGGTCATTGTATAGTCTTGCATCCATGCTGGCACCCCAAAGTCTACAGAAAGAAAAAAGTTGCCGAAACGTTGATAGTGGTGATGCACAATCTGGTGTTGATTCTTGTCGATCATCCGCCACCTTTCCTAATCCCGAAATCGAATTCCAAGACTCGTTCAGGTCGAGAGGTTGTTCTATAATGACAGAGGGAAGACTATGTCGAATTCCCGATGTCACTTGCGGTTGGCCAAGACTAAGAGAAGCAAGGGAATCCAGGATAAAGCTTCCCGCCAGCACCCTGACTTCGTTGTGATTCAGAGAAGCTTCGTCGCCTTGCTTGACCGGAAACATGTGAGATGTTGTCGCTCGATAATGCAAAGCAAGACGCGACGCCCTACCAATCAATATCCACGCTGTCATCGTCTTCTTTTGGCCCATGAGTACCAGCGAATGAAGTAGCAGTGACGAGATATGCGCCAATTCGAAGGTCTCGTCGTCGGAGGGTATGAGCTGTTGAGCGATAGAGTAAATTTCGCTGGGAGAGAATCCATTATGTCGTGATGGCTCAGAAGAAGCTGCATCTTGGAATGAAGAGACGGCAAATACCGCCCAAAGCTGGGCATGAAGCGCCGAAGAGGGGTTGGCTTCGATGATAAGGCCCTCTGGGGGATACGTCAAAGCTGTGCGTGTGATGATTCCAGGTTCGAGAATTGGGAACCAGGTGTGAGTATAAGACATGTAAATATCGACAAGTCGTTTCCAATGTGGAGGCAATGTCAGCTTGGTAGGTAGTGAGGACGTTTCTGAGCTGAAATTATAAGAGGCCGTCTGGATGCTCGTCTGTGATGGATTAACGCCTTGTATCGATAGTCCGGGTGATGGTTTGCCGTCGAATAATTGTGCACCGGTCGGGCTGCTATCTTCGGTTCCCGAGTCTTCTGCGGACGTCTCGTTTTGAGGCGTCTTCTCATCCGACAGCAGCCTGCCGATATCTTTGTGAACTCGACTCTTGCTCCATCGCCGGTACAGGCGATGGCCGGCTTTGTCCTTCGTCGCGAGGATGCGGGTACCGTCTGCTCCATCATTCTGTGTAAGGAGACGATGAAGAGCTCCCTCACAGCCAGGAACCTGTTCGAAGAGCCATGCCAACGACAACTCAATTGTCCGTAGGTAGCCCGTCTGCACGCCTCTCTTGCGGGACGCAGGGGTATATGAGCATGGCCTGTTTTGCGCGGTGCATGTTCCACAGTGAGGACGGGCGCCATCGCACTTTTCTCTAGCAGTGCGACATGAATCACAGGCAAGGGAGACTCGTTGACGTTTGGCGGGAGCTGTGGTTGCGGGAGCGCTGGTAGTATCCGCATCGTTTTCGCGTTTCCTAGGCGGCATTGCTTGGGTGTAATTGATCAAAGAATGAATGAGCTGCCTGCGCCGCGAGGCCAGCAGTCATGACGAAATGAAAAGAGAGATGAGGGGAGAGAAGCCTAACAGCAGTTGAAGAGGATTCAATGCTTGCTAGTATGACGATGATGTGGATTGTATACGAGTCCCATGTCAATAAAGCTCAGCTTAGATACGCGATTCCTGTGCCATTGTCATGCAGATCTCTCTCCCATGGCCGACTTCCAAAGCAACAGGTACCGTACAAAAGCAATACGATACGATGAGACGTGATGCGGGGAGAATCTGGGGCCCTGGAATAATTCTGAGTTGCTTGGGGATGGTCTGTAGGTTCCAGCCTCCAAATCCGACCGCCGAATCATCACCGATGTAATTGGACAGGGCTTCGGAGTGGGTCGGATAAACGCTTTCCCGACCAATCGTCGCGCTCTTGCCCCGGATTGTCTGGTGGGGGATCTACCGAGCTTCCTCGTCCATCGCCCACCCACTTCGCAATTGACTGTCGGACTCAGCGCTCCTCGACAAGCCCACATCACCATCCTCTCCTACTCAGCCAAGACAGTCCCTCTAGAGCCTCAACAAGCACAAACCACTCTGTATAAGTGATTATGGCGCCTTCTTAACACAAGCTGGTCAAAAGAGCCCGGATACATGCAACACGAAATGGCAGGCATCAAGAGGTCCCTGGGGACCTTTCTTGGCCACGAGGATACCTTGCTGCGACCAAACGGCCACAGCCGACCGAAGACCGTCCACTACAATCGTGGAATTCCCCGCGATAACCTCGATAATTCGACACCACAATCACAGGCTTTTAAACTGAGCGATGTGCTCCAGTCTCAACCTCAATCCCAAGCTAATTCGAGAGCCAATTCGAGAGCCAATTCGAGAGCCAATTCGAGAGCCAACTCTCAATCTGCGGCTCCGTCAAATACGGACCAACACGATGGACTTACTCGAACGCCCTCTCCAACCTTTCCTCCCTTAACTGGGCAGGTCCCTGACTTCAGTCCAGATGCGTCAATGATACTTGTTGGTATGCGTGGAGCTGGAAAGTCGACATTAGCTATCATGGCATCCTCGGCAATGGACCGCAAGGTCATTGATCTTGAGCCAGCTTTCCAAAGGTCTATGGGTCTGTCCAGTGCCGCCTATAAGTCCGAGCATGGGTCTTCAGAGTGTTACAAACAGCAAGCCAAGGTCTTGCAGAGTATTCTGCAGCGACATTCTACTGGCTGTATCCTTGTCTGCTCTTGGATGGAGAGTCGCGTGCAGAGCCTCCTCCGAGAGTTTGCGGCGACCAACCCCGTTATCCACATTGTTCGTGATGTTGATGCCATCCAAAATCATCTCAAGATCCGCGACGGTACCAAGGTTCAGAGCCTACTCGATGTTAGCAATGCGATCTTCAGATCTTGCACCAACTTCGAGTTCTTCAATGTCACAGAGAAAGCTTCCAAGTCATCGCTTTCTCGGGAATCATTGACACAAAGATCGCCCGCTCCATATTTAACATTGAAGCATGTTGAGCGACACTTCCTAAAATTCCTGTCTCTTGTTTACCCAGCGGGCACGATACCATTTACAGATTCTGCATTCCCATTATCAAGGATACCCGCGGAGGAACGCAACTTTACCTACGCTACCTCCATCCCTCTTACAGACGTTCTCAAAGATTCTGTTGATGTCGAAGAGCATGTCATCGGAGCAGATGTTGTGCAAATTGTCGTCCATGATCTAGCTGAACATGCCGAACAAGGCACATTGACATCTGAAGCCAGCGCAAAGTTGCTTGCAAACATTACCAAAGGCATCGGTATTGTAAGGCGAAGCACGATCTTACCCATAATCCTACATCTCTTCCTACCTCATACAGCAAGCGACGAAGTCTTGCGTGTCTACCTCGATCTCGTTCACCATTCCGTACGTCTAGCTCCAGAAATGATGACAGTCGATCTTCGACTCGAAGATGTTCACATATCACGCATACTATCTATTCGAAAGAGAACAAAGATGATCGGCAATTGTTTCATTACCACAGATCCTCCGTCATGGGAATCTCCGATATGGATGTCGTGGTACAAGAAGGCCAACAATTTGGGATGCCATCTTGCTAGATTGATACGACCTGCAGTAACTATTGAAGACAATTTCCGCATTCACTACTTAAAGACATCTGTTGCGGCTTTGCAAGGGCCTAAGATCCCACTTATCTCTTACAACTCTGGACCGCTGGGTCGGAATTCCCAGGCTTTCAATCGCATTCTTACTGTTGTCCGACCAGATTCGCTGGAGCGGGTGAATCCCAGGCCCCCAATAACACCATCCATTACCACGGTCGGCGCAACAGAAGCTCTCTTCTCTTCTTTCATATACGATCAGATGAAGCTTTACGTGTTCGGAGCCAATGTGAGCTACAGTCTGTCACCCGCGATGCACAAAGCAGCGTTAAAGGCATGCGGGTTACCCCATACCTATGAGCCAGTGTCATGCGCGTCGCTTCGAGGAATCAAGCATTTAATCGAGGATCCAGAATTTGGTGGAGGCTCAATTGGCCTCCCCTTCAAAGTCGAGATCATTACCTTGACCCATTCTTTGAGCAAACACGCCCGGGCAATCGGTGCTGTCAATACGCTCATTCCCATCCGCTCTCTAAGTGAAGATGGGACAATTCCGACTGGGGCAGCTTTTTTCGATAGCGTCAATCGCTCCGGTCCCATCAAGGCTCTGTACGGTGAAAATACTGACTGGATTGGCATTCGCGCATGCATTCGTCGTGGTCTCTCTCCTGCCAACGCTGTTGTATCTAGTACCTGTGGTCTCGTCATTGGAGCAGGCGGCATGGCTAGAGCTACGGTCTACGCCATGCTTCAAGTCGGTATCAAGAACATCGTTATCTATAATCGCACACCAAAGAATGCCGAAAAGATGGTGTCGCACTTTACGCAGGTCCTCGAGAGGATGGACCATGGCCTACTGAGCGCAGGTAGCGAACATTCTCGCTTCCACGTCATTGAGTCAATAGAAGATGCATGGCCAGCAGAGTTTCGCCTACCGACCGTCATTACTTCTTGCATCCCAACACATCGCATTGGCAACGTCCCAGCCCCCGAACTTACCCTCCCCAACGAGTGGCTGGGTAGTCGGACAGGCGGTGTCGCAATTGAACTGGGGTACAAGACATTAGATACACCATTCCTAGCCCAATTCCGAGCAGAGTCTCATCGCGGTTGGGTAAGTATGGATGGTCTTGATATGTTGCCAGAGCAGGGTTTTGCCCAGTTTGAGTTGTTTACTGGTCGGAGAGCGCCGCGACGGATCATGAGGAGGATGGTGTTTGAGGCATACCCAAACGAGGAGGGCAAGTCAAATTTTGAGGAGTTACAGCCACGGTTGCAGTCGCTTGATGAGCAGGAAGCATGATAATGAATTGAAGTTTGAGTAATATATTGAATGGCTCATTGTTGTTGACTGCGTTAGCAACATTCATCCTTCGTGACTCACCTCATACACGGCTGGCCCAACACCCAGGCCGCATAAGATCACCTGACATGACTTGTTATCCTTACACCAACAACAATTTGCTAATCTTGTTCATTCCACTCTCTTGAGCAATACGGGCGCATCACGTTCCGCTTTGGTAGGTGGTGCTCCCTCGCTCCATCCGCGCATCTCTTTGGAGGGTCAAGCCTACCCTAAACTTTCCGTTTCGTTTATATCACAATGCTGTCGCAAAGTTCACCACCATCGATTCAAAGGGCATGCCTGTCTCCTATGATACTGGTATCATGATTGGCGACTCTGGAGAAAGCTATATCTACGTTGAGCCCGAAGTCGGCGATTCCAAGCGAGATATGAGCACTGCAACACTCTGGCTCACTGGGAATTGGAACGCAATCACACTTGATGGGTCACCGGATGGTTCGTATCCTGTTACCACGCACACATTTTCGAACCATTCTAATCATTTCATGCCTTTTCTACTCATAGAAGACTTCGAGAGAATGTCGCGAGAAACCGCTGTCAAACTTAAGGGCGCATTGGATAAGTTGAAGGATAGCTAGCTAGACAGGCTATGAGACAGCCTCACTCGAGCCGACGCCCTCTCATCTATTTACTTGCTCTTCATGTAGATCCCAATCGACATATAAATCATCTCGCTCTTCCTTTTTATACAGATAATGATTTCCTTTCTTCAACTTTCTCCTCCCTGTTTCAAGCCTCAGGTATCCATCCACTCCATTTAATCGGCCTGCCCAGTAGTCCCGCTACTCCGCTTCATCATCACAACTTCTTCTAATCAATTACATATTGAACATACCTCTGTATTACCCGGATAAAAAACATGGTTATACAATATACCTAGCTAGTATTCTGGAAATCATCATGTCTGCCCACCAATTTCGTTTTCTCACTGCAAGTCAAATCATTCGGCTCTACGAAACAAATATCATTCGTGCCAGACCTACCCAAGCCACTTACCTCGAGTCTGCTGTTTTCTCTCCCCAGCAACACATGCATTATGGTCAAAATGATCTTTTTCAGCTAGCAAGCATCCTCGCCCAAAAGATCACACTAAATCACGCTTATCAGGATGGCAACAAGAGAACTGCCCTGATAGCGGCCAATATGTTCCTACAGTTACACGGTTACCAGCTACGGTGGCACTCTTTACCAGCGACGAAATCGATGACCAGATTAAGGACGCTCATGTTGCTGTTGCAACGAGACAATGGGATGCTGAGCAGTTGGCAAGCTTCTATAAGAGTATAGCAACACCACTTCGACGTGTTGATTGACTGGTTGGTTAATATACTTGTCTCTCGCTCGTTTTGTACATTTCTGATACTTGATGACATATAATTTACACGGCGTTTCTGCAGTAAGCCTGTGTGACCTTATTTAACGTCATATATCTAAAATATGATAGGCTGATTCTAGAGTTAGCAACCAGCCTGTGACTTGCCGATAGCCAAGTCGGGCAAAGCCAAAGTCTATCTCCACTTCATCAACAATTACCGACGGCCCGAAGAACTGTTTCTAGAATCTAGAATAGTCATGGGTGCGTCATGATCATGCTCAGATCATCACATGTGCCCCGTTTCCGTATTTGGATGCGGGGGTTTGGGCACCTATATAAAGCCTTTGGACTGCCAACTTCATAGCCCACGTACTAGAAACCTTCATATCAATATTTGAAACTATCAAGGACAACTCTGCACTTCCTTATATCATCATGGCTTGCGATTGTGGATCTACCTGTGGCTGCAGCGGACCTAGCTCTTGCTCCTGTGGCCAGAGCTGCTCTTGCAAGAACTGCGGCGTAAGTACTAAAGGAATCCCGAGTATTATTATATCTGACAATCATGAACAGAAATAAACCCCAGCGCATAAGCACAAGAAGCTTCTGAGGGGGCATGAATGAGCTATCTGAACGGGGCCCTATGTGTTAATAGTTTCCTAGCTCCATGACAAGTCACTGGCTATTAATACAGGCTTTAAATCAAATCACTTTTGATGTAATAGGTTATCGAACTGACGTGGGAAGGTGAATAATATCAAATAAGCCAAGTGTTGGGTCGAGCAATGAATGGTAGGATCCTAACCTCCAGGGATATGAATCCAACGATAGCTTCTTCCGTTCGAAATCAAACTCTAATGGTAATCACCTTGGCTTTTTCCTTGATACCTTGCTTCGATACTAAGCGAATATGGATACAAGCATTGTTATTGGAGCCATTGACGCGAATAGTACCTTGCCGGAGACTGGAGTTTAACCAAGCGCTTAGAATTAGGCGCCTGCCTTCAAGTTGGCTCTGAATTGAACGATCGAGATCAAGGTCTTCTTATCATGTTCAGACTTCGAAATGTGCGTCCAATTGAGGTCTCATCTCTCTGAAAGGTGGGTATATGATATCTCAGGCCAAGATTATATAGTGCTCATATCAAGGCTTCTACTACAGTAAAAGAATTGTCAAAGTCAACACGTTCTTCCTCATGACTTTCCAATGGCTCAGATGCACAAACGACGATCCATGGCATGATCTAATAAAAAGGATTCTGCAAAGATCCATTAACATGTGTCTCAGCGCGAAATTAGCGCTTGCTATTGGCTGTGCTTTATGCATGTTGGTTATGAGTTTCATCTACAGGATAAACCCTGCAATTGGGTACATGGTAAGCCTGCAAATCTGCTAGTGTCACCCTACACTTTCAGCATCTCACACTAACAAGCCTCCCGGCAAGGCAAGTACCGTGGCTCTCTCCTGCAGAAGGTAAGGCATTCTTAGGACTCGAAGAAGGCGCTTCGAGTCAATGATAAAGAGGGAAGCTGCTCTGTGCTTTCCTTTCCGTGGCGTTCATCATACCATACACAACATTCATTATGGAAACCTTCTCAACACAACAACGCAAACACCACGACATCAATATTACAACCAAAGATGTTTCTTCACAAGGATCCAAACCTGGCCCCATTCGGTCCTGGCTATGGGAGACTTTGTCATTACTGTTGGCTCTCGGCTTGCTGATAGCTACTATCGTCATTCCAGCACAGAACAACAATAGAGTCTTGAAACCATGGCCATACGACATTAGCCTCAACACAATTATTGCTATCCTTAGCACCTTTATGAGAGCTTCGATGTTACTTGTCGTTGCTGAACTTGTTGGCCAGATGGGATGGAATGCTATGCAGAAGCCTCGTCCTGTTTCTGATCTTCATCATTTCAATAACGCCAGTCGTGGCATCCTTGGGGCGATCAAGTTATTTTGGTCCGTCCCTCCACGCTTTGTGAGCATTATCGCTGCTCTTGTCATTATCATATCTCCCGCGATCACTCCTTTTGCTCAGCAATCTGTCAGCACAGTTCCTTGCTCAAGAACAGTTGAAGGAGCTCAGGCATCTCTACCAATCTCTCACCATGTTCCTGGCGTCAATTCGAGCTTCCAAACGAGTGCCGCCGGCAATCACATTTCAGGTGACATGAAAGTCGCTATGATGAATGGTCTTGTCAACCCTACGGGCAAGGATACAGCCATAGCAGCAACTTGCTCCACTGGAAATTGCACATTCCCATCAAACTCCCAAGGGATTACTCATTCCTCAATTGCCATGTGCAGTGCCTGTATTGACACTACGGAGCTCATCAACCTGAAAGTTGGAAAAAATAGTTCTGGAGACAATGGTTACGTCGGCAAAGTTTACAACTACACTCTGCCAAATGGACAGTGGATTCAAGCTATTGTCAACAGCCAGATCATGGTAATGTCGGGAGATTTAGATTGGGCGCTCGACACCCCCGACTCCAGTTTTGCCGAGTTGGCCAAAGTCGCCATTTCGAATTTGACAACTTTAAGCTTCACACAGAGCGGTTGCAGCAATGTGACCGATAACATGCACGCAACTTGTCCGGAGGATAGGCTGAGCTCACGAACTCCAGAGTCACTGCGTTTTCAGAATGCCATAGCTACTTCATGTGCCCTCTATCCTTGCATCAAGAAATATCACGCGAAAGTTGAGCAGGGAACATTTATCGAGAAGGTTGTTGATGAGCAGCCCGTTGATTACAACAGGGCTACCAACGACATCGCAGGGGATCGGATCGGCATACAAACGCCATGTTTGATCAATGGCAAGGAATATAAACTTGCCAACTTTTCCCAATCCAACAATCCCTCAAGCACTGAAACAATCGTCGCAGTTGACGGCACCAACTACACAGTCCCACTCCAGTGCGTCTACACGCTCACCTTTCGCTATCGGCAAGGACTAGCAAACTTCATTGAATCTACCCTTTTCAATACCGTTTGCTTGGCCAATATATATAGCGGCTCAAAAGAGCAGCTTGATTGTGGTGACCAATGGTGGCTACCTCCACTCTACAATTCAACATTCGAACGTCTAGATGCTGCTTTTGATTTGTTTGCGACCGCTGTAACAAACAACTTCCGCAAGCAGGGCGTAAGAGCCCCTTCCCTGGAAGGGACAGATAAGGTCTCGGGTCAAGCTACAGAGATGGCTATCTGTACTGTGTTTGATTGGCGGTGGGTGCTGTTACCGGCTGGTCTCATGGCTATCACGATGGGCTTGTTGATAATTGCCGTTATCCAAGGGTTCACTAATCCAGGAATGCCTGTGTGGAAGACTTCTATTCTTCCATTGTTGTTTTATGGACCTAATGTGGTACATCAAACGCAGGAGACAGATTTGGATGATTTGCAGAAAGAAGCCGGCAGGTTGATAGTAAGGATTGAACATGATGAGAGTGTCAGACTTGGACAGGTTGACACTAGAGGGACGGAAAGTTGAGAAGCAATTTCGGGAATGGCGCGTCATTAGGATCTAATTACGTATGTTTGAATAGAAGGAAGTTTAAACCTAGTAGAAAGGCATGATCTTTGTTATCTTGATAATCTCAGATGATAGTCCAATATAAGAATAATACACAATGCTTCTACGTTTCTTACAGACATAGACTCTCACGGTACATTGAAGAAAGGGTCGACTCATAGCCGCCTTGAAATACATGAGCTTCAGATCGATGCCGAACATAATAGCTGATGGTAGTAGCCTGTCACTTGGAGTGAAAAATGAAACCTCGGAGCCGATGTCTTTCGGGAATGGAGTGATGATCGGAATGAGAGCGGAAGTATTCCACTTGATTCTGATTTAACGACCCTGGTCTACGCTGGGTATCTCAACATGATGTCAATGATGTCAAGTGTCTTGATTGACAGAATTAGCTTCAAGTAGCCCCGTGGGGAGCGGCATGGATACTCTGTATAATTGCCGAATTCGGAAATAGATCGGCCTGCGAGAAGTTGATCCAAATACAATAGCAATGAGCTGAACTGTTTTTCCTATATACTTTCTTTGCATTCTCTTGTAACTGTGATTTCAGCGGTTTTAATACAAGTAAATCAATAACCATGAGCTTTAATCTATCCACAACGTACGACCGGGCATTGCTCCGTCCGCTTGTCTTACCTCCTAAAGACCCCAATGCCACGAACGAGCCGGCAAACTTGTGTGACGAGTCTCAATGGCGAGCATCTACACATACATTCCGAGGAACAGATGACCGCGACGAGACTGCTGCGTGGCCACCAGCCAAGTTCAACGACGACCCGTCCAACATTCCCGATGATGAAGCATACAACATCCCATACCATGCAAACAGCAAGAAAGCCAACGACGGTATATTTAAGCTGTACTCGGACTCAGAGCAGAGCAAGAGATCGAGTGTCCCACTGCCGAAGCTGGTCGCCAAGCGATATATTCCAGCCAACCAGGCCAATAACTCTGGACAGGGTATAACTCTTCTCACGCTTACGGGCATGGGAGTTCCCAAGGAGATGTTTGAACCTATGCTTGAAGACCTACTACCTCGATTGCGCAAGTCTGGTGTCAAGGTTGAAGAGGTCTGGGCAATAGACATGCCACTTAGCGGACAGACAGCTCACATCAATCCTGTGGGATATCTATACGCCAATGAGAAGGATATCGTTCGGGATTTGCTGCTCTTCCTTACGGCTTATCTCCCATTACAGCCTGGTGAAGAGCTACCGAAGCATCTTGAACCTCGCAGACCAACAGCCCAAGCTCAACAGCCTACGCGACAGAATCTTCATGTCTTTGCCCACAGTCTCGGTGCCCAAGCTGCTATTCTAGCATCCGTCCACGCACCAAACATCTTCAGCAGTCTCATGGTTGTCGACCCAGCAATGATCCCCGCCGGAAAGATCAACGACGCCATGACAAAACTCCCCAAAGAAATATTCTGCCTCGGTCTCAAGAAAGACTTCCCCGATCGCAAAGCCGTTGAAACAGCACTTCGAGAGAATAAACGTACGCTAAACTGGGATGAACGCGCTATCCGCATGTTCACCCAACACGGTATAGTCCCCAACGACAAGGGAGGGGTCAAGCTCATCGCTCATCCCCGTCTGGACTGGGCTTTATGGTACGATAAGCAGACTCCCGCAGAGTGCTATGATCGGTTTAAGGACATAAGTGTCCCGTTGCTTGCTATTATGCCAAAGAGGCCTTTTGCTGTGCCGACAAAGATGTTTGAGGCTGATGTTAAGAAATTGAGGGGGAGGGTTGATGTTCAGTGGGTTGAAGGGACACATCAGGTTGTTTATGAGAAGATGGATGAATGTGTTAGGTTTGTGGAAGAGTGGTTGGGTGATATTGCTGGTGAGAAGAGAGCTAAGCTGTAGAGTATTAGATAGTTTTACAGACTAACGCATTATAATCAACCTCGTATTTGCAAATAATTTCAATGTGCAGTCTATATATCTTTATCCATCTACCACTCTTCTAATCTTTTAACCTTCACGTATAACCCACCAGCTGGCCGTGCCGTAAGGCCACCTTTAACATCAACATTCCTCTCATCCATCAACTCCCCATCCCTCAACTCAAACTCAAAACTTCCAACCCACCCCGCCAACAAGCACGCCAACTCGGCCCTCGCAAACCCCTGTCCAATACACCCCCTCGGACCCTGCAAGAACGATAAAAACCCATATTTACTCTCTGCACCTCCATGTGTACTCTCATACAACCATCTATCAGGGTTAAGCGACTGTGCATCTGCTCCCCAGAGCTTAGTACAGCGGTTTGTAGCCCAGGGTGCTATGACGATTCGTGTGCCTTTTGGGATAAACTGGTTGAGGATAGTTGTGTCGTGGGCTGCTTCACGAAGGGTTTGGGGAACGGGGGCGTAGAAACGCAGGATTTCGCTGCAGACGGCTTGGAGATAGGGCATTGAGTCGATGTTGATGCTGGAGATTGGGGATTCGTTTGCTTGGGTGAGGGGAGGGAGGCGTTGGCGGATTTCGTGGCGCAGTCGGTCTTGGACTTCTGGGTGTTTGGCGAGGAGGTAGATGCCCCATGTGAACGCTGCTCCTGTTGTATCATGACCTGGAACTGTTAGCTATAACTAAGGTCCTTAGGGAGAAGACTTACCAGCCGCAAGTAAGGTCATGGCTTGATCGATCAGTCCATCCTCAGTAAATGTCCCAGTCCGTATCGCTGCGGATATGATATCCATATCGTCTAATTTCTTCTCCTTTAGCTTCTTTTGCTTTGAAGAGATAATTTCTCTACACGTCTCCCGTATTGACCGGGCCGCATGGCTCATATCCAAGTTGAGCTTAATAGGTAAAGCTGTAAGAACCCATGCTGGAACCAAGCTCTCGATAAGGTGCAGCATCCGAGCTCGAGCTGATGGCTGAAACACGACGTTGTATGTCTTTACTAGCTTGTTATCCTCTTCCTTTATGGCACCGAAGTCCTTGCCCAGGCCTGCCACACCGATGAGGTCCAGAGTTGTTCTCGAAGCCCATTCCACCACTTCCACGGTCTCAGCTCGATCAGCTGTAATCTTCTCGATCATCTCTCTCGTCTTATCCCAGAATAGTGGGTAGAGAGCTTTAATGTTCCTCGGTGCAAAAGCAGGATTCATACTCCGCCTCTGCAGCTTATGGGCATCTCCCTCAGAGAGGATAAGACCTATTCCTAAAAATCGTCCTGCTGTTTCTCTTAGGCTAGCAGGTTTCGGAAAAGAGTAGTTCTGGGTAACAAGAACTTCATGGAGAGCCTCGGGGGATGTCAGAACGATTCGTTCAGCGTTGAAGAACCCTAGGTATCGTAGTAGACCATCGTTCGGGACCGTTTCGTTCCTACACCAGCCTTTATGAGTAAAGTGGAAAGGGTTTCAGTTAAGGTTTACGTACCATTCTCTCACAGGCGAGCAGTAAGGCTCTTGATACAGCTTCATACCATGGCCCCAAAGCCAATGATTTCCTTCAGACGTAGGTATATGTCTAAGAGGTGATATGAACCTAGGGCGGATAATGATCCTGTAAAAGCACCAAAGTGTTGTTTCTAAACACAACGCGCCTAGTAAGCCAAGCAGAAACATTGACTCCTGGTTATCATCGTGTAGCAGGGCCAGCAGATACCCCGAAAGGGTAGCACCAGCCAGTACAATCTGCCACGTTTCTATCATGGCGTATAATCGTTTGATTCATAGGTAATTGACTTGATAGCATAAAACTCTGCATCATGAATCAATGCAAGGTTTCAAGGAACCTTCGCCAAGATCGGTCATCTTTAATATGGACGAAGAATTTACCGCAAAACTCAGGGGTCCAATAGAATGAACTTGACAATCAAACATTACGCCTTAGACTAGTATACCAAACACGTCAACTGACATATAGATCGTGTTTCCATTTCTTCAGCTCCGTGACGATCATTTACAAGGGAACTATATGATATACCGAAAATGTCTAGAGCCCCACATCCGCCTTGATCCTTAAATGCCGTCTTCCCGGAGACCTAGTGGATCGATGACGCAGTACCACCACTATATATCTGATCCTTGGTGTGAATTAAACAATTCCGTATCGGTAAAAGATAATAGTCTTTTTACTCGACTAAGCGCTGAGACGAGAGTTAGCCTTATGCCTATTGAACTTGGTTGAGGAGTGACGTATGGAGCGTGTTGGCAGCCAATCAATGACAAGGAACAACACTAGCATTGCTCTCGTTCACATAGACCTTGAATTCTGACAAACACTTACTATTCATATCTACTGTAGCTCCTTAGATTTACTGTATCGGGTTGCTACTGTATCTATAGCTCATATTCTTGACTGGCATATCAAAAGGTCATCCTAGAAAGATAGACTGCACCAACAGCAAGAACAGCCGGAAGACTTAGAGATGAACCAATTTTACAAGCACTGCTGGGCTCAGAACTCGTAGCTGCTGCTTCACTGCTACTTGTTGTGGCATCACTACCAGAAGTTGAAGTCTCTGTGGCTTGAGCTTGACTGGTCGTCTCAGCTTCAGCTTTGTTTGTAGTCTCTACGGAAGTTGAATTTATATTCTCATCAGAAGACTATTCTGTGTTAGCAAATCGATTCAATATTCAGAGGTCTGCGAACGAACCGTTGATCCTGTCTCAATGGCTTGACTAGCATAAGCCGTAACAGTCTCACAAATCCTTGTCAAAACATCCGCATAAACTAGCACCGAAAATCAGCTCTCATTATCCTTTAAATCTCAAACTGCAACTCACGGTTATAAGCGGATGGACCGCAAATAGTCCAAACACAATCCTCCTCTCTTTCAACCCAATCAACAGACTCATTACACCAGCACTTAAGGACACTTCCTCTAGTGCAAGACGTGTAGTTTCCATAAGTCTTATAACAAGCTTGAAAACATTCTGCGCGCTTTTCTTCAAGATCAAAAGCTTCGGCTCCTGAGGCCGTTGGGGCAAGGGTAACGGTTGCAAGATAACCACTTTCGGTGTTTGCAGCCGTTGTCAACCGTAGCAGGAAGGACAAGGTGATAGGTAGATAAGACCTCATAGTGATAGTTTCAACGTTGGAGAAGCTGTATTGTGGTATGTGGAACTCAAGAAGTACGATCAGAAGGGCTCCATGGTCTTTATGCAATTGCTAAGGCGCATGAGCTGGAAGCAGGGGGTCGTCTTGGCAGCTGAACATTTTACCAGCTTGGCATTTCACTGACACCAGCCAAACCTCAAAAGTCAGCCACGTGCTATCAAACTATAGGAATAGCGCCGACCAAATTGAGTTGACAAGGCATATCAAGGCAGAATTACTGAATTGAACGCGGATACAATTCCGCACAACGTCGGACCAGCCATGTCCACATTGCCATCTCACCTTCAGGTCATCTTCAAACTCAGAAAATATGTCTAATTCGTCTTTTGATCATTTTAACATCTCTAAATATGCATGTAGAACCGCCCAAAACCAACACCTTTACATCTCACATTCATCGCTGTCCGCTAAGCTCCTTCTCAACCTGCTCCTTAACAAGCTCTCTCACAGCCTTCCAATCATTCGAAACATCAGAAACTCGCTTAGGCAACTTCTCAAGACCGACAAACTCCTCGGGAAGAACCTTCTCCTGGAAGTTAAAGTCCTTCTCATCCTTAAGAGCAAGCTCAACAGCACCAGCGAACTTGGCGGGGTGGGCTGTGGACAGAGAAATGTGAGGGATGTTGGCCTCGGCGCGTTGGGCAGATCGGAGAGAGGCGGTGACGCCGACGGAGGAGTGGGGATCGAGAATGTAGCCGACTTGCTCGTAGATGTTCTTGATGGTCTCGAGAGTCTCGGGGTCGCTGACACGTTCACTCTCAAAGGTCTTGCGGGCGCTGTTAAGAACGTCCACGTAGACGGGGCCGAAACCGCCCTTGACCTTGAGATCCTTGAGCCAAGTAGCGACTTCTTGACCAGCTTGCTTTCGGTTGAACTCAACATCCATACCAACAGTAGCAGCAAACTCATAAGCCAAGAACCAAAGCAGACGCTCAAAGTTACTCGAAACCAAAATGTCCATAGCAGGGCTAAGAGTCTCCTTGACACCCTCCTCGTGAGCCTTGACTCCATCAACCTCCAGACCGCCCTCAGCCTCGGGGCCCTTGGCAGGCTGCTTCTCGTACTTTCCAGTCTTCCAGAATCGATCAAGGATATCGTTCTCGTTAGTTGCGATAACAAGCTTGTCGACGGGAAGACCCATGCGAGTGGCAAAGTATCCGGCGAGGATGTCGCCAAAGTTTCCGGTGGGGACGACGAAGCGGACTTTGTCGCCGACCTTGAAGGTGGAGGACTTCTTGGCGAGGGAGAAGTAGGAGTAGAAGTAGTAGACGATCTGGGCGAGGATTCGGGAGAAGTTGATGGAGTTGACGGCGCCGAGCTTGAGGGAGGCGTTGGTCTCGGGGTCGCCAAAGAGGGCCTTAACGATGTCCTTACAAATTTATTAGCGCCACGCGAAAGGCGTACGAGAGGTATACTTACTTGGCAATCGTCAAAGGTACCAGTGACGGCAAGGTTATGCACGTTGGCATCAGTGCATGTCGTCATCTGAAGCTCCTGAATAGGGCTGACACGGCCCTTGGGATGCAGAATAGTAACAGACACATCCTTCTTACCCCTCAAACCATGGATAGCGGCGGATCCAGTCTAAACACACGTTAGGATATTACCGCAATCAGGCCATAACATGACTCACATCACCACTCGTCGCACCAACAACAGTCAAGTGATGTCGGTCCTTACCCTCCTTGCCCTCGTTCTTTCGCGCAAGGAGGTACTCGAAAAGGTTACCGAGAAACTGCAGCGCGCAGTCCTTGAAGGAGTAACTGGGTCCGTGGAATAGTTCGAGGAGGTGAAGGTTGTCCTTCAATTGGACGAGGGGTGTGACTTCTTGGGCGCGGAATGTAGAGTAGCTTCGGTTGATGATGCCTTGTAGGTCTTCGGCGGGGATTTCGCTGCGGGAGATGTAGAGGCTGAAGATCTGGAAAGCCAATTCCTGGTACGAGAGGTCCTTCCAGTTTTGCTAATGTCGCGTTAATCATTGCCTCATTAATCCAACGCTTTCGATCGGAGCCAGGAAGTATAAAGGATATCGGCATTGATCGTTCGTACGCACCCATTCTGTCGCAGCGGGAATCTCATGGGGGAGGAAAAGACCGCCATCGGCGGCCAATCCCTTTAGGACAACGGTCTCGAAGGAGAGCTTTCGAGGGTCAGCTGAGTGCCAATTGCGATTGTAGATAGATGTATCGTACACCGTAGTCACCACCTCTTGTGGAGAGGTATACTTGCGATTGCGTATGCGTCGAATCGTTGGCCATTGTGCTTTTGCTTGTTGATGCTTGGAAAATTCTTGGTGCCCCTCGTTGGGAAATGGGATGGAATGAGTCGCGAATGGCAGCCACCCCGCCGGAATTTTAATCGGCCGGCCGGTATCGGAGTCATCAGATACTACCCGGGACTTGATGGGATGAAATAGAGTCATAATGTTTAAAAGAGTTGCGATGATTGGTTCATTGTCCTTCTTATACTATGCGATGTATCCGATTTAATAAAAATATAGAGGTGCTATATAATACTTGTTACCGAGCTATTGGTTCTACGGTTGCGATGTAAGGAAAGTCCTCTACTCTTCACAACTTCGGCCACTGCGTTATGAGCTGTAAACCCTGTCACTTATTTTCGTCACTTCATACCAAACCAAGAATTGAGGATTTCGTCAGGTAGGGGATATAATTTTTTATTATCATACTTATATATCTACCTATACATGAGTCGTCGCTTCTGAGAAGAGAAGCTCCACAGTCGATTTGCTGCCATTTGCCTCAGCCGCGAGAATGACCACGTCTCTTCAGCTCGGTGATTTCCCTTCTTAGCACACAATCATCCTTGAAGTCGATCCGCCAGCGACTTGACCTTAACTCCAAGGCTCGTATTCCTTCTACAGGGGATGGAAGAACGGCACAGCAAAGAGATTACGAGCCTGGGCAGCCAATCACAGCTCTTCTTTCTTGAACTAACCCATTCGCTTCTACCGCAATCTCCTACAGCATGGGTCGTTTAAAGGTCATAGGACAACAATTCAGCCGCGAGAAGAAGGATTTGGGGAACGCTAAAGATCATACGTTACAGCTGGCCCATTTAGTCACCGGGTAATACTGTCAAGACCCTTGTGAGATTTTGGTTTAAAGCACGGCCATCCTCTACGTCAAAATCTCACGTCAAATCTGTCGTTAAACTCGTCACTCGCTTACACAAGACACATTCGTTAAAACAACCAAAATGGTTAAACCAAGTCTTCTCTCCGCCATCCCACTTCTCATGCTCGCCGAGCGAGCCCTTGGATTCGGCTGTTCAACTCATAGCTTCACAACCTGCGAAGATAAAATAGTGCATTGGTTCGATCCCGATGATGGAATGATCTGTGATCCTCTCGACTGCGGCGGCGGTCGAGCACCCCCAAAGACAGGTGTACCCGGATGCGCAGGATATACCGGCACAGAAACAATTGGAACTTCATACCTTTCATGCTGGAAACCTTCGACTACGCTTGTTGCTTCAGCGGCTGAGACGACACCGGAAACAACAGTGACGGAAACTCCTGAGCCTAGTACCTTGGTTGAGGTTGAGACGAGAACAAGGACGAAGCATGTTACGGCTGAACCGACTGAATCGACTGGAGTTGCGGCGGTGACGACTGGATCTACTACTGTGGCGCCTGTTCTTCCATCTGAGACTAAATCGACTGAGGAAGCTGCTTCTACTTCTACACCAACTGTTGCGTCTACCACTGCTGCGCCTAATGCGGCTCGAGTTTTGGAGGGTTCTCTTATTGCTGTAGCTGGCGTGGCGCTTGGAGCAATTATCCTTCTTTAATCCGCTCATCTTGACGGTTAATGATTGACGGGAACATACTGATATACGGCATGACTCTTATAATGATGTCAACTTTTTGGCATAAGTAATATTTAATTTTCTCTCCCTCAACAGGGGCCGAGTCTTACTTTTCTGGCCAGCTACCATACCCATTGTGAACTGTCGAGGCTTGATGACCAAGAGTCTCAGTTTGAAGTGAAGAAGCAACATCCAATGGATCCAAACGCAGCTCTACAGTGGACCATCAACATCTCGAGATTTCCCTCGTTATTAGACTTCTCATCGCGGCTATTCGATCCAGATAGTCGCCCCAGGATTGTTCCATTTAATGACTCCAGTAATACGGCCTGGTCCATCCAATTTATGCGAGCATAGTCCTGTTGATATTCCGCGAGCAACAGCTCAATCTCATTCTGTTGGGTTTCCAAAGCACTCGTCGTCGCCCACTGCTCAAGTGATCAGTGATTTACAGCACGCAGGAGATCGTACTAGCCGAAACATGACTTACCACAGCTACCAGGCATGGTGGGATATAGCTGGCACCAAGAGGTCTGTGATGGGATGCCATTTTAGCAAGGGTGATAAGTTCGTTCGCCAAGGTTGATGCTTCTAGAAGTAAAACGCTATCGTCTGGATATATTGCTCGGAGTATGCGATTCAAAACTATTGCTGCCGTAAGAAGGATCGCACCCATGACGCGGAGCTTGTGGCTAAGCTTTGGTCGACCGCGTAAGTCTTCAGAAGGAGATTTCTGCCTCTTTAGACTCTCGAGGTGGCGCTGTATTCTTGCGTGATTGTCTCGCATCTCTTGATATGTGGTTTTGATTTCGTCCATATATCGCAGAGGCTCATGCAAAAACTTTGGTATCCTGGGCAATCTTTGTACTTGAAAACTTTGAATATGAAAATCCTGATCTTGATTGTATGCGTTCTGGCGTGACTGTGAGGTTATGAGAGGGATATGATCTGCCATGCTGATGACTGGGTCGATTAGAGCTTCGAGAAATAGAGCCATCAGTGAGGTCTCAAGTAACTTAAGTTCAAAAGTGCCACTCCAACTCTTTTCGGTTGCTGTATCCATAAACCGCGCAAGAATCTGTCCATGACTTTTCAAGTCATTATTTGCTCGTCCCAGCCAGCTCTTCCGACTATGTCAGTGCCTGCTCGTTATGTGAGGGAGGTAATTACCTGGCATATCGTCATAATTTGAAAGGCCGCAAGATACTCGGGACTGAGCCGTGTGCCCGTTATATTCAGGGAAGCTTTCAATACTTTCAAAACACAGTCATACTTGGCCAGAACCTCAGATGGGATGTCATGTGTGTAATGATAAGGCAAGGCACTCATCATTAAATCAACTGAAGCATCGAGAGAATGGATGCGGCCAAGCCTGTTGGGAATATGCTCCAGGAAGACACCATAACAGTGAAGACCGTATCGAAGGTCTGTTATTTTCAGTGCCGCAACAAGCTTGGCCTCGAGAAGAGTTGATGAGTTCTGGGGTTTATGTAAGATGGATACCGGAGAGGATTGCTCGCGTTTTCTTGTTCTTTGAAAGCTGGCTTTGGATGGCTTGGTGAATGATACTGGCTTGAAGACATATTTCTGTTCGCCTGAACCGACACAGGGTACTCCAAGCCGAGCACATCTTGAGCAAGCTGGCTTGGCTTGGTCACACTAATTGATGTAAGTAAGTTCCTAGTGGGGTTCCTCGCAAGGACTTGGATCTCTGTACTTACTTTCTTCTTTTGCTTCAGACAAGTATTACAGCCTCTGCTTCTTGGAACACCAGGCATGATAACGAACAAAGAATTTGATATTCCAAGCCAACCGAAGTATTCTAGCCTTGATATAAGTGAAATCTATTTCTTTTATGATATTACATGCTTGGCTTATGAGGCGATATTATCCCCACCACAAATATGACAGCGCTGGGTAAGACCATGTTGGGAATAGTGGCATGCTTTGGCGCAGATCGCGTGGTGCGTCATAACAGCGATTTGGGTAATTTCTGCCGATCAGGACCCTGGATTTCCAATAGTATGGTAGCCAGGAACTTTAGACCCGGAGGGTAATATTCAATATTGCATAATAGGCCGATCTGGGATCTGCCATCTGATGGTGGAGAAGGCAAATGTAAGATTATGAGACGGAGTTCGGGTTTATGGACGGGATTCCGATGACGATATCCACCTCGAGGGATCTTGGATTCCTTAAATTAACCCTAATCTGATTGCAGATTATGTGAGGCTGCTGATGGGCTCTATGCCGTCCAGTTTCAGGGACTGACAGTCATCACGGATCTTGAAGATCTCCACTCAATGTCACAAGGAGACGCGGATCATTTTATCTTTGAAAATGAACCTTCTAGGGCTGAGGCAGGTGACCGCTTGAATCGCCACCTTTGTGGTTTGGGTCATGTTGAGCAGATCACCTATGTTACTTGAAATATTCATCTGAAATGTCATGGCTCGATGGTACAAAGACCAATTTTTACAATAGCTCAAATACTGAGTACTAATTAATCATCTCAGAAGTATTTTAAGTAGTGATTTACACGACGAAAGAGGTAATAGAAAAATGGGCAGCCAAATTGTAGACTCGACGACTCAACGACTCGGCGTTGAGGCTCTATCATCCCATTCCAATCGACGCTATACCACAATGAACCAGCCTATCAAAAATACAGGACATGATCGGAGCAAAGGACCCAACGAATCAGAAAGAACCTCTCATAAAGAGGCCCAAGACATAAAGCGCATCATGCTTAAACCACCATGACATCATGTTTCGAACATAGAAAAAGCACTTAAAAGTTTATAACCAAGAAACCGGTATCCATTTGAGTCAATTACGCGTTTGTGTGATCCCAGCCTTTGAATCAGGGCTTTGCACTCTCGTTAAAATCATGGCAGTTTTGATCATCAACCAAGTTACATCAAATTACCAAAATGACACCTCAAAGAACGCCAAGTGTTTCTGATACATCGACATCATCAGCTCAAGATACCTCTCAAAGCAGTGGTACTCGACGCATACTCCCAGCTGCTCGCCCCCGACCGGCTGAGAGTTCTAATCATGCTTATCAGACTGCTCCCTTGGCAAGAAAACGAGCTCCAACGGCCTTGGCATGTGAAGCATGTCGACAGAAGAAAATAAAGGTCAGTATGGTTTCTATTTGTGTACCGGGGCGATAACTCATCGGTCTTTACAGTGTAACGGAGTTCGACCGGTATGTTCTCAATGTCGGGCGCGGAAACTCGAGTGTGTGTACAGACCGTCGCCAGAAACAGACTATCGTGATAAATACGAATCACTTCTAGAATCACACCCTGCAGCCGTTGTATATCGAGCTATTCAAACACGCCCACGAGCTGAAGCACTCGAAATCGTTCGACGGATTCAAGCTGGTGTCGATGCCGAAACCTTGATGCGTCAACTTTCAAGCGCCGATTTACTCCTCCAAGTACAGCTCGTGCCAGAGACAAGATCTCGATATCAGTTTATTTACTCTCCGCTTATGCCGACGTATCTTCAGACTGAAGACAATCCCTTCATGAGATCTCTCATACATGAATGGAGTACAAGAGATGATGTTGTTAGTATTGCATCTCCGGTTATTACCGAAACAGATTTAGGATATCGGGCACAGTATTTGACACCTCATCACGCAGCAACCATCGTTGACTCAAGGCTGGATGAGATAGTGCCTTCGAGATGGACTACTGTGGACGCCAGCGATAATACAACGAGGGAGCTTATACGCTTTTATTTCCTTCAAGAATATGACTGGTTCACATTCTTTCATAAGGACTATTTCTTAGACGATATGATCAGTGGATCTAATACATTTTGCTCATCACTTCTGGTCAACGCTGTTTTGGCAGTTGGATGCGTACGCCCCCCCTTATCTACCATAAAGCTCATTCTTGCTAATAAGGTGTCAGCAATGTCGAAATTCTATATCTGAGCCCGCAGAGTTCTGGAATCCCAATAGCCTTGGTTACAAATTCCTTGAAGAAGCGAGAAGACTCTGGATAGTTGAGGTGACGCATAACAGAAGCTTGACAACGTTACAAGCAGCTCTTGTTTTGACTACTATCGTCAATATGTTTGATATGGATCCTTTATCCTCAGCTTTCCTCGTCCGGTCAATGGAAATAGCACATGAGTTGGGGTTGTTCGAACCGACGACCTACATTATGAACAAGAAGCTGAGAAACTCATATGATCTTACGGCCTGGTCTCTGTTCCACTGGCAATGGTAAGACTCTTCTCTTCCAGCTGGTTCATAGCTAACAAAAGTAGTACATTGAGTTGCCAATTCATGACCCAGCCGTTGTTGAAAACGCCACCAAAGACTCCGCTTCCCGATCCTGACCGCGATCCAGACTGGTTTGGAGAAATTTGGCTCAAATATCCTTCGAGTACAACACTGGTCCCACTGCGTATTGCCTCGGTTTTCAAAGCAAAGATAAACTTCAGCATGGTTCTTAACGAGGCCATGCTGAGGATTCAGGAAGATTCACCTGATTCTTACTTATTCCGAAATGGGGCTACGAACATCATTGAGATCGCGGAAAGATTGGATACATGGTATAAAGCTTTACCAGAGCCACTGTCGCCAACCAAGATTGTTTCTCCTTCACAACTCAAGTTACAGTACGTCGGCCCTATCTCACCCGAACCCTAGAGGTTGATGGTAAAATGAGTTGAAAATTGCTAACACCTGTTAGTCTCCATTATTGCTACGTTATAATCCAACTGTACGAAATTCTCGCACCAGGAGGGCAAAGACAAGCCTCAAACCTCCCCATCGAGGAAGAAGAACTCCAAAAGTCCCTCTCAAAGTATCGAGGCTACTTCGAGACCATACTACGAATTCACTATTTGCGACACAGCTTCGAGTACGGAAACATGATGCTAACGCGCTTCCTCGCAATGCTAGCATTCCTGTCCCTAAACAAAATCCAATCCTTGGCAACATCAACCGAACCAGAACAAATCATAACTGGATCTGGATTAGATGTTGGAGATACAGATCCTAAAGAAGCAAGAGCTACGCTTTTAATAGCCCAGAAAGGTCTCAGCGATCAGGGGAGGGGTTATTACCTGCCAAGGACATTGTTGCGGGATATTCTTACGAATATGACGGCGAGTGATGCTATGGTTCTTCAGAGCTTTATAACGATTCCGCCGGAAGGGCCGGAGAAGACGCAGGAGAGGAAGATGTATATGGAGAGTCACTGCCCACCGGATATTCTACGGATAGCGAATGATCCGAGTAAACAGCCGGATGGGAACTGGATACGACGGTTTGCGATGTTGACACTGGGAGAGAAATCTGGGCGTTCGATTTTGGCGATGATATCTGGAGGGAGGGAAGGTTAGGCTGAAGGTCATTAATGTCGGAAAAGGTATAGACACTATAGAAGACAAACTCTAGTGAATATTGCTATTGTCTTAATTTTTAAGCTTCTAAATGAAGCCGCCCCGATTATATGTGACCTTGAGAGAGGAGGGGGCTGTGTCTTGTAAAGAACTACTACTACTAAGTTCTGTGTGGTGATTATAAGCCCTCAGCCACAGGTCTCAACTGCAAACAACTTATCTGTCATGTAAAGAACGCCAACGTTCAGCGGTGCATTATTTACTGTAAAATATCGTGAAGCAACGGCTCAGCAGTAGGGCTGTGACCAAGATATTCTTGAAGTAGCTCTAACTCGTCTCTACTTCCACCGAATTCAAGAATACCCTTCCTATACCTATCCCAGGCGGATACACTCCTAGGATCCTCAAGGAACGTCGACTCGAAGAGCTCTTCAGCAAACACATGCGCACTTAAAATAGCCAATTAGCCGTTGTTACATAGTTAGGTTTAGGTCAACTCGCCTGAGATATGAGTAGTAGCCTGCATCGTAGCCAGAAACCAAATGACCTAGGTCGGCGTGTGGATATCCTTGGTCCTCTGGCAGGGGTGCACGAACAAGCCACAGCTGCTCCAGGAGGTCGTTAAACACTTTGGTGAAATCCATGTTCAGTAGCTCAGTGTGACTTTTCGGATGATGAGCTGTCATATCAAACCGGGCGTAAACCCTGATAAAAGTATCATTAGCCACGAAGCTTCTTGAGAGAATAATACTCACATATGACGAAGATACCACAACGAGCGGGTCACTTGGCGGCCTTTAATCAACCTCTCAATTATATCATCGGGTATACGCTCCAGGGGAAGATAATCTCCAGGGTGCTCTCGAAGCCATTTCTCCTTTAAGCGCAGATCGGTCCTCGTGTAATGGAGACCCACGCGTTTGAGTTCAGGCTTCATCCAGCACCACTTTTCGAGCATTACGCTGAGCGCTTCAGCAAAGTCTGGGGGTGACCTATGACCGTGAAAAGCCACGTAGTTTGTCCTGGCCAGCAAGTCATGGATGCCATGCCCCAATTCTGATCTAGTGGGCCCCTGTTATTTATTCTGTTCGTACGGGGTTTTCTTACCATGGAAGAGAGAAACGATCTGGCTGTGCTTTAGTAAGGTGCAAGCTGAAGGCGCAGGCTGTGGAAACGAGCACATGAGAAGGGTTGCTGGGTACACTCGACTGCCATCTTTTTTCAGGTAGCCCTGATTGAACACTATGTTAGAAATCGGTATCCGTCAGAATCATCTTGACTACTTACGCATTGGAGGTTGACATTCTGGTTACCTTTATACTTGTTGTCTCTTGAAAGAAGATCCATATAGAGGTAGCCAATGAATTGATCTTTCGATGCTTCTCTATCATCCCAAACAGCATAAGCTCGTACATCTTCATGCCATGTTGAGCTTTCGAGTTGGTCCTGAGATATAGGACAAAAGCGAAGTTGTAAGAATTCAGAGAACATCTCCAATATTACTGTGATAACATGCTGGAGTGGGAAATATTCGGCAATCTGCTCGGGATCGACATGCAGGCGCTGTTCGGCTACGTGGGCGTAATACCAATAGTCCCAAGGAAATATCACGCTTTTATCGTCGTCTGGGCTTCTTGGATCATCCCCAGCGTCCTTTTGCTTTAGCTGCACCAAAAAGCTCAAGTCCTGTTTTCCCCGAGCCGATATCCCGTGATGTAAATCATCCAAAAGCCTTTCCACCTGTGGGAGATTTCATTAGTCTCTTCTCTAGTCGATAAGCTGCATGGCTCTCATAACCCAAAAGTCGAGCGTTCAAATCTCTTTACAACAATCTTCTTGAAGAGTTCGGTGTTTTGACTGAGATTATTGGCACTGCCAATATACATTTTCTTCCGTGTGGCACTTTTGGAGGCACTTCGGTATATCACCAAAGAATCAGCTGCTGAAAAGCGAACGAATCGCATCTCGTGCTTTTCTGGGTCTTTTTCGAAACGATCCAGATCATGCTGCTGTACACCGGCCAGTTCATTAATAGTGAACCAAAGACCTCCAGTACCGTCTCTGATTCTCTGATTATACTCTCATCGCATGCCATCGATGCAATTTCTTCTCTCTAGATACTCCTGAATTTGAACTGGTTGCAAAGTGCCATGTCCAACCTGTTTGAACTCTAGAAACAGCTTATCGAGATACTTTTGAGCTTCAAAATGAAGGGAAGTCTCTTGGCAGGCTTCTTTGACAGCTCTTAACAAGAATCAGAAATCTGATCTCGCGGTAAAGGCGGCTAGGTCTTCGTTAACAAGAGTACAAGCTTCTTCAGACGCTTGACGAGATGCTCGGTCGGGTGACGCATAACGAAGCATGGCAATAATGGCAATATCCCCCTGAGTTTCATTGTCCACATCAATTAGAGGCTGAATTACATTGTCGAAGGCGGCTGTTTGTACGTCGACACTTCTGATAATGATTTCTCGTACAGCCTGATATTGACCGACGATGCGTTTCATGGTTGGAAGGATCTGATTAGCGAGTATGAGCCTAGGTAGATGCTGAGGGAGCGTGCTACAGTCCATTTTGTTTGCGCCGACAATAGTAGAAAGTAATTATGAGTTTGCTTAGGAATACGGCATAGTATTCTTGCTATAAATCGAAAGGGAGCAGACAAGCCTTGGCGTGAGGGGCAAACCTTGTGACAACGGACTAACCAACCAATGAATGTGTTTGAGAGAGATCTCTCTGTGTCTTATGATATGATCATTTATATGAGCAAACTTATAATTATTTTCGAGCTTTGAAACATTACGATAGTCATTCCATATCAAGATGGCCGCAACCAGAGCATTACTATCAGAAGATTTCAGCCACGTATATTAGTCATTATACATTATACAAGGGTTCATATATTTCCTATCGATCAGTGAGGCCTAGGAGGTCTCTTAACCTGGAATCCCTTCTCCTGTATCTTTGGCCTGGGCTTAGTAAATGCGTTTGTAAGCCCAGCCACCAGTTTATTCTGCAATTGACTCCTACTCGTTTCATCATGCACCATGCCTGACGAAGGGCCTGCATTTGAATCCACGTCTCGAGTTGGCGTTGACGAGACAAATACCCTTTCTTCATCAATACCATAGAACCTGTCAGACTCGCGAAATGAGTAGTCGACGCCCGGCTGAATTGCCACCTCTGACAGGGCCAAATCTATGCTAAAGTGCCCTTTGCTAGGGCTGCTGTTCTCGGTTCCTTGTGATATTGGAATTGTTAAAACAGCGGCTGGTCGAGGTGCGTGATAAGCAGGGCTTGTTGCTCCTGACCTCGGTGGTCTGTAAAATGTCGATGGATCTGGTTCAAAGCCACACCTTAACGATTCTCTGCTAGGGGCCTGACGATACTCGAGTAGATCCGCGGCCGAATGTGTTTCTAAAGAATCCATGTGGATAGACTTCAAAAAGAAATCAGCAAGTGGTTGAAGGAATTCTTGCAAGAGACTCACAGCAACTAGATTAGACTCTCCACTGATAGAGTGGCTTGAGGAATCCTGATCGGCAGCTTCACCTCTGAATACTGTCTCGTATAACTTCCAAGCATGCTTGATGAAGAATCCAGCAAGTATGGCCAGGCTGTGCAAAATCAATACCACATATCCAATCCATTGTCTCGCGGCATCGCTAATGGGCATAGCAAAAATGCTGATAAGAAACAAGCTTATTAACCGTGCGACTGATATGTAAACCATTGTTGATGTTCTTACCAGCAGGCTTCGTTTTGAGGTTAACTGCGAAACAATAACAAAGGCTTCGCAAACAATCAACATGAAGAGCTGGGCAAGAGGAAAGGCTTGAAGGCCACCAACGCCAATGGCTTGTAAAAGTGGCATTGTATGTGGAATATGGCGCGAGAGTAACCGCCATATTGTATGGAAATCCACATTGGGGTTATTTGTTTCTAAACGGTTGACTCGTGGAGGTTTCAGGTGGTCGCCTCTCTGTTCATCCAGCACTTGGACGAGAAAGTGACCAGCTCCAAGGATTATTAGCAGCATGATGACGGCTAAGCCAATGCGATAGTTTGGTAAGTAACCAATAAGGATAAGATCGTAGGAGATGTATGAAAGTAACGGCACACTGAAGAAGCACAGTGCAACGCCAATAGTTGTCCAGGCAGCCTTCTGGAGTATCAAAAGAAAAGGCAAGGAATGCACCGAACTCGAAGGAGAGAAAGCCCAGGATGAGAGAAGTAAGAGAAAGAATATTGGAGCGATTAATATTATAAGGTTAATAAGGGAGTTCGCCAGGGTATTAAGCATATTCGGGTATCGAAGCATCTGCGTCATGAAACCAAGTCCATAAGAGGCATTGCTGGCGTACATACCGCCGGTCGGTCCCTCATACATATATCCGTTGCTAAATGGACCTGGCCAGTATAGCAGAGATGCCCAGGAGAGTTTGCTCACTGCAGGAACAAAGAAGCCGGGGTATTCAACGCTCATCGATGCCGTTATGAAAGCGAACTGCAGATAGCGAAGATAGCTCGTTATGTCCAGAGCAACTGACCACAACGAGCTAGCATTGAGGCCATGGGCATATGTGAGACTGCTCTGGTTCACTCGCCATGAGGAGAGCGTAACGGCGATGAGAATGCTGAGTGGCACGAATGTCAAAACTGATGAGATCCTGTCACCCAATTCCGGGGTGATTTTCGCCTTCCCGCAGTCCAATTCCTGGCCATCGTCTTGTCTGAAGCGGAACGTTGATTCTAGGGTTTGAAAACTATGTGTGCTTTGGAAGCTGTAAAGCAGGTGATAGGAGCTCAGACGCGTCTGTCCAATCCTATTCGTTCAATTAGCACCCTAACAAGCTCATGAGAGACACAAACCCAGACTTACGGCGTCAAAGTATCAGTGATAGGTAAAGGACAATTATTCGAGAAATTCTCCAACTTACCAACTGCGTGGCCGAGAACTTCAAAGTCAACCGAGTTTCTCAGTGAAGAAACGTCAATGTCTTGACAGCTCATGAGCGATGCATTATGGACCGCGAGGATGTCCAACTCCAAACTCGCTGAACTACTCTCTGCATCAAAAATCCACGATCCTCGAAAGCTGTCGATCCAAAATGGCGTGGTCTCAATTGAAGCTACGCCTTGATATCCGCGGCTGCATGGATACTTTCGAATCCATGGTTTATTTTGCCAGATTTGCTCAGACGAGGCTGGTAGTGTCTGGCTTAGTAAAGCAAGTAGAAGACATGGTTTCAAGATGTTTTGGGAATTTTTTGAAGGCATAGGAAAGGCTCATAGCTTCTCTTATAAGACGATACCTCAGTTTGAAGATCAAGAAGCTGAAGAAGAAGTTGGTTTACTTTATTTGGTAAGCAGACGTCGCGTCAAAGTTTTGGGGTCCCATAAAAGGGGCTACTCTCAGCCAATCGTAGAGCGCGGTTCAAGAAACACTTATTCTATTTTAAGATCTTCAATGGCAATGGGCCGGATATATTTGAACCCACTGTCTTCAGAAGGCTGGCCCAGGTGCCTGACCACTGCACCAAAGGGCATAACCGCAACACAATTATGATTGAAGTGCTAAACTGTACGAATGCTGGGGCTGCTGAGGCTTTATGGCGCACGTCTAGGGTGTTTTTCGCTATCCTGCAGTCTAGTACTTGACCATTGTCTTGCCTGAAGCGAACTGTTGCTTTTGAAAGCTGTAAAAAGGATGATAGGAACTGAGTCGCATCTTTTCAATACGATGTCGCGTTTGATGCGCAAAGCCACACATGTCTAAGGTTATCTAACAATGCTGAGTTCTTCCTAAAGACCTCATAGCGAAGTACTTACCCTGGGTAAATGATTCATGAGGAGATCTTTATCGAAACTGTTCCCACGAACGATGTGGCTCTGAGAGGGGTAAAGAGGAAGAGTTGTAAAATACAAGACATCGCCGATGGGCGACAAGAAGGGCAAATGCATATAAAGGTAGCCAAGCTACCAGTAAAAGAAGCAGACTGAAACCCAAACCTACAAAGGCTCAATTTTCATTCAGGCATGGGTAATACTTCAGCATCTTGAACGCCGTCGGCTTCTGGCTCGCAGACAAACTATCGAACCATCTCCACATTGCTCTGGTGGCTTCTGGCTTGCACACAGGAATTTGAATGAAGCCGGGTGCTCGAATATTGACTTCTTCAGCCTCGCCATCAAGGAGAAAGTCGTAGTTACTTGCAGAGCACCCAAATAGACTAGCACGCCTTTACACAGATATCGCAAGGAATACGGAAATAAATACTTGTTGGATTCACATCCGCAGTATCCAAGATACTCCATGGACAGTCATGCTTCCAGCATGCATTTGTCATCTGCCCAAGCCCTTCTTCAACTGCCCTGATAGCCTCAAATCGGGTCGTTTACTTGTTAAGCGAAACAAGCACTACAGATGACACTCGTGGAATGGCGCATTGGGTTTCTGCAGGGATGACAAGTACCCCCTTCATTCTTCAGCTGTAATCGATGGACTAAGGCTCAATTCCTATGGTAACGCAAGAGAATTAACCAGGTTGAGACCAAGTGTCTATTACTTGGCCTGGAAACATAGGCATAACAAGCCATATTTAAAACGAAGAACTTTTTATTGGATGTAATTAATTGTAGGCATAATGTGCCTCTTATCATTTAAAGGCCCACAGATGTATCGCCATACTGAGATAAAATTGACTGTCTGTCTTTGGAGCCCTCAGTCAATAGAAAGGATTGCAGTTCGTTCAGTGCGGTGATGGCTTGGGCCATTATGACTTTCTCATCGGTGTCATCCCAAACAAGCTCAAGCTTAGATTTGGCCTGATTACTCCTAGCCAGAGATAAGGAGATCGCATCGCTGGTAAGATAGGGGATTTCTCCTTACTAGGAAGTGCATACTCTCAAGACATTGCCAGGACCTATAGGCCGAAGTGGGTAATGAATGGTAAAGCCCAGAAGTCTTGGTTTGTGATTACAAGCCAAGGCTTCATTCAGACTGGTAAATAGTGTCCAATTTGCCGCGTCAACACCAGCCTAATTAATGAGTGGTGGGCAGGAATTGAGCCGAGGAACTGCAGGCCCAGAAGTGAGAGCTGGGTAAGACGGAAAGAGTGTAGATAGCACAGCGGCTATAACGATAAAGATACGCATGGCGAATGTCTAAAGCGGTCATCCGCCGCGTAGAGAACAAGAAATATCAAATAAATGTGTTGGAAAAGAGCGACTTGAAACAGGTTTGAAAGAACGTAATGGTCGGCTACAATACCAAGTCCCTAAACTGGGAGCACTTTGTATTGAATCCTTATAAAGCCCGAAACACACTTCTTCAATTCAGCTCGCAGCAAGCTCCAAATTCAATTCTAGCTGATCATTTCTCGGGTGGCTAATTGTGCATCCTTGGCGGTAGTGTTGGTCCATACAAACAATAACGATTAAAGTCAATGGTGGCATGACTGGAAAGAATGTAACTCTCTGTTGATTCTAGAGTCTTCAAAGCTCGCTCAAATGACCATGTGACAAGGATGCGAGAACTGTGGTTCGGAACGAAGCTCCTTGATCCGATTGCTCTGTGGTGGAATAAATCCTCCACTTCTAATGATACAGGCCATTGAATGCTTGTGACCGACTTTGGGGGCTGAGCTAGACGAGATGAACTGCTGCAGTGACAAGAGGAATATGCACACTTTTGAACCGATTTATCCGGGACCGTAGTACAGTTACAATATGGTGTTAATCAATAGACGAATTGAGAGTACAGACGAGCCAGTTGCCTACAACGAAGACTAGCCAAATTCCCGAGACATTTTATAGTGTATATAAGATGAACATCCAAACCTTGAGATCTACTCCTAGCTAATACAAGCAAGCATTGCGATATTTCTTTTTCCTTTTGTTCGCTACGAAACTATTCTATCTCAGGGTTCTCTCCCTTCTTTTCCAAGCCAGCCATGGCTTCCCATCTCATCATCGGCGTGATGATAAACCATCTATGCCTATCGCCCCAGGAACCATACATAACTGTGCTTCTTGGTACGACAACGATGGTTCAATTCCATGCGAGCTGATCCCATACGCATGGAACCTGACTCTTGAAGAGTTCATCAAATAGGTTTGTTGTGACCATCTCTCCATAACGATCAAAGCTAATGGATAACTTTAGAACCCTTCCATCACAGCAGAATGCGGGAACCTCAAAGAAGACTTCTCTTACTGCGTTAAATATAAAAAGGCGTCTATCCCCGTTAGTTACTCCACGACCAAGTTCACCACGGCTCCCCGGTCTTTTACCGCGCTCGTCCCTTCGAAGACAATACCCACGAAGCCATCTACAACTACCGTTGGTGGCAATGGTGTCGAGACACCCGATCCAATCCAACCTGACATGGTATCGAACTGCAACAAGTTCTACTTTGTCGAGCTGGGTGACAACTGCAATGCAGTCTCCTCCAAGCACGGTATCACCTTAGCACAGTTCACGACTTGGAACCCCAAGCGCAGCACGGGTTACTCAGGATTATGGGCTGATTTCTAGGTCTGTGTCTCCGTCATAGGACATACAGCAACTCCCACGCAATCTACTAAGCCTACCAACGGGATCGAAACACCATCGCCTATCCAAGCCGGTATGACCAAGATTTGCAACAAGTTCCATCTCATCAAATCGACTACCACTTGCAACTCCATACAGGACTACTATAAGCTTCGTCTCAAGGACTTTTATTCCTGGAACCCCGCCGTTGGCACCAATTGTCAGTCTTTGCTCGTCGACTATTGGGTTTGTGTCAGTGTAGTTGGCTGGACACCGCCGACTCCTACAACACCTAACAATGGAATCACCACGCCCACGTCTATTCAGTCCGGCATGACCAAGAACTGTAACAAATTTCACATTGTCAAGTCAACAACCACGTGTGCCTCAATCCAAGACTATTACAAGATCTCATTTGCAGACATCTTTGCCTGAAATCCTGCCGTGGGCTCCAAATGTACATCTCTCTGGGTAGACTATAACGTCTGCGTACGTGTCATCGGCCAAAAGCCTTCACCAACAAGCACAGGCAATGGAATAACAACTCCCACGCCGATACAGGCCGGCATGACCAAGAGCTGTAACAAATTTCATACAGTCAAGTCAACAACGACCTGTACTTCGATTCAGGATTACTACAAGATCTCATTCGCAGATTTCTTTGCCTGGAATCCAGCTATAGGATGTAAATGCACGGCTTTATGGGCTGATTATAATGCCTGCGTGGGCGTTGTTGGGCAAAAGCCTACACCTACTCAACCAAGCAACGGTATCACGACTTCTTTGCCTATTCAGAGCGGTATAACCAAGAACTGTAAGAAGTTTCATCAGGTCAAGTCAACCACGACTCGGGCCTCAATTCAGAATTACTACAAGATTACGATGGCCAATCTTTTCAAGTGGAATCCTGCTATTGGTTCGACTTGTAAGAGCTTGTGGGTGGACTATTGGGTTTGCGTGCAGGCTTAGACCTGCTTTGACGTTCTCTTCTATGTATACATAACTCTTTTTCTCTATACCTCCTTATTACATATACTTTCATATCTTTTCCTAGATCAATCCGTTGAGACAAGAGGGAAGGGTAGCCGCGCTAGTCTTTATTCGTTTGCTAGCTGATACTTAGCGTGCTCGCTTGCGACCAACACTCAACGTCCATTGGCCCGAGCTTAAAGCCCGGTCATAGCAAACACGGCTCCCAACAGCACTGCACTGCACAGCACTTTCAAGCCCCGCATCTCCCGTTTCCCTCTTCCATCCTCCACTTTCTCGGATACGATTGCTAGAATTCATTCATGACATCCTTCTCATGCTCCCGCGCTATCTACTCTTGTGAAGTGCCGCCCGATTGATGTCCCGCCATGGACGATCTACTCGCAATTTCGAAGTCCATCCTGGAGAAGGTGGCACGGCTCCAGGCGCTAGACAACTACTTCAGAACTCCAGAGATCCTCGCGCGACAACAACGCGTCGATCAGCTTGATGAGCTGGTCCAGCAGAATGCTAAGAGATTCCGTGAGGACACAGCTGGGAAGATTGATATCCGACCATTTAGGGCGCTCGTTTTGGAACAATCCAAGCTCGAGGAGGAAATCGAGAAAGACAAAGCCCTGTTTACGCAACGCCTTCTCGACGATTGGGGCACGGTTCCGGAGGGCCTTCAGTCACTCACAGCTTCTACTCTCTCAGCTACACAAGATCCTCTGCCAGCTGATTCGATACCTGCACCCTCGCGAGCTCCCTTGCCAGCTAGCTCGATACCTACGCCCCCAGCTCCACAAGCTCCTTTGCCAGCTGATTTAATGCCCACACCCTCGCGCAGTTCTGCAGTCCACGAAAGTCTGGAAAGAGCTGAGCCAGAGCGCGATGCGACCGTTGGATCCCAACCCCCGTTGACCGATAACGCCGAACCCATCCCGAGCAGAAAACCCAGAACCTCCGCCTCACGACGAAGATCCTCCAACATCTCGCGCGATGACAACCGACCCGTCAAACGCAGTCGTCGAGGCGAAATAACGCCTTCCCTTACACCGGACCGATCTATTGAGTTCAACGAGGTCTATCAGGGTGGCCATGCCCCAGCCAAGTACAGGATTGTGCAGTTTCCGTTTCATCAAGGCAATTGGTATATCTTGGAGTGCAAAGACTGCGATATACAGTTCCAAAGGCACGAAGTTGTTGAGGAGGCCTATGACCACTTTTATCACAATCATGGCCGTGGTTTTGGTATTACAGAGGAGCAGATTGTTCAAAGGCTGGGCACCCATGTGCCGGACTGCAATGCCGAGCTCGCCGACAAAAACAATGCGCTCTGTAGCCTGCCTCCCGATCCAGATGGCGACGAGACAGAGGCTGAAACTGGGGATGAAGAGCCACCCGAACCCCCGAAGCACGCGAATCCACGGAAGAAGAGAGGGAAACGCGGAAGGCCGAAAAATCGCAACAGTCATTGGGTATCTCCCGCGACATTCAAGGATGTTGACCCTCGAATCATCAATGCACAGCCGGGTGACATCGTCTGCTTGTATAATGACAGAACCAAGTTCTTTTCTCCTCTCATGATCCTCCCGTGGGGACCTTTCCCGCGATTCAGCCTCAAGAGAGCAATACAGGACGTAGAACTCAACACATCAATCCCCAAATGCTACGATGGTGCGAAAAGCACGGATGTTGCTCCGCGACCTTGGGCCCCTGGCTATGAAGACAATGGGGCTTTGGCTCACAAGCGCAGCCTTCCGTGTATCTTCTTTCGGGGTGTTCAAGATTTTCCACATGATTGCAGGTCGGGTTGGGTCCCGTTGAACAAGCTCAAGGTCTACGATAAGGCCTGCCCTCGCACTCGTTGCAAAGAATCCGTTGAAGAGTACATCGAATTCTATTCGGAGTGGTGCAATAACCCACCTCCTGGGGTCATGCAGGACGGGGCGCCCGTACCAGAAAGAACACATCGCCGTCAACCAGAAAGCCATCGAGGTCCTGAGAACAGCGCCCTAGATCAATCCGTGGCACGGAGCACAGGTAACACGACAAATCGTAGGCTTTGAGGTTGAAGCTGAGAATTTTTGTAGTTCAAAGCCCTCGACACTTGACGGGACAGAACAGTGTTGCGCCTACAATTGAAGATATTGAGATCAAGCAAGAGTCAGATGAGCAGATCGAAGATGGAGAGGTAGAGGGAGAGGAGAACGAAGACAGAGAGGAACAGGGCGCGAGCGGCTTTCGGAGACACTATAGAATGGGACTCCGTCGCGCGCACATCGTACGCAGTGTTGAGGTGGATGGGTACTGAGAGATTGGTTTATACCCCCTGGACAGAGAGATTTATGGGATACAGTACTCAAGATTGTCTGGTGTAATTGTGTGTTAGGATTCAGAGAGGAGTTGGTTAAGTAAATACCATTGTGCCAGCATGGATAATATTAATGATTGACATGAACCTGAGAATTTTTGTAATGTCGTCTACCCTACAGCGTTTTCCCTTTCTTCACTTTTTGTGAGATTCTGCTCTAGGCAGTTGGCCAAGATGCTTCGGTGGTAAGGCTATATCATAGAAACAGTGGGTAATAATTTCAGACTGCAGTTCCTGTTAATGTCGCTGCCTAACTCTTCTCCCAACATCACAAGGCTCACTCACCAACCCATGAGACTCATTACCGATAAGCCCATGCAACAAGATGACACTGCATATTGATCGGCGAGTTTATTCTCCCGCCCTTCCAATTCTCTTCTAGCAGCAATCATTAGCTCACCGACACTTCGACTCATAAACTGTCAGCATAGCATCGCAGGGTAGCATTAACGACCGTATTGGGCCGTTTTTGCGACAAGTGCTTGATGTGACGCTGTTCCTACATGTTACTTTTGTAAGTCCATTGGCCCCCATGACAAAGAGACTGAATTGACTAATCATTTAAGAACAGAGTGGTATAAAGAGTATCTTAAATGTCGGGCTGCTCTCGATAGACTGGGTACAGTAGCACGTCACTCATGTCAGTCCAACGTCGCAATTCGGCGTCCATTTTCGCTCTGGCCGACCACCCAATACACCATCTCAAACCCCATTGGTTGATGGTCTAAGTCATCGCGCTGACAAAAATTCCAAATTCTCGGGGCTGAGCCTAGCGAGGCGCAGTTTTTCTCCGCGTGGACTGGACTAACGGACCCGCGGCGCCGGCATTGGATTACGTAGGTCAATTTCGAGGCTGAGAATTTAATTCAAATCATTGTGACTGCGGTTTGAATGTGGATCTCGCGTCAACCACTTAAAACATGGTGAACGATGTAAGCTTAATTGAGAGGATGGAGATATATAAGTCTAGTCGCCACACGGTTTAATTGTGATTACCTTATTGTTTGAGTATAGAGTGCAAAGATGTCTACAATTCAGGTATCACCATCGCGTAGTGCGAATAAGACACCAAGTCCGACTTCGAATGTTAGATCGCGAAGATCGCATACAAAGTCTAGACATGGATGCTTAGGCTGCAAACAACGAAGAAAGAAGGTAATTGCCTCCATTCATCATCAATTAACTTCAATTCTAATGGGAATAGTGTGATGAGAAAAGACCTCAATGTTCGCGATGTTTCGATAAAGACATCCCATGTGAATATCCTCGTCAGAAATCTCGTGCCTTGAGATCACCTACTCAAGAAGACTCATGGACTCAACTCCAATCGCTCACCATCCCAACGCCACACTACGCCCGTTCAACCAGTGCAAGTCTCTCAGCATCAGATCTCTCACCCGGCCTCTCACCCTATCTCGCACCAAGTCCCAACTTCACTCTCCTCCCACAAGAACTCCCCCTTCCATCCGTCGATCTCGGCGCCGCAGAGCTCGAACTCTTCAGTTACTATCTCTCCCACACAGCTCGTTCGCTAGCCTACGATGACGATGATCTCTATGCTTTGCAAGTTGGGTTTCCAAACTTGGCTTTTAGAAGTAAACCCCTTATGAGCTCCATTCTCGCACTAGCAGCTGTACGAAAATGCCACGATATGATATCTCAACCTTCGCAGAGGATTGATAAGAGTCAAGTTAGACATTTACTTGCTCTTGCGGATGAACATCATAGGGTTTCTCTTCGTCAGACAAGGGCTGATATTCCAATTGCCAATCATTACGATCACGTTGTTGCCAATGCACCGCTGATGGTTCTTTATGCAACGGCGAATCATGCAGTGAGAATTCACGTTGCAAAGACGCTGGATGATGGCAGAGGTGCGAGTTTGGCGCCGGCGCAGTTACATTGGATGACGCTTATCCGGGCGGCGCATTTGGCTTATACAGGCCTTTTGCACTCGACCAAGGATTTTGGGTTCTTGGAGGACTTTACGGCTAGTCCACCTGGTATAACGCTGAATAGCCCGTCGACTAACGGGCTAGTTCCTTTGGGAGAGAACGGACCTGCTCCCCAGACAGAGCAACTTCTCATGCCAATTATCGCGGCGACTTCTGGTTCGGCGCTGGAGAAGTTGAGAAGAAGAGCGCAGGCTCTAGAGTTTGCTGCGCATTTGAAGCCATCTTGGGAGTCACCTGGTGAAGATACAGAGCTTCAAGCATGTCTTGTAGCTCTTGAAGCGCTGGGCAGTATCGTCAACGAGCTATTTCACCCAGATCAGAGTCAAACTTATGCAGATTCTCAACAACCCGATCTCGAAGCGGGTTGGGCTGCATTGAGTCAACTCTCAGATGTATCACCCTGGCTACGAAGTTACATGGCCCGCGTAACATTCTCCACACCACCCAAGCCCCTCCGCCGAACAATAATGTGGTTTCTCAACCGGATCCCCAGCGAATTTCTCAGTATCGTCGAGTCTGTCCTAGATAATATCCCCACGAGTCCAGATAGTATTCCCGACGAGGGTATCCAGTGCGAGGGCGACGTCTCTGAGACGACGAGACTTGCTATGGACATCTTTTGTCATTGGCTTGTTTTGGTTATGTTGTTAGATGGTGTTTGGTGGATTGGAGGTATTGGGGCTTGTGAGTTGGGGAGGATAATGAAGTATGTGAGTAGGAAGAATTTCTTTGGGGAGTTTGTGGGGATCGAGGCGTGGTGGCCGAGGAGTATGCTTAATATTGCTATGGAGATTGGGAGTCAGAGTTGAGGCAGGGATAATGTAATAGAAAAGACCTTCGAATTAGACATAAGACTTTGGGTGTCCAGGGAGTCGAAGGAAAAGAGGGAACATAGATCTCTTGCGTGATAATAATCACATCTAGCTTCTGCCTTAATTGGAACCGTATATACCAACAATTCACAGTAACATGTATTCAGAACTGATATTCATAATTTATTTTATAATATACCTTTTATATACCTATCTCGTTTTCTTATACTTACTACCGGATAGCCTATCGGGACTGATCATTCCTTGTCCGCGCCGGTACTGGCTCCATCGGAATATCCTCCACTTCGTTGGTCCTATCATCCTGTCATCAAGTCAGTCAAACCCCTGCATATATCATTAAAACACGTGCCTCTTGTATAGTGATCATATTATCCTGAGATTCCCCTGTCCGTCGTGGAGAGTGAGAACTCGATCGTCTTGCATCGCCTTCATGCCATGGTCGTGCAGCGCCATCTTCCACAGAAGCCTGGCTATAGTTCGAAGCAAATTCATAATGACCATCATCTCGAGACCCAAATGGATGCAGAATAGAGCCCATTTCCGCTCTCGAAGATGATCCGAATCTCGAGCTTTTCCGTTGAAAGCTAGGGCTGGCAAAATCAACAGAAGTGTGTTGGTTAACAGACGGTGATGCGTTATCTCGATATTCGAATGTTGTAATCTTTCGCATGGCTGATTCTGAGATTCTGTCAAGTACGCTTTTGAAGTCATCGAGAAAGATGACATCAGAAGCACATTTGAAAACCAAAGCGAGCTAAACCTGTCAGAAGTGGCTTTATAGAAGAACAAAGAAACTCACCCTCCAGAAAGGATTGATACCTCCTCTTTTTGACACGGCTATCATGAAAATGACATCAGTGATCAAAAACACGATCGACAGGAACAAACAGAATAACATGATTCCGAATCGTGGACTTGTTCGAATAAGGCCAGGAATCGTAAACTCGTAGTTCTCGTTGATGGCCAGAACCAATTTGATAGTCGTAAATACCCACCAGGGGTCTCTGAATAGTGGTTCGAGTAGTCGTGATGTGTTGAAGATTTTGCTACCGAGATGGTTGTGATATTGAAAATTGGCCCAGGTTTCGAGAACCCAGTAGGGTTGGACAATGAGAAGTGATATGATGAAGATACGGGCTCCCCATTTTGGTAGGAATGGACGGATCTTTAGCCATGCGATCAGGTTGTGGATGAGGTATGAGATATATAATAGAGTTGCGGTGCTGCTGAGAACCCTGTACCAAGTTAGCTATGGATATCATGTCTCAAATCAATTGAATACTACCATCCATATTCAGGCTCGTCAAAAAAGCAGAAGAACCCATGTCCAAGTGCAAGAAGAAGCTATTTGCGATTAATCGATATTCGATGGAGAGAAACAAAGGAATTACCTACCTCACCGAGAATAAGCTTATGCAAAAGCGTATTCTTCCGATAATTGCACAAAACCAATAAAATCAGAATAACAACAGCCCCAACATTAAAGCCCTGACTCCACGCCTCTAACACCTGCTGGGCTCTCGTAGTGACATCGGGATTTGGCGCCATACCGACGACATTGTGCTCGTTACCCAGACTAAAAGTTGTAAATCTGGGGTTGTCAGCAAAAGAAAGGGGATGGAATGCGGCTCATTAAAGTAGAAACCGCAACGTCATGATTATCCAACGTAACGCAAGGGTTGGTTGTGTCTTGCCAATGCTTGGCTCGAATCAAAGAGGCGAGAAAGATGCTGCCTGGACATGGGTTGTCTGGTTGTGGGCACCAATCATGTTACAAGAGGGCGTGTGAGATTGTCAGATGGGTTGGGGTAAGTGGTGAGACTAGCTAACGTTGGGCGGGTAAATGAGGCTGAGATGGAGAAAGTCAATTGAGAGCAAGGATTATACAGGGATCTTGATGAGTTATTAAGAGAGCCAATTTGATGTTTGCTAGAGGTACATAATACTATGGAGATATCTACAGAGCATACTTGAACAGTGGGCTCTTCTCACCCATGCGAATGAGATCCTCATCTGTATACCTCTGTCTGACCTCTTCCTCAGTCATCTTAGCTTTCTTAGCATTACCCCTCTTAAGAAGAGTCTCCAGCAGCAAAACTGCAACAACACCGGCCAAACCGAAAGCCAGAGAAGTACCGTAACCAGTTGGGTATCGGGGAGCTTCACGCTCGAGGTAAATGTAAGAGCCGATGAGACCGCCGATGTTGCCGACGCAGACGAGAAGACCAATGTTGACGGATCGTTTGGCGGGGTCGGGCGTGTTGGCGACGTTCCAGGCGTTGACACCGGGAAGAATAGGATACATGCTGGTAATTGTTAGTGACCGAGTATGATGATGATAGATGAGGACTTACCCGAAGCACGCAAGACAAACGGCAAAATAACAAACAGCAATATTGTCCTCAATGTTACTGGACTTGACAAACAGGATGATGAAAGCAACAACAAGACAACATTGAGGTCCCAAGATGAAAGGAGCGCGCCATGAGTACTTATCCGCAAAGATAGCAAACACATAAGCTGAAATAGCTCCAATAGCATAAGGAGGAATCGTCATCAACTGCGCATCAGAAGAAGTATACCCCATGCCCCTAAGAATAGTAGGCATAGTGAACTTCATAGCATAGTTAGGAACAGCATTCGACCAATTCGCAAAGAATAAAAGCCAAATCTTGTAATCCATAATGATATCCTTGAACAGACGAAGATTGAAGTGATCGTTCTCCTTATAGTCCATTGGGACAGTAGCTCGACGGCTTAGTTGGCGAAGTTCAAGATATCGAATCTCATCAGCGTCGAGCCAGCGGGTTGAAAGGGCTGGCGAGTCGCAGAGGAGGAAGACGCACATTATGGCGACGACGACGGTGAAGAGACCTTCGATGAGGAAGATCCAGCGCCAGCCTTCAAGACCGGCCATGCCGTCCATTTTGGCGATGGCAAAGGCTAGAAGACCGGAAAAGGCACCGCCTGTTGCAGCTGATGTGTAGAGGATTGCGATTCGGGTTTGGGTTTCGTTGGGGAGGTACCAGTTGGAAATGATGAGGATTGCGCCGGGGAGGAAACCGGCCCTGTCTAGTTAGTACGACCCTCCTAAGACCTGTTGAACAGGTGGAAGAGAAGTGGCTTACTCAAAGATACCAAGGAGGAATCGAATAGCCAAGAGACCAGCATAGTTCTGGACCAAGGCAGTGAGAGTCATGATGACGCCCCAACAAAAGACGATGCCGCCCATGTACCAAGATGGTCTCTTAAACTTGTGAAGGATCATGTTGGAAGGGACTTCGCAGAGGACGAAGGGGATGAAGAAGATAGCGGTGACGATGTTGTACTCGATGCCCTTGAGGTGCAAGTCGTCAGTCATGCCTTCGATCTTTGCATTTCCTATCACAAGTCAGTCATCAACATTCCATAGTCCAATGAGTACTTACCAATGTTTGTCTTGTCTAAGTATGCAATAAGATACAGGAGAACAAGCATAGGAATCAATCGCCACTGATCCGCGTAAGTAAGGAGAAGCATGAATTGGAGTAAGAACTTACATCGACTTTTCGAATAACAGCCTTCTTCCTCTCTTCAGGAAAGTTATTCAAGAAATCAGCATCTTCTTGGGATAAACCGCCCCGAGCATGCTCATTATGCATGATCCCAGACTTTTCATCACGTGAAAACTCGCGTTCGATATCTTGAGTCTGAGTTGCCATTGCGAGCTGATATTTTCTTGAAACAATCTGTTGATGAGGAGATGTCTGATGAAGAAAGTAGGCCAAGGGCCAGGGAATGCCCTTATATATCAGATTGGGTGACTGGCATCGTTGTGAAGGAGAACAGGGAAATGTGAGGAAATCGTAGTCATGCGGAATTACGTCCCAGAGTCTGGGGTTGGATTGTGGAGTTGCAAAGTCCGGGGATGCGGGGGATGAGACGATGTAGAAAACTAGCGATGGACTAGCGAATAAGAATGATTTCCGGGGTGAGCTAGTAGAGTATGGGGTCATGGGTGGAAATTGAGTTTGTCAGTCCGGAGAAAGAATCCGGGCATGCTCGGAAATCCAAATAGCGCCTTAGAAAGGCATTCTTGTTGTAAGTGTTGAGACCTCGGATACTCGGATTCAGTCGGGAGAGATGTCATGAGGTTCGTGAATTCGCCTTCTGAAGATGAGGCCGAGGCGCGAGATGTGGACTTTCTTTAGATATATAAGAAGACGATAAACTCAATGGAAGGGAATTAAATCATCACATCAATCAACAGTCACAACAACAACAAACAAACTTGAACATCTCAAGCATCATCATCTCTCAATCACACTTAGACACTTCCAAGTCTCAACCAATCACAATGTCTTTCGATCTCAAAGGCCTCGTCCCCGCCCCCGTCACCCCCTTCACCAAGGATGGCAAAGTCGACTACGACGCCATCCAGCGTCTGGGCTCTTGGCTCGGCAGCATCGACGGCGTCAAGGGTCTCGTCGTTCTAGGCCACGCCGGAGAAGGAACTTTCCTCACCCAGCAAGAACAAGTCGACACCATCAAGGCCTTCGTCAAATCCGTGGATAACAAGATCCCCATCATCGCTGGTATCACCGGCGAGGGCACTGAAGTCGCTGCTCTAGAGGCAAAGCGTGCTAAAGAAGCTGGTGCGCAAGCTGGTCTTTTGTATCCCTCCCATGGATGGTTGCGCTTCGGCTATCAGCCTGGTGCCCCGCAGGATCGATACAAGGTTGTCTACGAGGTTTCGAAACTGCCTTTGATCTTGTTCCAGTATCCGGATAACACAAAGGCTACATACAACCTCCAGACTCTTCTTGACATTGCGGCTCAACCTGGTGTCATCGCCATGAAGAACGGTGTTCGCAACATGCGACGCTGGGACACTGAGATCCCCGTCTTCCGCCGCGAGCGTCCCAACGTTCCCGTCCTCACCTGCCACGACGAGTACCTTCTCCACACCGCCTTTGACGTGGATGGCATGCTTGTTGGATACGGTGGTATTGCCCCTGAGCCTCTTCTTGAGCTGATCAAGGCTGGCAAGGCTAAGGATTACGCTAAGGCGAGGGAGATCCACGACCTGCTTCTTCCTGTTACCAAGGCTGTTTATCACCGGGGTTCGCATATGGAGGGTACTGTTGCGCTTAAGCATGCGCTTGTTGCTAGGGGTATTTTGTCACATGCTACTGTGCGATCGCCTTTGTTGCCTCTTCCTGATGGAGCCGAGGAGGAGATTCATGCTGCTATTTCATCGGCGACTCTTAAGAAGGTTACTTAAATTATGGCTTGGACTTGGAATAGCATAGAGCTTGTACTGTAGATTTAGAACAAAAGATCTCATATCACCTGTTAACAGCTTTTCATTGCAGTGACTTACATCTGCCTAAAACTGCTGCAACAGACTGTTCAATTAATAAGACAATCATATAATTCTTAACTTTTTAAGTTTAGCCATGCCTCGTAAATCATGATAGTATACTCAGAAGACTTGGAGTGTTGGTGATAAAACTGTTGACCTTCAAATTGAACATTGGCATCGGATTCCCAACAGCTCAAAGACCAGCTGAACAACCCGGAATCCACTAAACTATGTTCACTCCAAATTTTAAGCTTCAGTTCGATTCAGCAGATTCAAGTCAAAAACACGGATCGCCTGATGAACATTCCACAAAGTCAATCCCACATCCGCAGTAGCCCCAGGTTAGTCAGAGCCTGGGGTCATAGAAAATCCGGGGCAACTAGCTCACCCATGCTCTATAATATCCGAGCTCCCCGCACTCTCCTCCTCCACATCTCGGATTCTTCCCTTCAACCGTCGGAAACCCATCAAAATGACTACCCCAGTAACAACAACACCATTGTCCGAAGCATCAACGGCCACAAATCCAGTAAATCGGTCAAAACGTGTTCTGCCTTTATCACCAGATACCACCCGCGAGTCCGAGAACCGTCGGAAAGCCACCAAGGTCAGTTGCTTTGCTCAAAACGGATTTATGTCCTTGTTCTTACAAGAAGTAGGTTAGCCGAGCTTGTGATCACTGTAAACTCAAGAAGCTCAAATGCTCTGGGACTCTCCCCTGCGAAGGCTGTGTGAAAAGACGTCTAGAGTGCCAATATGACTCGCTTTATCGAAGAGGAAGGCCACCGACGCCGCCCACTGTCGGACCACAGCGTGGATCTATGAGTTCTGCACCTCCTGATACCAATCCTGAACAAACGAGTTCAAGATCTACGTCACAAGGGGACTCTGGTCTTGAGACTGCGGAGATAGAAGGCCAATTCTTTGATCCTACGTCGAATTTGACTTTTGTACATCGTGCGTGGAAGAGATTGGCGCAGCAGACGCAGCAAACGGAATCGAGATCAGGAGTCTTGACGGGGTCGGAGAATTTACAGCCTCTTATGTCTGCTGGTGATAAACCCTTTACTACAAGGGGTGATTCGAGCTTGATGTTTGTCAGTCAGCCAGAAGCCTTTGAGCTGTTCAACTACTATTTCGAGAACTGTGTTGTTACCTACCGTGTCCTGAACAGACAATACTGCCAAGCTTGGCTTGAAGCTGTTATCAACAATGTTCATAACGGACAGCCGTTGGACACAGGCATTGGTCATGCGAAGGCTGCGATCGTCGTCAACATTCTTGCAATTGCAAGCTTTCGGCAGCACAGAATCTCGGAACAAGCTTCGTTACCGGGCGGCATGTCTATAATGTCACAGCAGAGCGAACAGTACTTCCTCCAAGCATCTGAGCTTACTGCCCAAGAGACCGGACTACCTCGACTAGAATCAGCGCAGGCACGAGTCTTACAGGTTCTATATCTGCTTCAGACATCACGGATGAACCAAGCTTGGTACGTGTTCGGAAATACTGTGCCTATCGTTACGGCGCTAGGTCTGCATCGAAAGTCGACGCAATATCGGAATGGAGGCCGACAGCCTGCGGATTACATCTTATCTGAATGCCGGAAAAGAACGTTTTGGGTTCTGTATACTATCGACAAGTATCTAGCTGTTGTTTTCGGCAGACCTCGATTTTATCATGATAATGATGTCGACCAGGAGTTCCCTGACAGGGTCAACGATGAGGATATGACACCACAAGGGCCATCGCCACTGGAGCCTGCCATGGACTGCCATGTTGACTCATTACTCTTTCATGCGAGGTAAGGAAACCCTTACAAGCCGTCTTTATCATCACTTACAACTTATTAGGATTGCAATCATCATCGAAAATGTATCACGGCAAGTCTACTCACTCAAAAAGATGCCGCCTGAAGAACGCCTCGCCGCCGCACAAGGCTTTATCCAACAGCTCCACGAATGGCGTCAAGCTCTCCCTCCCCATCTCGGCACAGTTCGTCCCTCAAGCCTGATACCAATATTCTCCCGACAAGCCACTGCTCTGAAGCTCGCCTATTGCCACGCTGTAATGCATACAACCCGGCCCTTTCTCCTCGATCACTCAGAAGATTGCAGTCCTGCTTTACAGGCCTGCGTAACACAATGCATAAGCGCAGCCAAGCTCGCACTAGAAATCGTCGATGGCATGTTTTCTGAGAAATCTGTCTTATTTCATGCCTTATGGTGGATGCCTTATGTAACTTTCTGTGCATTGGCAGTTGTGTATGTATGGGATATTCAGCAACGAAGCAACACCACCGCTGATCCTGGTAACGCACTGCTCTTCGACCTTGCAGAAAAATGCCAGAATCACCTGGCGAGAACTATTGCTGCTGAGTCCGCAAGTCGAAGATACAGCATAATCATTGAGGAACTACGACAAGAAGCAAGACAAGGACCACAGCACGCTACAAGGCCATCACAGACAATTCAATGCCAGCAGGAGTCACTTATCTCGAGTGAACATGAATCGGGCACGAGTATAGATGAGTTGGGCTCTATGTTTGATGATCAGGATGAAACGAGTTCGGGGTTGCAGTCTATTATGAACCCACTGAGTCAGTGGCAACCGACTGACTGGTTAGATCTTGACTCTTCGGTATGTATTGGATACGACTTTGATGTGGATAGGGCTAATAACCATAATAGGCTTTCACTTTCTTCTCTCAGCTTGAAGACTCAATGCTTTATTAGTAATAAAAAATTATATTTTCCAGTTGATGAGACCGTATCTCTTAGGTCCACGGTTATTTGAGAGGGCGTAAATCACCGTCAGTGTAATGCTCACAGTAAAACACCAAATGTCTATTATACTGCTTAAAAGTAAACTAATGTTCAACGCCTTGTCGTATGATTAAGTGCCAGAAAACCTTCAGATCGTCTTTCCGAAATTAGTCACTGCATATGATTCTCAGAACCTCAGTGAAAAGAAACTTGGCTTTCAACTCATCAGGCACCAAAATCATCGTCATTCGATGATGTTGGCTTTTTGATCCTGGTATCCGCTTTATCCACATGCTCTTCGAAGAATTCAAGAACCCTCTGACAGTCAGCTCTCTGAATTCTCTCTGGGTGCATCATTTCTTTTTCAACAAATGCTATAAATTTCATAACGACACCTAGCTCGGTCTCGTATTGTACCTGGGAAATAAGCTTTGCGATCCACTCATCTCACACGTTAGTTGATTCATAACCACTAAAGACCATGAGTTTAGCTTTCCGTTTCCTATAAACTTACTTGAGATACGCTTGGTTTTAGCTTGGGAATCTCCACTGTGCGGAGCTTATCACAGTCCAGCCTCCAAGTGTCACTGTTTGTTTTCCGTGCCCGGACATGCAAGCATAACTGATCTGTTTGTGTGACTAGTTCAGGGACTGATACCACTGCTCCGTCAGTAACTTCATACTGAAGGTAATGTTGGAAGAAACTGCTTTCGTAATTCTTCTTGTTCTCTTCTTTGGAGCTCGTGAGCGATGGCTCTTGTGTTCTCGTAAGTCGGTATTCATCAACCGATCCATGTGGGAGAATAGCCCAGGTGAGAAATTCTGAAAATACACAACCCATAGCCCATATGTCAACCTTTTTCGACATAGTATGATTGAAGTCGTACTTGGGTGAACGATAAGTTCGAGGGCCTGCAGAACAGCCCGTGACACTCTTCCTGGATCGGGATGCCAGACTATCAAACTCCATAAGGCCACAGTCGGCTAGCTTGAGTGTTCCAAATGGGCTGGTATCTTTTTCCTGACTGAAGTAAAGGATATTGGACGGCTTGATGTCCAGATGTATACCATAGTCTTTGTCGAGATGTCTCCCATCGTGAACGATGGAGCCAATGCGAGTGAAATGAATTGTCTCAAGGGTTTCAATCAAGCCTCTGCACTGGTCTAATACCCAACTTACAAACCCGCGTGAAAGAAGGTCTGAGGGACCTAAGCGGTTTGAATGTCGCTGGGTTATGAGATCTTCCAAAGTTCCACCTTCAGCCCATGGGAAGATGAGCATAAATTGACACTCAGCTATCTTAATCGTCGCAACAAGTTCCACGAGGTGCAGCCCACATCGAAGCTTCTGAAAGGCGGCCATTTCTCGCTGGAAATATGCTCTAGGATCCTCGATATCTGATCAAAGAATCTTGAGAGCAAATATGTTATGACGAGTCTAGTATTTTCTTCTGAGTTCTCTAGTCACACAGAATATGAGAAAGAGCTGGACTTACTAAATGGTAGTGGTCTGAATGTATCTTGAGCTTTTCGACAGTACCTTATCCCCCCGTCTCGATCTTCTTGCCAAGAAATATCCAGGGCATAATGGTTCCTTCGTCAAATTGGTAGTGTGACGGTTGTGGCAAGCATTACAGGGTAAGAAGTCTAAGCTTCGTTAGTAGGGTCAGATAGATATCTATGGTAACAGACATAAAGGGACAGATTCCCCTAAGGACTTTAGCTCTTCTATACTTTTTCTTTTTTATATATAATTTTATATTCTTTTCCTTTATATTAGATATTATTAAACTAATTATTTAATTCTCTATCTTATAATAAAGACCTTATCTTAATTAAACCTAACTGGCAGTCTATACTTAGCTTATAGTTGAGAAGTGTTGGAAGATATCGTCTTGTGCAGTCTTTTCTTTGTTGTTGCTCTTTACCTTCAAAGTAGTGTACTGGCCCCTGGTTCTCTGAGCTGCCAAAGTTGAAAACAGGCACATGGACGGACCATTGCTTCTCGTAAAATACTTCAATCATAGTGAAAATAGTCAACCCAACAGCAACAACGACGTAAATCCAGAAGTACGGCGATAACGTCTCGTTTCCCTCCCCGTCTTCCTTTGTCCACTGAAAAAAGCCCATAGAGAAGAAAATCTGTCCAGAGTTAGGGCTTAACGGCCAAAGATGCTGTCTAACCTACCGAGACAAAGGTAGCAGGAAGGAAGACCATGCCCAGCATGGCGATAGACTTCATAAGACTACCATCAAGACGTGTCATCTGTGAGACCTCGAGATTTACTCGAGAGATTTCCTGGTTCACTCTTGCGTCTTTGCGGCCGATAATGTTCAGTTCCTGTAACATTTTAGCCCCAACCTTTCACTCTTATACTGATACGTACCAGCTGTGTTGCCAAAGTCAGGCCATCCATAATGTGAGTACATTGTCTTATGTACTCGTCATACTCATCGATGAGGTCCTGTAGCCTTGACTTCAATCTGTCACCCACCTCATGGAGACTATGCAACCTGGTCTGGCTGCTGGGGACTTTGGCTGCATCTGGAAGGCCGAAGTCAGTATCATGAAGCTGATCGACATGATCCATCATCTTGCGGAGCTGGGTCTGCCAGTTCTGCAGCACAATTCTCAGGAAACTGATATTCTGCCATAAAAGTACAGCAGGCTCTTGCTCTTCTTGGGTTTGATGTGAATTTGTGTTTGGTGGAGGAACAGTCTTGGCAGCCTTCGAGTGAATGAGTCCTGATACCAGTCGAAAGTATGATGCTAAGCATCCTTCATTGAATGGTGTCAAGCCGTACCCGGATTTATCGTCCTTGTAGCTTGCAGAGATTTCGTTCTTGTTCAATGTTCGGAGGTCCTGGTGGGCGAGATCGTGAATTCGCTGAACAAACTGCGTCAGACACTTCCTCACCGTGCCAATGTGCCTCTCCCTCTCGAAGCCTGCAAATATTACCGGAAGAACCATCGGGTGGAATACACCTCCATCAAAGTTTTCCAGTTGACCGCAGATAAGCTCAGAATCTGTAATCAGATCTCCGTAGAACTTACGCTTAGACAGATCACATCCATACCAAACCGCATTAGTTGTGAGACTTTCGGGAAAGAAGGTCACAGAGAGGGCCATATCTCCTTCCCAACAAGCAGAGGTTCGGCAATTGTAGACTAGAAAGAAGTGAGAATGATATTTGTGAGATATGGCAAACAGACTGACCAATAGATAGGATAGCCGCGCTCGTAGGGCTCCAGGTGAATGGAATATGAATAAAGGCACAGCTTGTGTTGCGATTGATAGCTCGGACAATAGATCCATGGACCTTGAGCTTGTTTATGATGCTCTCAAATTCTGTCTGACTAAAAGGAAGCTCATCAAGGGAGTCAGTTTTCGAGGCCATGACCAAGTTTATGCTTGAAGTTTTCGTATCCTGACTCCATGGGTAAACGTTCTAAAAGGCTATCAGTATAATCCATTCGATGAAGCGGAGATCACTCACATCCAACCAATGACGGATGCCATCGTCACACGCAAGGAGCTGTCGCTTTGTTTGCAGATTGGGGCCGCTCTTGGTGCCGAGAGAACAGGCATCGCCTGATTGGGGTGCCTCAGACGGTCTCGAGATGTTAAATCCTTCGCTGGGTCGTGGCGAAAAGTCGAGCAGATCCCAGCCGTGTTTCTGCAGCTCTGACCTTCTCGTGATCCATGACATGTTGGCAAAGAGGTTTGGTAGATTTGTTCGGAGGTTTGCTGACTGTTTGGCGATGTTTGTGAGTTGAGTTGAGTTGAGTGTATTACAAGTTTGCTCGGTCGAGCGGCTTTTAATGTGACACTGAATACTCAGCGCTGGCTATTCACTCTACAGAGAGAGGTGACACAACGAGTCATCAGAAGCTCTGGCGTGATACAGACCTTTTGGGAGTCACAGTCACGAATCTTCCTGTTCCCGGCTGTTACTGAATCCCCTTTCACAGCCCCTTTGCCCTTCGTGTCACGGAACCATTGGTCTGTGAGCATGTGAACATCAAGTCCTGGGAGTAGGTGACACAGAGCATCAAGAGACTCAACGTTGCCGCCTGACTATGCGGTGTGTCACCTACAGAAATGATATGCATGTGTAGCCCAGGTGTTACGGTCAGTCCTTTTCCTCACTTTATGCAAAGTCGTGGTACTTCAAGTGTTGCCTCGTTTATTGGCACGAACCATGGACTAAGTTATTGTCTGGCTGTCCAAGTGAGCTGGAACAATCGACCGCGCACTTATGACCAACCACTCACTACTGTCAGACTAAGGATCGAAATATAAATATCCCAGGTAGGATCGTACACATGGTCAAGATCTTTTCGAACCACATTATCCTCATTTTGATATCGATTCACAAAATAAAGTTTCTCGCCAGTATGATCCAACAATTCTTAACTATTGAGTATGGAAGTAAGAAGAAGCTCAAACGGAAGCTTGATGAGTACTTTGGAAGTGGTAATTATGAGGTGGTTGAGGTTCGAAAGCCAACTCCATCCAGTCTGCTGAAGTATTGAACCTTTCATCCTGACCATTATTAGCGCTCTGGAAACCAGTGGAACGTCATGGTACCTCGTAAACTAGAGTCGGTTGGTGAAATATCCCATGCCATAATACTCTGAAATTGATGCGTACCACGCGCCTATCAGACTGAAGTCGAAGACATCCAGGAATACATGAAACAACACTACAAGCCTACAAGTTAAATCTGATCTAAAAAAGGGTAATATAGAATAGAATAATTTCTTTTTTATAATAAGAATTTATTTAATAGCTCTAAGTCCTATAGTAATTAAAATAATATAAACTTATTAACATAAATAAGGAAAAGTATTTAAAGGAAAATATAAAAGGTTATATTTAATTACTAATAATATTTAATTATTATAGCCTTTTCATATAGGGATCCTTAGTACATAATTAGCTTTAGTTTTAGTGCCAATACATATCAACAACAAGGCTCAAACAGGCTGAGATCTTTATGCCATTCCGAATACCTTCACTTCCAATGACCATTAGTGATTCGGTATCAATAACCACAGCCATCAAAGCCTATCCAGGCCAACACTTTCACGGAGCCTCGATAGGTCTTGCTCACAGCCATGAGAAACTGCTCTAAATCAATGCTAGGGGCCAGACAGTATTCACTATTCAGACTGCATTCAGAGATCATAAAGTAGTATTTAGACTGCATTAAAATCTTACACCATACCTTACAAAAGAAAAAGATAAACGAATAAACTAAGCCTGAACATCTCCTACTCCACAAGACAATCAAGAATCCCAGCCGCACTGGTTTGACTAATTGCCATATACAGGTAACGACAATGCTGGGAGACTCCGGAACCAATGCGTTTCTGAGTGATGCGCTGAAGAATCGTCTCGAATATGCGTTGCTGCCAAATGGAATCAATCAACAGGAGCAGTTTCTTCCAATCGGCTCCCTTCACTCCATTTGCAACCAAACAGCTGTGTTCACTGAGCTTTCTAGGTACTTTGACAAGGAACAGGCTAAGCAATACACAACATATGTCTGCAATCGGAGAAAACCTGCCAAGAAGATATTTACTATTTTGGCCCTAATTAATCGCATTGAATTGATCCAGGTTTTCCAAGATTCTGGGTTCTTTGACGAAGACTTGCCACTCACAAAGAATATTGAAGTGTCGGAGATGCGGTCTTGCTGTCCAGACGATCAACGGTCCATCCCGCTTACAAGAAGCCCCCAGAACGTCAAGACGATACGCGAGTTTAACCTCAAACAGTGGTGCGTACATGTCCCATCTTTTGAAAGGTGCTTCGATAGAAGCTATGAGGATTTTGTGCTTGACTCAGATGCCATCATGCCGTGGGAATCTGCTGGACAAAGCATCGTCACTGGAGGGTATGGATATGTTCAAAAGGTCAAGATTCACAAAGACCACCACTCTTTCGTAGGTTCATGGTGGTAACGCAGCACTCAGTATGTACGACAAGCTGACTTTGGCGAGGTGGAACACAAAGAGTTTGCACTAAAGACTATGCTACCAGCAAAAGAAATCACTCGCGATGTTTTCAAGCAGGAGTTGATCGCTTTTCGCAAGGTCCGTCCAGGGCCAAATCTGGTTGAGCTCGTTTCTGCATTCGACATATCAGGAAAGGATAGGTTTATGCTTTTATTTCCCTGGGCCGAGGGGGGTAGCATGGACGACATGATGAATCGGTCCTCAAAGGATCTCTTCTGTTCTCTGCAGTTGTCGCCAAAAGGACTTTGTTCAATGGATCACGGCCCAATGCCGTGGCTTGGTCGAAGCTCTTGGGGCAATTCATCAAGTCAATATCGCTCCTAGGTCTGACGAGGGAGCCTCCAGTGGCCAAGCTAGGAACTTTGGGATACACCTTGATATCAAACCAGCCAACATTCTATATTTCTGCCAGGAAACAGCCAACCACCCACTTGGTGTTCTCAAAATCGCAGATTTTGGTCTCACTAAGTTTCACAGTACATCATATCGGACGAGAAAGAGCCGCGGTACTGCATACAGATGCTCGCAACAATACCGCTCCCCTGAACACGACATCGGCTATGTCATATCAAGGAAAGTGGATATCTGGGCACTTGGTTGTATCTTCTCTGAAATCTTCACCTGGATGCTTCTCGAACCCGAAGCACGCGAGGAATTTCGTCAGGCGAGAAAGAAAGATGCCTTGTTCTCAGGAGACTGGGATTATATCGAAAATGGCTTTGAAAACCATATTGAGGACAACTTTTTCCAGAGGCATATCTGACGAGTTCTACGACACTTATTCATCGGCCGTTACGAGATCCTCCTAAGATTGAATGCGTTAGGGAGACCGAGAGTGCAAGAAAAGCAAAGGCAAGATTGGATAAACCAAGTGCGTCCACCGGCTCCAAAAAGATGAATCAGAAGCAGACACCAAGGCTTAATTAAGCCCAGTGTATCACAGGTGTGTAAACTTTTCACTATACAACTCGATCTTGGTCTTTATAATCTAACAACCTCGAAGTGGATTGCAAAACTTATACACATTATACGTCGCAAGAACGGACCAGCTTTCCTCATAGGGTTCCTAGAGTTTATCGAAGAAGAGATGTTGCACCCAGATAGGGACGATAGAGCTGATTGTGGGAGGGTTCTAAACTGTTTTGATAAGTTTACAGATGACATGGCCAGTAAAGATTGGGCTATTGAATTATAGAATATAAAGGGGGAGTAAAAGAATTCAGACAGTGTAGCAATTAATATATATGATAGCTATATTTTCAAAAGTATTAAGGTACATATACTTCTACTGAATTAGTCAGTAATACTACCACTGATTCAGATATCATAAAACCCATTATTTCCATCTGCATACATCTGTCGGTAGGACTCTCGACCTTTCATCCGATTCCACCAAGCAAGTAGATTTGTGTGACCCTCTAGAAGTGTAGGCCAAACTTCATATTCGAGGTAGTGCATATACGGGACATAAAAAAGATCAACCAGCGTAAGAGTCTATATATGTCAGCTGCATTGTCAGCAGTGTCGAGTTGTAAGCCTACTAACCTCACCAGCCATGAAAGGATGTCCGCTGAGCTTTTGGTCAAGGAGTCTCAGAACCCGTTCAAGTTTCACTTTGAGATCCTTGACGACCTCCTCTTTCGGTTCTTGTTTCATAAATTTCCTGGCAAAAGTTATTAACACCTTATCGCCGCCTCATGTAGGTCGGGCTACCCACGGTTTAAAGTAGGCTTCGAAGGCCAGTGGATTAGCAACAGCATCGAAAGAGGTCAGTTCGATCGATGCAGCTTCTTCAAACTTCGCCTTTACAATTTCACCGTCAGGGACGAGCTTATTGTCTGGTTCGCCATATCGACTCGCGAGATACCGAGCAATAGCCCGTGACTCAGTCAGAACAAGAACTGGATCATGCGAGTAGTCCTGGAGGCATGGAACAGCTCCGAAAGGATTGATTTCAAGGAATTCTGGCTTCTGATACAGTTGCATAAAGTATCAGCCTCGTCTGTTTTCAGAGACAACATCAACGTTACATACCTGCTGCTCACGCTTGATGATGTCCACCTGATGAATGTTGGTGATTTTGAGACCCAACTCGAGAATCGCCAATTGCAGTCTCTGGGGACAAGGGAACCGGCTATCCGTAAACAGCGTCAACTGAGACATTTTCGTGGCAATGTGTAGTTATGATATGGAAGCAATGAGGTTTTTTCATATGGACACATACCTAGAATCTGGAGATCTGTTTAGTCTTTAAGTATATAAGTTCAGAAAAGCAAGCTTGAAAATGATCCAATCTGAAAATGGGTCTATTCGAGGCATCATCGACGCGTAGACTCCTGCTCCTTATAGTTGAGGGGTTTTGCCCGCATTTCTAGGCGCCAGATGTACGTGCGCAACTCGAAGTTGCCAAAACTAGCCCACAAAAAGTCTTGAATACACGTAAACTGGTGAAAGCCTTGAACAATTAGCATTCTGATGCTTCGCGTTAGATACGAGAGTTTGTTTAACCTCGGCTCTCATCATCTCAAAACAAGACAATACTGGCGAATGACTCAATCGCCCCTCTGAATGCCTAGGCAGCGGGGTATACGACACTCAATGGCATAACCAAATTCGGCAGCTGTATCCTCAAAATAATTTGAGACTCAAAGAAATGAAGAAGGTGTTTTACACCGCAAGTATGGCTATGATTTCGCTCTGGGCTGGTTGGTTTCACGATACGCTTGGCCAGTTACTGGTGATGTTACAGACCTCTACACCAAGCTTGGTGACCTGGGTCCGAACGGCGACGCCGTCGTTCTTATGCCAGACTTGTAGTGTCTCCAAATACCTTCTTTAAACTTTTAATGACAGTAAAACTAGCATCCAGAAAGTGGCTCGGGGCGAGCTGGTGCGTCATGGGCATCCAGCTATAGAAGGTCAAGCCACTGCCGAAGCCCCGAAGAACTGTATAAAGTACGAAGAATTTATAGCAGTAATTAAGCCTCTCGACGAAAGATCAAATATAAATCTACATAAAAGAGCATTTATTACACCTAGGAGACAGTAGAGAGCGAGACTTTAGTCCTAAGTGATGATAATACTTATATAAGTTTAGGATAAACTATCCTAAAGTTAGGATAGACTTAGTGGCTCTTCCGCAGATGTTACTTTTCGCCTTCTTGATTCAGGTTTGCTCATGTGATATAGCTACTCTTATTTCAAAGCTCTTTGGCTCCAAACTATATGCATGAACGTCAACACGGAGCAGATTTAGAAGCGTAGGGGCGTCGATATTGGAAGGAAGACGAGATGGGCGATGTGGAAAATATGGGAACAGAGGTGTGAGGAGCTCAAGCACCTTCGTAAGAGATAGCGAGACCTGATATTGAGCAGACTCGGCAGAGGAGCAAAGGGAAGATACTGAGGATTCCGAGATAAAAGGGGTCGAGACCGTGGAGCTGAACGAACGAAATTGATAAAGGGAGGAGATCCAAGGAAGAAAGGGTTTTTTTGAGATGGAGTCTGCCAAGAGGAAATTTGAGAAGGATTTGGATGTACCCATTGGAAAGAATCCTACGGTGCTACCTCCGTATCGAGGTCCTCGCACCGAATCATTTCGATACAACTCCGAATATTGTCGGACTCAGAACCGACAACCGACAATAACCACTTTTAATCACAGGCCTCAAAGGGAATCTTTCATTTCAGGCAGTCTGCCAAGGATCGTTTGTGTCGTATCTGTAAAGGAGGGTTGTGAAGAATGGCATTTCAGGTTGTAGATGCATTGGCTGATCTTAGCCGTCTTCCGAGATGCGTCTTAGGTCATGCGCTCACCTGAAGCCCGAGATGAAAGGGAGGCACCGTGCCGACTAGATTGGCTGTGATACGAAACTCTGGATATAGATGGAGGTGTTGACCAAGAGAAGCAAAAAGCAAAAGATTGGACGAGGAGGGAATTGAACCCTCGACCTTTCGCAGATGCACGAAGATGCGAAGCGAACATCATACCCCTAGACCACACGCCCTAAGTATACTAGCCGCAAAACTATCAGTACTTATATACTTTGTCCTTCGGTTCTTGCTCAGCAACCGCAATCATACCCTCCAGAACATCAGCCTCAACAAGAACATGATCTTCAAATGCTACCCTACAAGCCAACAAATTCTCAAACAATTGCAGATCTCTCTATTATTCACTCGATGAATGGTTCCCAGTCTCGGTCCCTTCCTAATTGTCTCATCGACATTTGCCAAGCTCATCACCCGATAGCTTTATCCCCAACTGGTATGCAATTTATCTCCTTTTGCCATTATTGATGCATCACACCTGGAAGAAGGGATCTTTGTAAGCCCAGTGATGACCTCGCAATGACAGCCCTATTGTAATATACAACCACCCATTGGCTCGGAGCACTCATCCGGCAGCTCACTATCACCCTTTCGGCCCGCTATTGGGATCTTTGTTAACAGACTTAAAACATGGTGAAGTAAGCATACTCAAATCAAGGATGCACAGCGTCTTGGAAGGATTCATCCGGAAATGGCAGAGACACCCGCGTGCGCACACGAGGTCCCCCACGCATTTGGGAGGGCTCACTGTCAACCCTCCCAGGGTTTGTGCTTTCTCGTTTTTGCTGCGGCTGCCAAGCTTTAAATAATGATTGATTCTCATTGTCCGAGTGTTTAGCCTGAAAGCTGGTTCCAGGTGGACGGTTGAGGAGCTGAAAGACAGGGGGGCATTGACAATCCCGGTGCAACCCTTTTCTCCAAAATGCTAGATGGGAATGAAACTAACATCTCTTGTTTGAAGCTTATACTTATTCTTGTCTTCGAAAATTATTCCATGAGTTCTGGGAATAAGATTGTGGTAAGAGGAGGTGAAACGACGCTGACATATAGAAGAAGCTGAATGGCTGGCTATATTCATTTGCCGAGGCTGTTTACCGTGTTTATATCAGCCCAGTATTAAAGTTGGCCATAAAGACATGATTCAAGTCTCAGCCAGTCGGCCTTTACCCTTGACCCCGTAACTCAGTCAATGGACGGGAAATTGCAGAACCGCCCCCAACCCCATTACCCCAAAAAACCAGAGGGGCTCGCTCGTATACTAACCCCGCAAATTTCGGTAGAGTCATGTGGTTTTTGTTTTAGATCTGGCATATGTCTAATACAAAGATAGAATCGATCAGCGCTTTAAGCATAAGCTAACCACCATCAGCCGGTCCGTTTAACCGCAAAGTTGGACCGAGAGCACCTCCTCGGCTCGAGAATCCGTTCAGAGACAGCGATTTCTTGGGGTGTTTGAGGCGACTGTCAACCTGAGCTAGTCCGGGGTTTGTCTGCATGCGAGCGAATCGTCAGTCCCTGTGTGGTCGGCCGCTGACTGGAATGTCACGTCGTGATGCAACATGGACAGCGGTAAATCAAGTATTTTGCGGAGACTCCACGTTTCCCCAGACAACTCCATAATTAGCCTATATACGGAGAATTCGGTTAAGCTACCGCTAGGTTCATAGCTCTATCTTATCTACACGCGGGGGGGAGGAAAGCTCATGTATAATATGATCTGCAATGCCCCATTGAAATTTTTCGTTTCAGTCTCTCAAGCTTGGTTTCCTCAGTCAATTACTACTCTGGAGACGGGCCCTTGCATAATACTACTCGACAAGCCTAGAAGAGCCAATTCGTCAACATGGTCAACGTAGGCAGCGCCGCCGACCCCATCGTCACTCGCCTCGTGGAGGAGGATAAGACGCCATGGTACAAGAAGCCCAATCTGCGTCTTATGTACGTTTGGTTGTTCTTCTGCTGTATGGGTGTTGAGATGACATCTGGTTTCGATTCGCAACTCATCAACACGCTCCAATACTCTCAGAACTTCCACCATTGTACGAATACCTATCAATTTCTCGACAATTGGTTCAGAGCTGACGGTTTTTATAGATCTCGGTAACGGACGAAAGAATGCTGAAGACAAGTGGGCCATCGAACCCGGTCTGCTCGGCTTTGTCAACTCTTCCTACCAGCTCGGTTCTATCTTTGCGGTCCCATTTGCGCCCTGGTTTGCTCAGCGATTCGGTCGAAGATGGTCCATTATGCTTGGTTCTCTTATCATGGTTGGCGGTGCTATCATCCAAGGATTCGCCCAGCACGGTATGGGACCTTTGATCGATCCAATATTCAATTTACTAACGAGTTCTCAGTTGCCATGTACATCATTGCCCGTATGATTCTTGGAGTTGGAATTCTCTTCTGTATTATCTCTGGTTCTGCCCTCATCGGAGAGCTGGGATATCCTAAGGAGCGTGCTGTCCTTACTTCTCTGTTCAACGCATCCTACTTCATCGGTCAGATTCTCGCTTCTGCTATCGCTCTCGGCACAACCCCCATCAAGAGCAACTGGTCATGGCGTTTGCCCTCTCTGCTGCAGATCGTCCCTTCATTGATCCAGATCTCCACTGTCTTCCTCCTCCCCGAGTCTCCTCGTTTCCTCGTCTCTAAAGACCGCGAAGAAGAAGCCGCTCAGATTCTCATCAAGTATCACGCTGAAGGCGATGCCAACTCCCAGCTTGTCCAGGCCGAAATCGTCCAGATCCGAGAGACCATCAAAGCCGAGATGGAAGCCTCCAAGCAGACCTGGTTCGAGGTTGTCCGCACCGCCGGTATGCGCCGTCGATTCGTCGTCACCATCTTCATCGGTCTCTTCACCCAGCTTTCCGGCAACACTCTTCTGAGTTACTATTCCGGTGTTCTTTTCGGTATGATGGGTTTCACGGATGACTACACAAAGACTCGAATCAACCTCGCTTATGCTTGCTGGAGTCTCCTCAATGCTACCATCATTGCTTTGATCGTCACTCGCTTCAAGCGTCGACATATGTACATGCTTTCCGCTGCTCTCATGCTGTGTGCTTTCATCGGCATCACCGTATCTCTTGAGAGAATTCAAGCTGTTCCCGAGGGTCAGAAGAATAATGCTGCTGGAATTGCCGCTCTGTTCTTCTACTTCGCTTACTCGCCAACCTACGCCATCGGAAACAACGCTCTCACATACAGTAAGTCATGAGTCACTATTTTCAAGTCCAGACTAACAATTTGTAGCCTACCTGGTCGAACTTTGGCCTTACTCGATGCGAAGCCGTGGTATCGGTGTCCAACAGATCTTCGGAAAGCTCGCCGGTTTCTTCTCCACCAACGTCAACTCCATTGCCCTCGATGCCATCAAGTGGCGATACCTGGCTATTTACTGTGGCTGGATTTTCTTCGAGTTCTGCATTGTCTACCTCCTGTACCCCGAGACCAGCGGCCGAACCCTCGAGGAACTTGCTTTCCGTATGTTTTCTCAGTCTCAAAATTTTCAAATTACAGCACTAACAGATCATAGTCTTCGAGGACGAGGAACTCAAGGAGAAGACCGTTGCTGCTGTCGAGAAGCAGATTCACTTTGGAGACTCAAAGGCAGAGGAACAGCAGACTCACGTGCAGACCCGCGAGGTTGTTTAAACTGTTACTATGTTGAAAAGGAGAGACTCGTTTTGTCTCGATGCTTGTTAGCGCTATCAGGTCTATCGTTCATGAATATCACATCAAATTGCGGCCGTATACTTTGGTCAGCAACTGCAATTGACACCTTTAAAGAGTACACGTCGAATGTCAATGTGATGTAGTGAGTATGAATCACTTGTCGTAGCAAATTGCTCGTAGCATTTTCCTCCTACATTGTGATCTATGTACTGAATGAGTAAGATTACGTCAGAAAGAACCAGGTAGTCAAGGAAATTTAGCTATGTTAGCGGTAGCTTTTCTTGGTTTCAGTCAACGCCGGTCTCTTAAACCTGAATCTCACGCGCACCTCAGTCTCCCACCGATTATGGCGATATCTGGAGGCCAAAGTACATGAGTGAGGGATCTGCTCAAAACAGTGATATCCGCAGGTGAGCCAGGGTATATAGGTCGTAGCAACTTAAGCTTCCAACACAGAATATCAGACATAGATGGGTTTTGGGTGTCGCGGCCAGTGACAGCAGAATATTGTATTCTCAATGCGAGCAAAATGAAAGAACTAGTACTAGTATATCTAGTCGTGGCTAGGCTCTTCGTCCGGGACCTCAGGAAGCTTTTCCCAAGACATTATCATCTGCAAACTAATCACTTACACCCAGTACAACACAGAAAACACAAGGCAACTAGAATAATATACACACATATTCCGTTGCCTCTTTGCAACACTCATTAAAGTCCAAGAGCGTCCTGGAGAAGCTTCAAAGCTCCGAACAACTGATTGTCGTGATGTCTCCTCCCGACAAGCTGAAGGTTGATGGGAGCCCCTCTGAAGTTGCCACTCTCCCAGAGGCCCTTCACGTGAGCGCACTCGGGCCCCAGCGGCGTATAATCCGCGTCGTATTTCTCACCCTCCTCAACCTTGAGCCCCGTAGGGAAAACCAATCCGGGGCAGTCGAGATAGTTCCACAGAGCTGTATACATAAGATAAAAGTTTGTGTCGTGAGTCGTCGCCGGCCCAACGCCAGTAGGACAAAGAATAACATCGACATCCTGGCGCTCCCAATCCTCTGCAAAAGAATGTCGGAAGTCGAGGCATGCCTTGCGTACATAGGCCATTTCAGCGGCAGTTAGCATTCCCTTGGGCGCGGCTGTCCTCCAGATCCATTCGGTCAGAGGATAGATTGGCTCGCCTGTTGCTAGAATAGCATCGCGAGTTGGAATGCCGCCATCAGGAGAGTAGGCTTGCTTGATTTCATCCCAGGCTTGTTTCACACCATAAGGCAGGAATGGCTTGACCTCGATAAGCCCCGATAGCCGAGGGTCTGTCAGCAGGGTACTAGCCCATGACATGGCACGCTTGAGAGGTGGTTGAGGCTGGATGAAGCCATCGTCTGTCATGATGCCAACTTTGAGCGGGCGGCCAAGGGTCACACCCAGCTGGGTCGACAAGCCAGTCCAAGTCGTGGGTACCAATGTCAGATCTCTGATATGCGGCTTGGCATCAAGCTGAATACGCATGAAGAGGTCCATGTCGCGTGCTGATCGACACATGGGACCGGCGTTGGCCAAGACGGTGAGCTCAGCCACCATTGGCACATGTACCAAGTCTCTGGTTGACAGGATGCCACTTGTTGGTTTGTATCCATAGATGCCGCTGAACGCTGCAGGGATTCGGATGCTGCCACCAATGTCGGTTCCAATGCCGAGGACCGAGCCCCTCATAGCAATCAAGGCTCCTTCACCACCACTAGAGCCTCCAGGCGTCAAAGTGGTGTTATAAGGGTTCAAGGCTCGGCCCCAAGGCGAGTCACTTTCGCCGTGCATCAGGGCCTGGGGTTGATTTGTCTTACAGTAGAAGACAGCGCCGGCCTTGCGAAGGACGGCTGGAAGCGGAGAGTCATGCTCATCGTACTCCGCCGTAGCTAGAATACCCAATGACGAGAACGTGCCAGCCAAGGGAAGATGATCCTTGATACTGACGGGCACACCATGGAGCGGACCTATCGTGGTGCCATGCTCTGCCAGATACTCATCTAGTTTCGTAGCTTGCTGGATAGCCTGATCATAATACCACTGAGTAAGACAGGAGGTAAGCTGATGGGCGATAATTGCACGCTTGCAAAAGGCTCTGGCAACAGCCACACATGTATACTTGCGTTTAGCGATAGCCTCTGCAAGGCCAGTTGCATCATAACCTTCGGTAATGGCGACTTCCTCGTCCGTAAGTAGACCACAGGTATTAGGAATCTTGGTGACGTCGAGAGGAGTGTTTTTGAAGAATTCAGGACCCAGACAGAACTCTGCGGGCACTTTGTCGGCGAGTGCTTTGAGAACAGCCGCACGCTTAGCCTCGTGCTCTGGCGTGCCTGTAGGCACGGGTACAGGGTTATTGACATGCATGACTGGGAAGATTGAGCAGGTAGATAATTGGAGTATGCACCAGTCTTGAGCGTTGAAGGACTGAGTATAAAGATTGGTGGAATATGGATAGAGAAGAGGTGAGTAACATGCCTGGCTTTATAGTCATATGCAATCCTAGGCAAGTTGAGCCGAAGACATCGTACCCCGTGATACTGTCCATCGACCATCAGGAAATACTGATGATTGGTGAATTTAGATACACGCAGTGAGTGACCGAATCAGACGCTTTTGCGATTTGTCGGCAATAGTGCAAGTAAGGATTGCGGAATACGAGAGAGACTAGCGACCTATTGCTACAAGTACCTAAGTACTCAAATCCGCTATCTACAGGCACATTGCTTTGCTATTCCAAGATGTCCTCTTTCTGGAACCACAGTAAACCATTACCGAGGCTCCTGGGTCACTTAACATATACACCATGTTGAAGATCGTCTAGACATCTATCTACTGAGCCAATCACACGCTTTTGCGAGAATGGCTGAACTAAACTAGCGCGAGTGAGTGAAGCGTATCATTTTAAAGCTTCACCCTTCACTAGTGTGCTTCCCCGCAAACTCGCTTGGACAAGGGTACGCACCATGATGGCTTATCTTGAGCTGAGGCACTTGACCCCTGCGTCTGGACCATCGTCGAACCTTTGACTGGATGATCAAGTGATAGAAATCATTATGTATCCATCATTTACATGAAGAACGAGTCATTGACTTTCTTTCTCTTACAAACACACACACACGACTTGATCATCCCTGGCATATCTCACATCCATCCAACACAGCATCGTAACACAGCTTGCTTCACAGTCAATTGGCCCAAACAGGAAATCCAACATGGCCACAAGTCTCCAACGGCCTAAGCTGCGTGCCAAGACGGGCTGCCTTTCATGCCGACAACAGCGCATCAAGTGCGATGAGCGAACTCCAGTGTGCCGAGCCTGTTGCGCCTCACGAGTCCCGCGCAATTGCCAGTGGCCTTTAGACAAAGACCTTGTCGACCGCCGCTTCCGATCATGCAAGCTTCGCGAGGCGGTAAAGGGTCATCATCGTCAATCGGTCCCCTCGCCTTCTGTGGTGACGCCGCAGCTTCTGTTGGCGGACTTTGTCCTGGCTCGTAAACGAGAACGAGGTGACATCGAATGGACACTCTTCCACGAGTTCGGCCGTCGAGGAACACCGCTTCTTTTGCTGCCACATTGCAGCTCTGTCTTCTACAAGGCATGGCATGCTGCTATACGCGGCATCATGGTATCACGCAAGAGTCTGTCGCCTGCTCTCATGGCGTGTGCCGCATCCTTCGTTTCCGCCAGAGGAGGGCTGCTTGGCATGTGCCATGTTTCTCATCAATACTATACCGACTCGCTGGCCAGGCTCGCAGGCTCACTCTGCCAAAGCTCTCCAGAGAAGGACGATGATATCCTTGTCACCATTGTGCTCCTGTACGCTTTCAACTACATATCTGGCTCCTCCTCCTGGGAGGATCAACCTCAGCACGTCAGCGCTGCCATCAAGATCATCATTTGCCGGATACTGAACGCAACGAGCGCTGAAGACTTTTCGGCCTTTTTTCGTCTGACACTTGAGAGTGTCCTGTACCAAGTCTTCCTATTGAACAACGGCCTTTGGTCCAGTGCAACCAACTACGTGTCCCTCCAGCCGCTAAACTCGGAGTTTTGGGCTCGCTCTGAGGAGCTCCTAGGACATCCTGCCAATCTAGACTTCGCCCGGATGAGCCTCAGTAGCCCGGTTCTTGGTATACCCTTGGCCGTGATGCGCCTCGCCATGTTTCTCGGCCAGCTTTGCCTCGGAAGAGAATCCGGAAGTATAGGAGATCTGGTGAAGCTGCAGACTGAGGTCACAGCCTGGGAAGACTTTGCGCTGCAGGCTGTGGAACACACCCATGCATCCGATGCGCTGAACAGAGATTCCAACTGCTTATACGCCATGATCGCTTCTATTCTCATGCAACATCTCATGGCTTTTGGCCCAAACGCAGGACTTCCCAAGGTGTCCCCAATAGACAGTTGGCAAGCCTGTGTGGCACTTCAGATCCTGTCCAGACGTGCTGGGGATCATCGCTGGTCCGAGTGTTTCATCGGGACCTGGCCTGTATACGCTCTTGGATTCTTGCTATCTGAACGCGAGGACAGAGACATTGTGCGTCGCGACATTCAGAGTCGGCGGGAGCTCACAGGCTTCTGGATAGTCAAACGCTTCCAAGAAGACTTGGAGAATTCTTGGGCCGGGCTCGAGCCAGACTCACCATTGGCATCCGTCAACTACAACGTCCCAGACACACCTAATATCGCTTCCTTGCAGTCTTCCATACCTATCGTAGCGTTATGAGGCAAAGCCGCACTGGGAGTGGCTTGAGAACGAAGTAAAAAGGGCATCTTCCGGCTATACATCTTTAAAATGTACATCTTCAAAATGAGACCAGTTAATAATATGCTAGTGAAAAAGCTTTCAGCTATTGGTTAGAGGGCAGTTTGTCCGGTCAAAACTGCATCATGTTCCTCATTATACGTGAGTAATGTGACTCTGCTGTAGTTTGGTGATCAGCAACTGATCATTCTCGTTAAACCTCTGGTTTTTATAAATCACTCCCCTAGTCAGTTCGTGTGATAACTCAATAATTAACCCCATTGCTAAAAGCTTTCAACATTGCCTGTAGGTCGCAAACTTGCCACCGAGTGTCGTAAGCAGTAGGCGCGAATCATCAAGTCATGATTCTAGGCGTTGCTGACTTGTATCTGTTTATATAAAGCTTGCCTAAAATATATATAAGCCATTACCGAGTTGGTGGAGATTTGAAAAAGGTTTCATAAGAAGGTTGAAAGTCTTTGCTAATAAATTCTCTGTCTGGGAATGTTCTATCAAAGATCTAAAGCTCACACCATGAGACGTTCGTCCACACCTCAAAGTCCGCTGGCTTCGGAATATCATAGTGACAGCCAGGGTCATCTTCTCTATTGTACCGACGCAGGGACTCACATGAGCCCTGCTGCGGAATTTCACTGCCAGCTGTTTTGTGGTCTGCAGAAAATGCAGCCAGATTCCAGCCATAGGGTGTTGCTTCTGCCTTATCCCCCGGTTCATCATCGAACCAGTCACCCCAAAACTCCAGCGGATCGTTGCCATAGGCTTCCTCTCCCTTGTGTTCGAAACGCCAAACCTCGGTTGGGTGACCAGCTGTGCCAGATACTTGCCAGTACCAAATCCGGCCCTCTGTGTCTCGTCCCCAGTCCCACCTTGGAGAGTTTTCGACTCTGAGAAGATATTCGTCTTCTTCTCTGTCGTAGAAAGGCTGCATTTCGATATCAAAATCGTAGTCTTCGTCTTCATCGGGGACTTCTGGTCTTTCTGGAAGTTCTCTTTCAGTAGCGAACTTCTTGAGCTTTCCTTCTCCATCGCTCCAGAGGCCCATTTCTGGGTCCCACGTACGTTGCCCTTGGACCGTCCAGGAGCCATCTTTAGGCTTCTCTCGCTTCTCAAGAGGATCATCGGCCTCTTCATCAGTGACAGGATCGTAGAAAACTTTGTCCGAGTCAACCCATAAGCCCGTCTCAAAATGGAAGATCCTTCGAGGTCCAATATCATACGCGATCCCATGTTTGTCTCGTCGTTCTAGTGTAGCAGTATCCAGCCATTTGATATCCATCGAATCATATCCTCTCTTCTCCCAGAGATTATCCCGCGTATCATTAAAGGCTGCAAGCTCGCAGGTAGTTGTATCGAAAACCAGAGGATGCGTAAATATCTGTGTCTGTCCGCTTGTGAATCGAAAAGGGGGCAGTGGCTTCTCCTGATTGGAGATATCCGCACGGTTGACGTAGGCAAGAACTGCCTGTTCATTTATATACTCATGCCTGTTTTCTGCATCGGACTCCGAGCCGTCGTCGGTGCTGTTATTGCCGTAGTTATCGCCGCCGTCTTCGATGTTATGTCCTGACGTTATAACGAGTCTCTCCAACTGCAACGAATTCATATCCGCAAGCTTCGCAAGAAAAGACCTCTCAACTGCCGAAGACGTGAAGTACAATCTTTTTAGTGTCTTCGCATGGCGCTGGATGAACTTGAGAGTCTGGGAGATCAAGGTCTTGCCAAGAAGATCCGTTTCTGCCAATTCCACGTCGGTAAGTTTGGGTAGTGTGGGAATAATACCCGGAGAGTACGGAACAGGGGTACCCTCGTTACACAGTTTCAGGCTCGTCAAGCTTTTCGCGTTCTCAAGACAAGCCCGAAGCCCCGCGAAAGGATTAGTCTCAGCATGTTTGCCGGTGAGACAGAGGTCCAACTGACTAAGATGTTTGAAAACACTGGGCTTTAAAGGCGTCATGCGGTAGAGAGCTGTACGGGAATTGACACCCTCATCAGCGTAGAAAAGACGTGTAATCTTGCTTGTTGGCACTTTGTCTTTGGCCTGAGTTGTGGGGGATTCGAGCAGAGGAAGGAGGAAATCCGTAAAGCCAACGTTAAAGCGTAAGGCAGCTCCGTTCTCCTGTAAAAGGTTCCTGAGACTGTCGACGCTTATGGAATAATCCATGGAGGGGAGCTGAAGGCGCCGCCGAGGGTCCATAGGCCTTGAAGCCAGGGTATGTAAATTAGGCATGTTGTTGCGAATAGCAGACACAAATTCATCCTGTATGTTCGATTGCGGAATCAGAGGGTCATTATCATGTATCATATGCCGGGTAAGGTGGCCCGGGATATGATATACCGTGTCCATCGTGGGGTAACCCGAGATATGCTGAATATCCAACAGAAAGAGAAAGTATACGAACTCGGTGAGCTCTGTAAAGAACTGTTGATCACCATCAAGCAACTGGCGCTTCCAGGAACCATCTTTAAGATAGGAAAAGTCAAACCCAAGCTCTTCCCAGACAAGGACTCGGACCAGGGGGGCAAGACCCGGAGATCTTGAAATGCTGAAGAAGTTCGCAAAATCTTGAAGAAGAGGGGAGATATGAATACGATAGAAAAGAATAGGCGAGGTTTCGATAGCTAGTCGACGGCAGGTGAGTCTAAGTGACTTGATATCTTGTCTTAATAGAACAAGACCAAGCGAGCAGACCTCGGCGAGAATCTCGCTAGGCAGGGTGTCAAGTCTCATGGTAGCATGTCATCGACGTCGTGAGAATGTTCGTTGCAGAGAAGAGAGGGATAGGAAGTCATGAACTTTGAAGGCTCTCAGGTTTTACTCAGGGCAGCAAGGCACGTGTATGGCGGTATCACGGATCCAATGAGAGCAGAGGGAGACTTTTCAGGCTCTGGGTTAAGAAAACTTACACAATTTTTATGACATTTATTATCTAAATTAATAAATGCTCAAAGATTGTGATAGTAATGCTAAAATTCCTGTAGTACTGTGCCTGAACTGAGGACTTCTAGCCGTTTTGGCTCAGCCTGTCACTAGTTTGGGATGCCAAATACAAATCAACAAGATATATCAAGCCGGTATATTGACAGATTCTGATAGATAACTTGAGCTTTTAGAAGCCTTAGTAAAGATAAATCTCTTCCAATCCAAACTTAATAAGCTTATATGATGATTCAATCAGCAACCTTATTTACAGTGAGGTTATTGAGTCTTATGTTGTGTGTAACTCAGCACAGGAAAACACATTTACCCAGATATTTTCTACATTGCAATAAGCATTTAGCTTTGAATAATAAATGCCCAAGTTCCTGAAGTATTATGCCTCAGCTTATGGTCTTTAGCTTCTCTGGTCACGATAAGTCTAGGGTGGGTAGACGCGTTTATACACGCGGTTGGCTACGTCAGCCAGCTGACAATATGACTGTCACACAACAATCCATAAAGCAAATAAGAAGTGCTTGCAAGAATCTAGGCAGCAGTAAAGAAAGTGATAGAATCTTGAAAAATGAAATACAGCTTGGTAGATTGGAAACAAACGAAAAGACAATCAGAATTCACGTACAACCTGATGTGGCGTTGTGTATGCCAAGACCTTTGACTTGCACAGCCACATATAGATACGCCACACGTCAGTCAATCTTGTACCAACTTCTTTCCCAAGGTTCTGTTGAGAGTGGCGCAGTAGATAAAGGTATGACGCTAGCGCACGCTGGGCATCATCTGGGCTAGGGGAGGCAATAAAACTTCAGTTATATCCTAAGTGACAAAAAGGCTTAGGTAAGTTTAGCATAACTTAGTGGTCCTTTAGACCAGTCTTTTTTGGCACCTGATCAAAGGGCAGAAGTTTTCTTACTCCTTGAGGCTGGGCCGCCAAAAGGTCGCCTCCAGACGCTTGGCAGCCGCGCAAACCATCAGAGGCAGCCAAGAAAGGGCGAATGAAAGCCCGAGCGTCATAACTTATTAACTGACACATGACGAATCCCTCTTCATTGCCTTCTTCAATTTCTTGATTTCAGTTCTTGCATAGATCACATACAAATACCACCCACCGCGACACATACAGCTACTGCTATTGCTGTTCTTCATACTTTGCCTACCTGCGAGAGAATGGGCTCTCTGTTCGTCATACCTCCAAACCAAGACGCCCATCAAGGCACTGACTCTCGTTCTTCTACTGCTAGGCAAAAAATGCGCCCTTCGATCGAATCTTCCCTGGGCGACCAGGGCCTTGCTACCGAGCAACGCAGCCTGCTAGACCTTATCGACAAGCTTCAATTCGCACAGCTCGATGATGTCAAATTACCCCAGATTGTTGTCGTTGGTGACCAGTCCGCTGGAAAGAGTTCGGTTCTCGAAGCTCTGACCGGTACACCATTTCCTCGCGATGCCGGCGCCTGTACACGTTTTGCGACAGAGATTCGCATGCGACGAGCGAAGGAGACGAAATTAAAGGTTTCCATCATTCCCGACAAGACACGGCCTTACAATGATCAAGCTCGCTTGCTTCAATGGGGTGGTGATGTCACCGGTGATACACCCTTCGATGCGATGATGCGTGATGCCACAGAGTTGATCGCCCCGAAAAGTATTCCTGGTCGCTTCGCCGCTCGCGACATTCTGGTCGTAGACAAGGAGGGCCCCGACATGCCACTTTTGACACTGGTCGATCTTCCCGGTCTTGTCCGAGTCGCCAACCGCGATCAGTCCGAGGCTGACATCCAAACCATCGAAGCCCTCTCCGACCGATACATGAAGAGCTCGCGAACCATCATTCTTGCTGTCATCGGCGGCAACAACGATTATGTTCAGGCTCCTATCCTCAAGAAGGCCCGCCACTTTGATCCCAAGGGATCACGCACAATCGGTGTCCTTACCAAGCCCGATATGACCGAGCGTATTGGCCTTGAAGACAAGTTCATTGAGCTTGTTACCAACAAGGACCAAGAGAACAACTTCAAACTCGGCTGGTACGTCTTGCTCAACCCTGGACCAGGTGAGCAATGGCAGAACCCCGAGGACCGCGCCAATCGAGAAGCCGAGTTCTTCTCTCGCGGAAAATGGGCAACTCTGCCCCCAGAGATGTGGGGTATTGGTGCTCTCCGCGCCAAGTTGAGCACTCAGCTTCAGCGCCATATCGGCAAGCATGTCAAGACTCTTCGCCGCCAGATCCAGCAAGCTTTGGAAGGCTGCGAGAGTCAGCTCAAGGCTATGGGTGTCGGCAAAGATACCCCAGAGGAGATGCGTTTCCAGATGGGCGAACTCTTCACAGCATCCAACAACCTCGTTACTCCTGCGGTGAACGGTAACTACAAGAACCCGTTCGGTGAGCGATTCTTTGCTAGGCAGTCAAGCCCCAAGGGCACTCCATCTCAGAAGCTCCGTGCTCGCATTCGTGATGAAAGTGAGCGCTTCGCTCGAAGGTTCCGACAGCACGGTCGTAAGGTTACGTTCCAGAAGAGCCAACCTCCTGCCGCTGCAAATGGTATCAATGGTACGAATGGCGCTGCCGACGGCAATGGCCTTCCCGCTGCTGGTACCGTTGGAGATCGCTCCAAGAAAGACTTTGCCGAGTTTGAAGTTGAGCCTCTTCTTCGACAGATTCGGGGTAACGAACTTCCTCTCGACTCCAACCCTCGAGCCCCTTATATCCTGTTCCAGGACTACTCCAGAAACTGGCCTGTGCTTGCGCAAGAATACAAGGACAATGTTGGCGTTATCTGCAACGAGTTTCTTGCGGATGTTATTGATCACGTCTGGCCCATGCGCATGCGCGATCCTCTTCGCATGCACTTCCTTGAGCTCAGGATGAAGGACCTTGTCGAAAGCGCCGACACCGAGCTTGGACGTCTCACCGATGACATGGAGCTCGAAATCCAGCCTTTCGACCCTGAGTACGAGGAGCGTCTTCGAAAGTGGCGCGCTGAAGCTACTGAGAATGGCGGAACCTACACTGAGGCCGAAGAGGTCTTGGAGAAGATGCTTATTTACTACGATCTTACTGCACGCATCTTTACCCGCAACGTCATCACTCAGGTCGTCGAGCGACACCTCCTGCTTGGCATGCTGCGACTGTTCAATCCTATTGAGATCCTTCGCATGCAAGATACCACCATTGAGGCTATTGCTGCTGAGAACAAGGAGACCCGCGAGCGCCGTAAGGCCCTTCAGCTGCAGAAGAAGGCCATTGAGGAAGCTAGAAACATCTGCGCCAGCCTTGCTATGCGAAGCGAATTACGAGCTTACGAGGATGATCCGGACGACGATGCGGAAACGGATGATGAAGAGCAGACACACCGAGAGGTAAGCCGTCGTCAGGTTGGAGCGCCTCAGAATGGTACACCCCAGAACGGTACACCTCAAGGCGGTCTTCTCCAGGCACAACCGGCCCCTCAACCAAGTCGCTCTAGTGACTCTACCCGTCGACCAACCCGCGACAGTCGCGACGAGCGCAGCGAGCGACCTGAGCGTACCGAACGCGAGGAACAGCGAGCAAGCCGACCTCCCGTCCCAACTCAGGACTCCTACCAGAGCGGCCCTTACCAGGCCAACCGTGACTGGGAGCCAGTTTACCATCCTCAACAACAGGCACCTGGACATGCCCCCCCACCCCCTCCTCCTCGTCCCTCAAAGGTAGGCCTTGGAGAGACCGAGTCTTACTATGACAATGCCCGTCGCCAGGACTCCTATACTGAGAGTCCCGGTCGAGGTGATGGTCGTCGGGAGGGTGCACGACATAGACTTGTGAACGCTATGCGAATGGGAAACTAAGACTTTACTAGAAGAGATGGATTAGATGATTCACGGCGTTGGAAAGGGACTTGTGATATCCTTATGTAACGAAGCGTTTATGGCTGGGTTGTCAATGGGTTTCGATGATAGATAGAATACCAAGAATGATTCATTTATAACCTGAGTCCAGCTGTGATACAACGTGAATGTAGCCAGACCCTAGGAGGTGGTAGAAAACCTTAGATAAAAGTCCTAGTCTAAGTGATAAAAAGGCTCAGATAGTATAAGGATATCTTAGGGTAGTTGATGATGAGCTTAGCTTAATCTTGGAATAATTTATTTTCTAACCCTAAAGTCAGGTCTTAACTCTCGGACGGCATGAATATATCACCCAAACCAGTTTAACGCCATCTGCTCAATCGTCAGTTCACCAGGCCGTATATCCGTAAATCGAGATCAAACTAAATTATCATGGCGTAACAGGCTTGCCCATGACGACGAGATTCCAAGACATCGGGACAAACGGCACAAAAGGCATAAGATTTCCACAATAAAAAACTGTTGCAAACAAGAACAAGTTGAACGGACATAAAAATAGTAATAAATGCAACTATTTCCTTGTTGTTTCTCCGATTCAGTGGAGCTCACTCTCGTTCCTGAACCTGTCGCGTGGTTGAAACCCCGGATTTTACGTCACCTACGTCATATCGTGTTACATGTCGTACAAGGGTAGCTCTCAAGGCCGGGAATAAACAAAAGCAGCTCCGTCCCCTTCTCCCTCATGCCACATATTATTTCTTTCATGGTTTGTTCTAAGTGAATACTTCTGAAATGGTGGGAAAACGTCAGTGGAATAATGAAGGCGCTCGCCATCGCGGTCGTCACGTCGGCGAGGAAGCACACCACGACGAACACCCTCGCGATCTCGAAACAGGTCGATACTCGTACTACGACCCCAACAAGAAATCACGTCCTAAACCACGAATAATGCAGTTCCAAGATGCAGCACGCACAGCTCTCGAAGACGCTCGTCGTGGTGAAATAAAGCGTGCATTACTCCACGGTATCGATCGTCAAGGCCTCGAGAAATACAGAAAATCAGATGAAGAGCTCAAAGCGATAAAGAATAAAAAAGTCCGAGCTTTTTACGAGCAGCAGAACGAGCGTCTTAATGATTGGCTCGAGGTAGACGCTGTGGTGATGGCGATTGCGGATGATGTGCTGGAGAGTATGAATCCTGATCCGGATCATGATGGTGATCAGGAGAGATGTGGAGGGATTCAGCGCGTGGAGGGGAGGATTGGGGAGTTGTTGCCTGAGGAGGAGAAAGAGAAGAGGAGAAGAGCAGCGAGGAAGGCGAATTTGGCTATCAATGTTAATGTGATGGCTAATATTCTTCTTCTGGCGGGGAAGGCTTTTGCGGTGTTTACGACGGGGTCGTTGTCGCTTGTTGCGTCGCTTGTGGATTCGGCGCTGGATTTACTCTGTACGCTCATCGTGTGGTCGACGAGTAGGCTTGTTTTGTGGCGGTTGCAAGCTATGCAGCGACGATTCCCCGCGGGACGAAGACGTTTGGAACCACTGGGTATTCTTGTGTTTTCGATCATCATGGTCATTTCGTTTCTGCAGATTCTGCAGGAGTCGTTTTCGAGATTGCTTAAGCACTCTGAAGCTGAGATTCTGAGCTGGGCTGCTATTGCGTCTCTGCTCGCGACGATTGTTCTCAAGGGAGCTATTGGGCTGGGATGTCGACCTATCAAGTCAAGTCAGGTACAAGCTCTTGTGCAAGATTGCAAAACGGACGTTATCTTCAACACGTTATCGCTTCTCTTCCCACTGATCGGCTACCGCGCCAACGTATGGTGGCTCGACCCCGTTGGCGCTGGATTACTATCACTTTTCATAATCTACGACTGGGGCCATACATGTTTCGAGAACGTGGTGCGCCTATCAGGCGAAGCAGCAGACGACCACACTCTCAAGAAACTGATCTACCTGGCCTATCGGTTCGCGCCGGTGGTAGCGGGTTTCAAGAACGTCACGGCCTATCACGCGGGAGATGGAGTATGGGTCGAGTTTGATGTGTTGCTGGATGAGAAGACGCCGTTGAATAGATCGCATGATATCGCGGAGACGTTGCAGTATTGTGCGGAGGGGTTGGGAGTTGTGGACAGGGCGTTTGTTACGACGGATTATGCGGCGAGTGGACCTTTGGGACATGCGCTTGATTCGGAGTGGAATCATTAGGAGGTGAAAGGAGGAGGGAGAGGGGTTGTATGAATATAGGTGTGGAATACGGTGTTGGATGCTTGGCTTATGGCATGGATTGCGAATGGTCTTGGTTGTGGACTTGGCGAGGTGATGAGTCGAGATGGCTTCACATCTGTGGTGGGCAAGGTGAGGCTGAGCATAGGCATAAGCGATTTGAAACGATAAACTGATGAGTACATAGAAGCAATAGAAGACGCATGATCAAACTAATTTAATCTCAATGGTAAAATCGTGAAGATATCTGGTAATCCTCAGGGTCAATTGATGCAAAGTCTGCCATGGCGCCAAGTCGTGTGGGCATTCTTCTATCTTTGAATTTGTAAGCCCCTCATTATGGCTTTATTATCGACTTCTACATGAATCATCATGAGTATCTTATCAGCCTCTTTCCGGGGTTATCATGATGAACTAGTGGACACCTAGCTTACGCCAGGGACCTTGATGTCCTCATGATGCAATGTCCATCAGGGTACGATATCAACGCCACAAGTAAATGAAGCTATATACAATATGAGCTCCAAAATGACCACAGGGGTTCTCACATTCTCGTGAACGACTCCATGAGGGCTTGGGGTGTCCTCACTGGAGTTATCTTTATAAGCCAACATCTTCCCCAAACCCCTGACTTGACTTACACTTCTACCCTCACCATCATGTCTTCAATCCAAGTGGAAGAAGACGTCTACGACGTCCTCGTCATAGGCGCCGGCCCCTGCGGTCTCGCCATAGCAGCCCGTCTCCACGAACACACCCCCGCCGCACTCTTCACTGACGAAGAACACCGTCGCTTCCACTGGATATCCAAATACGGCAACAAAATGCCCCTGAAGCACGTTCGCAGCGGTAAAATCAGCCCTCCCCAGCACTCTGCAAAACCACAGTATAAAATGCTCGTGCTCGATGCAGATAGCGATACTTGGATGGGACGCTGGAACAGGTTGTTCAACATGTATGATATCTCGCATCTGAGAAGTCCTATGCTTTGGCATGTTGATCCGCTTGATCGGGATGCATTGCTCGCGCATGCGTATGCTAATGATAGAGCGGATGAACTTGTTGAGATTAGGAATTGTGTGGGGAAGGAGATTAGTAAACATGGGAGGAAGAAGAGTGGACAACGAGCTTGTGGACGAAGGTAATCCCCCCTTTACCACTTAATTGAAGGCTGTTGAACTGACGTGGTGTAGACAAGAAGCTCGTGTTGACATCAACGTAAGAGAGCGTAATGATTACTACAACCCTTCAACGTCCCTCTTCTGCGACCACTGCGAAAAAGTCGCGGCGCGGTATAATCTCAGCTCAAACATGATCCGCAAAGAAGCCCTCCAGCATTTGGACTACGATGAAGTAAAGGGTATTTCAATTGATGGCGAGAAACTCTTTACTGTAACATCCAACAAAGTCCGTCGATACGCTCGCACAGTAGTGTTAGCAGTCGGTCCAGCAAACGTTGCCAAAATCCCCCATATTCCCTCCATGCCCGAAAAGCTTCCTCAGACATGTCACAGCATGCACATCGCTGAATTTCCAGACCCTGTCGTCAAAGCGAGAATCGCTGCGAAGAGAACGACGAATGTTCTTGTTGTTGGTGGTGGACTTACGTCTGCGCAATTAACTGATCTTGCTATTCGGAAGGGCGTCACAAAGGTCTGGCATATCATGCGTGGACCACTGCGCATCAAGCATTTCGACGTTGGACTTGAATGGATGGGAAAGTTTAAGAATGCGAAGCAAGCGCAGTTTTACTACGCTGATTCAGATGATGAGAGAATTGAGATGATCAAGGAGGCGAGAGGTGGAGGGAGTATCACGCCTGTTTTCCACAAACGACTCAAGAAACATCTCTTGACGAAAAAGCTCGAACTCTTCACTGAAACAAGTCTCGTGGATGCTCAATTCGACGCTGAGAAGGGTACTTGGAGTGTTCAGACCAATCCCCCAATCGACATGCCTGCTATGGACTACATGTACTTCGCAACCGGTATCCAAACGGACTTCTCCTCACTTCCCTACTTACAAAAGATTCTGGAGAAATACCCCATCGAAGGACGCGGGGGGTTTCCCTGTATTAATAACGATTTAATGTGGAATGACGATGTTCCGCTGTTCATGATGGGAAGACTGGCTGCGCTGAGACTTGGCCCTGCGGCGCCGAATCTGGGAGGGGCGCAAGTTGGTGCGGAGAGGATTGCGTGGGCTATTGAAGATAGAGTTGCGAGGCCTGGGGAAGATGAGGGGGAGGATTATAGGAAGGGGTATTTATCTGGGCATGGGAATATGTATAGTTCTTTGGCTTGTGAGTAGATGAACCTGTGGTAGGATTCTTATCCTTGAAGATCGATCTGAGATGGATATTGTTATTGGTTGAAGTGCTGAAAGGGAGCACCCCTGCATTATCCCCGCACCGTTACCGTGATGAACTACGCCTCAATCATTCAACACCAACGCTCAACTTGTCATCTGCATAAATATCATCGCATCCCACTTCACCTCATCCTCACCCCCTCTCGTCTTAAACCAGGACTATAACCAAAATGCCACGCGTGGGGATACAAAAAGTGAGAACGGGCTGTAAAACTTGCAAGTACGTAACATAACTGTCTCACACCAGCACCCCAAGTTAACTCTCATGTCAGAGCTCGCAAAGTAAAATGCGATGAGACTTGGCCACGCTGCAAACGCTGCCTAACAACAGGCCGCACATGCGCAGGCTACATCGCACCACCCCCCGGCTCATTCTCATGGACTTCTCTCCTGCGCACCAAGCCTCAAACCCTACCCATAACCAACACCAAAGAAGTCCGCAGCTTATCCTTCTTCCATCACGTGGTCGCTCCCGTGCTCTCCGGTCCTTTTGACGGTTCGTTCTGGACGTATTTCGTCGTTCAGATGGCGCAGTCTGAGCCGGCGGCGCGTCATGCTGTGTTGGCGATAAGTTCTCTCTTCGAGAGCTTTGAACCATCGAAGGAGAGTGTGGCTGATGAGTTTGCTATTAAGCATTATAACAAAGCTATTAGTATTCTTACGCGTGATACGAAACCGTGTGTTGATACGGTTTTGTTGGTCTGTACCTTGTTTATATGCATTGAGTTTCTGCGAGGGAATCATGAAGCGGCGATTACGCATGCGAGTCATGGTGTACAGCTTCTCAACTCTGCAGGTCACAAATCACGCCTCTCGAATACTTTTGCGCAAATGAGTATCTTTCCGTTATTCTTTGTGGATGAAGGCGCTGAGTTCCCACTTCTTCGAGGCGACGAGGGCGCAGATTTGAAGAATCCTGTGTTCTATACAATAAGTGAAGCGCAACACGCGCTAGAGCATCTGTGTATAAGGATTATAAGACTTGTTCGCGATGGAAATCCATATCGGCTTGAAGTTACCGATGAGATTCCGCAGGAGTGGATGTTTGATGAACACGCAGAAGCGAAACAAGATCTTGAAGCGTGGGAGTTTGCGTTTGAGAGATTTCGGAACAGACGAGGTTTTGCGGAGATGGAGGATACACCGACTTTGGCGGTTATTACGAGACATAGACTTATGAAGATTTGGATTGTGAATTGTTTTAGAAGAGGGGAGATGGGGTATGATGGGATGAAGGAGGATTTCATCACGATTGTGGACTGCGCTCGAAAAGCAGCCGAGAACCTTGAAGCGCAACACGCAGCACCGGGAAAATTCATGTTTGACACTGGATTTAACCCCATGCTCCATTTCACAATCTTCAAATGTCGATACCTCGCTCTTAGAGTGGAAGCACTCTCCCTCATGCGGCGACTGTCAAGTCAGCAAGAAGCTTTGTGGAACGCAACGCTACTGTACGACATGTCACGGCGTATCATCGAGGTTGAGCACGATATTGATCTCTCGGGGGATTATGATCTATATGATGAGAGGTTACCGCCTGATGAGAACAGAGTAAGGGGCTTCTTCTTCAGAGAGGGGCCGGAGGCAGAGTCGGTCATGTGGGATAAGAACGCGGAGACGGTGTATTTCCTCATGGGGCATCCACAAGGTGGTGTGGTGTTTAGGAAGGAGTACGTTAGGAACAAGGACTTAGTCTTGGATTGCGGGCAGACTTTTTGGATGTGATGAGAATGCAGCAATGATTTGAGATTTCTGGTTCTAGACACTGATACCAACGTTGTAACCATCAATTCTACTCGCATCAGCTCCGTAAGAAACCTCTCAATCGCGCTTGATCATGGCTTCACGATCGGGGCCGGTCCCAATGTACTTGATCTGATAGAATATGCGTTAGTAGATTACCTCTACCGTCGTTGGGGGCGCCATACCTTCACTCCCACAAATCCCTCAACAAACTGCAAGACTTGTCAGTATACATCAATGTTACAACAAGCAAAAGAGCATTACCTCCACGTATTCACGCGCTTCTTTTGGCAAATCGTCGTAAGACCTCGCATTTGTCGTAGGTGTTTGCCATCCCGGAAAGTCCTTGTACACAACTTCGCATTGATCCAAGATATCCAGGTCAGCTGGGTAGTGATCGAGTTCCTATAATAACATTAATGTATTGTTGCACTGTAGAAAACGATGGAGAACTCACCTTGCCACCGAGCGTATACGCTGTCGCGACGCGGATTGTATCAAAGGTATCCAGGACGTCGAGCTAAAAGACGTCGGTTAGTACTATGACGGAATAAGTAGTAAACAACAAGTCCTTGCCTTTGTCAAGTTCAGAGCAGTGTAGTTATTGATGTCATTCGAGTACCTCAGAACGACCAAATCAAGCCTGCAGGAAGTTAGATAGCCATGTGACGGAGTTCAATTCTACTTACCATCCGCATCGGCGTCTCCGACCAGTTGATGTTCCCTTGGTACGTTAGACTAAAAGACTCGACAAAATATTAGTAGTCTCTCACCCATTCTCTTCCAATTTCTTGAAGCTTCGTTCCGATCCTATATCCAGTCAACCCCCCATCAATCTTAGTACACAATGAAGCAACTCACTCTCCCGTGTCCTCGGTCTTGAAAGCTCCCGAGCCGACTCTTGTCGTATAAGCCTTAACAACTCCGATGATCTCTGTGATCTTCTTGGGATTCAAGGTAAGTCCGCCGATGATGCCGGCCAGTGAAGTGTTGGACGATGTTACGTACTGCTCTATTAGCTATGATCACTGAATTGGAAGACATCAACATAACTTACGGGGTATGATCCATAGTCAAGGTCAAGCATGAGCGCCTGAAAACGGGGATGAGCCCCAGCATCGGGCCTCACACACCTTTCCTTTACAAAGGACATGGCTTGCGCTGGCTGTTTCAGCTGGCGAAAGGGTACAGCATGAACATTGCCCCAAGATATACGCAGGCCTGATACCCAAGCGCAAACTTGAACAACAGCAAGCACCAGTCGCCCGGGTCTTGCGAACCTCAGAAGAGGTTCGAGAAGCATGCAAAGTCCAGTAGTAGCTCATCTGTCAGCATAGACCTTTGTCGAGAGACCACCTCGACCCGCTGAGATTTGTCCAGAAGCAAAGGAAAGGGTATGAGACCACGAGGAAGGTTGCTCGAACCCCAGCTGGTCAGTACTAAATCATCAAGCATAGGTCACCGCTCTTACATTCGCTCCTTCGACCAGAATGGGAGTGTTGCTCCCTTGCGCTGATTTCATAAAAGATACTCCGTCAACAGCATAATTACGCAACTTGGGTCGGTACTCCTCAAATCGGGCAAGCTCCTCTTCGATGTTGTACCTGAAGAGATCTCCGTAGCGCTTTCGGTAACCATCAGCTAATCGTCGTAGTTTCTGCTCAAATAGGTTGGGGTTGAAGACATCAGCCAGCCTAATGCCGCTCCGCTATCCAGGTTCAGCAATAATCCTGATGCTATGGCCTTGAGTTTCTGCTCACCGCGGCTTTGCAGCTATAAGAGGGTCCGATACCTGCAATAGTTAATAGAAAGCCAGATATTAGACATCTGCCGAGACAAACCTCGTCCAGTTGTTCCGATCTTGCCCTCTAGGCTAGTGTTAGCAATCTCCAACCAGTTTCATATGCCCCAAGACCAAAAATCAAAAACCAACCTCCGAGCTCCTGTTCCTCGAGTCCATCGGCTGCAATGTGCAACTGTAGATCGATGTGCACCCGGTCAGAAACACGAATTCTATCGTGTACTTCTAGTCCTTTCTCTGATAGATCCTGTAGCTCTTTGAAGAATTGCGGCACGTTGAAGACTACCCCAGAGCCGATGAAGTTCATGCTAATACGTGTAAGTCAATTTGATCGATGACAAGCATTGAGTCGTAATAGTACCATGTCGGATTGATGAGTCCGGAAGGAAGCAAGTGGAAGCTATCAGTTGATCAGTTGCTGGAGCGATTGCAGGTCGGATGCCTGTTTGTTACCTGTACGACACTCCGTTGGCACTATTTTAGAGTTAATTATCCATTGGCACGACACGGTTTTATCGCCGGAAAAGCATATCCAACTCACACGATAGAGTGCCCCGCGTTATGTCCTCCCTGATCTTCTATTAATAAATGTGCGCCATGGTCGATTGTGCTGTTACTCACAGCAGCGCGGGCGCAGAGTTTAGCCTCTGGGGCAAGGATGTCGGTCAACTTTCCTTTCTATACCATGAACAATGTCAGTATTTCGTCTCCCAATTGCCTCAGAAAGACGTACGCCCTCATCTCCTGTCGAACACGATGGGTTAGCATCATAAGGAACGTTAATGGCATCGTTTGCGATAGCTGTGACCAGCGTAGGCCGCAAAATAAGAGAAAGTTAAGACGCGTCCATACCCCACTGGGAGCCAAGAATTATCGTGATAGCCATGTAAAAGATTAGGGCGACGGTTCTTGGTGGTTGACGTTGTTATCGCTCTTGGAGAAACACATTCAGAAGAGTTTACAAGAAAACCCCCCACCATTATATACCCCGCCGGCGAATAGATACACCGAACTCACAAGCCTTTAGAATCGCAGATTTTAAGTTCGGTGTTTCTTTCTCCCTAGCCCGCCATTAAAGAGGTACCTTAGGTGCTGTGGAGTGGATATCTCACACTCACATTTAGCCTAAACCGGTCACCTTATCTTAGCTAGCTTCCTTACAGAGAGTTAGTATTAGTATTATATTTTCCTTCCATTCAATCTCCCAAGGCTTCAATTCAGGTGCCCTCTTGGCCAGTTAGACCTCACTAGAATTGCATTTACAACCTTGTTCTACTCCGCACTGAAACCATGATACCTGGCTGACACTACGGCCCTGGACTAGCTAAATCCAGTCTAGCACACCTTCCCCTAAGGCTGAGCAGTGGACCCTCGTTTCCGATCAAATTACGCGATTGGCCAGCTCGCATTTGACTGCGCACTCTTTGGCGAGCATACGATCCATCTCGCATTTCTACATGTCGGACTAATGAGGCGTTGCAAACAACCTCATTTTAGAAACAGAAATAATGCTTATAAGGCCCCCAAATCCCATCTCACCATGGATCTGTATCATTCTCATCACCGACATTCACTATGCATTCTAATCTTGGAGCTCTTATTCTTTATCTCCTTTCGGGATCTGCTTTAGCATCCGCAATCCCCACACAAACACAAACCCACGATGTTACCCTTGTAGCTCGTGCTACGGCGATAGAAACAGCTGCACCAGAGGGATGGTTCACCACTACAAAAAACATCGCTACCATCGGCGGTGTAACAGATAAATACGTTACCATCCCCGCCAAAACAATCTCAATTGTCGTACCAACATGCGTTCAAACCCTCGAACCCGATGAAAACGGATATCTTCCCCCAGGAACATGTAATGCCCACTGGAACTACTATCCCAGCTTCGCAGCTGCTTTAGCATTCGCTTTACTCTTCGCAACACTTACGGGCGTGCACATTTGGCAGGCTGCTCGGTATAAAAAGGTCCGTATGTTCTACTTTTGTTGTAACCTTCCTGGGATGAAGGCTAATGAGTGCAGACATGGTGTTGGGTTATTATCATGGCGGGGATCTGGGAAACCACGGCGTTCACCTTCCGAGCGATAAGCACCAAACATCAACAGAGCACAGGTGTACTCTTGACGTTTAACATATTTATTCTTCTCGCGCCAATTTGTAGGTCAAACACAGTCCTTTTATAACGCATTACTAACAATAGCAGGGGTTAATGCGTACGCATACATGACTCTCGGCCGAATGGTCTACTACTTCGTACCATCTCACTCCCTCCTTCGCATGCCTGCTGCTACTCTAGCTGCTATTTTCGTCGCCCTCGATATCCTGTCATTTATCGTCCAGCTTATAGGCGGGAGTATGTCTGGACCCGGTTCACCACCTGACGAGCAGATGAAAGCCGTGCATATCTACATGGGCGGTATTGGTCTTCAAGAGTTCTTCATCGTCATCTTCGTTGTCCTCTGCATCCTCTTCCAAAAGAAGATGCACACAATTGAGCCTCAACACAAGGGTCTCAAAGCCTTCTTCACGTCCGACTGGGGCATGCTTCTCGGCACATTATACTTCTCACTAGCCATGATCTCTGTACGCATTATCTACCGACTCATTGAGTTCTCTGGTGGAATGGGTCAAGACAACGCGCTTGTTACACATGAGGTGTACTTTTACATCCTTGAAGCAGCGCCTATGTTTTTGGCGCTGTTGGCGTTCAATGTTGTTCACCCAGGACGGATCATGACGGGTCCTAACTCGGATATGCCTGGATTGTTCTCTTTTATCAAGAATAAGATTCGGGGACGGAAGGGAAAGCAGTTGTTGGATGACCGGAGTGATAGTGATGTTGAGATGAATACTCGGTATGAGCCGACTAGAGAAGTTGGACATTATGACACTGAACCTCCGCGTTATGGATAAATGGTTGCTTTGAAGTTAAGGGCTACAGGAACTTCTGGGAGTATCTGGGTCGGAGTAATTTGTTTGGGAGGTTGTGGCAGCTTGGGAGTTTGAGACAACGTGTAACAAAATGGTACTTCGTCTGTTTTTCGTATAGAGCATAGAAATACCTTATTCCATCTTGTTTTTAAACAAAAGTGCCAAGTGCCTTCTTGCCAAGTAAACGTATATAATTGCCATGATTATGGTCTTCTCAATGTAGTCGGCGCAGTAGATTAAAAAACAAATTGAGTATTGGGACAGCTTCAGGGTAATACTCGTAACAACATCTCAAATCTCAAATTGGGTCGCCCTCACGAAACTCTTCTGCTCAGGACCAGTACTTCGATACCCACATGACTTTATAGTCACTCTTGCAATCGCATGATAAGATAGGTACCTGAATTATTAAAAATTAGGCATCATATATTATTATACCACAGATTGATGCAACATATGCTTGCGAATTTGCCTCTTTTTGTGTACTCCAAGGTCACGATACGAAAATCCGGGAATGTGGGCTTGTGGAGCTTCAATGAACCACGACGTTGATGCGACGTCAAACAATACACTTGTACCTCATCGGATGATACGCCACCAACTGATCTTGTCTCACAATTGAAATGTCGCCATACTTTGCCCTCGGCTTAAAGCGGCATGTTGATCTTGTCTCCCACACGTGTATTGTGATGTCATTCCTCTTGACGTCACCATATCGTAGAGGAGCTTAACTTAAGGTCCCTTCAAGCTCTCAAGCTCACTTGCAATAAACAAACCATCAACACAACCAAAACAAACTCCCTAAACAACAAATTCAACAATTCAACAATCGTCAAAATGCGCTTCCTAACCACTCTCCGCCCAACGACCCGTCTCGCCCCGCGCATCTCCCTCCGTCCCTTCCACGCCGCCCGCATTCTGCATCAAGACGAAGTCAAAGACAGCAACGGGAGTTTCATCGACGGTCTTGCAGAAGGTGACGCAAAGGGACGCACAGGTGGTGGTGAAGCCCTCGACGCGACGTCTAAGAATGCACCTCCTCAGCCTAAAGTGTCGAACCAGAGTATTCCGGGGAACCAGACTGATGAGTTGACGGAGGAGCAGAAGAAGGAGGTCGAGGAGCATAATAGGGACTTTGATGAGAAGCATGATCGGGGGAATGTGGCGCCGGGGGATAAGGTTGATAAGAAGTTTTGGGGGGATGGGAGGCATGGGGAGAAGGATGAGGAGAGTGCGACGCCGCCTAAGGAGAAGTGAGGGTGGTACTCTTTGTCGGTCATGATCTTGATGTTGACGGATGCAAGGAAGATGACGGCCCGTGGGAAATAGGTACACGTTATAAATGGGGTCAATTGAACCAGTTTCGTGCGTCTGAATGTCTTGATGGCGTTGTGTTTGCCCATTCCATGTCAGAAGCCCTTGGTGAATTATTTGTTTTGCAATATTCTTGGGACCACCACGATAAATTTGAGGCACAAGTCTGCTTGATTCTATCGCTGGAAGCAGCATGCCCGCCTATCATTTGTGACCATACCAAAGGATTCTAAGTTCAGCGTGTGTATCATCTATACTACCTCTAGTATGGAGGCAGGATGTTGACCTCTACCCCGAGGCTATTGATGCCGATGCTCCAAATCACCGCATTCCTGCCAGATACTCACTCAAGAACTGGGATCCTGCCCAAGAGACCATCCATCTCATAGGTTGACGCTAACAGTCTTGGGAAATGGATCTAAGACTGGACCGTCTCCCATTCATGGTCCACAAATTACAATTTAAGCCAATCGCATAACACGGCGTACTGTCATTCCTTACAGGTAGGACCGCATCCCATCCCCCCATGCAGATGTTTACGAAAGGCCTCATTGTATTTCTCCATCTCGGGCGGGTATTCGCGCGGGGCAGGGCCATAGTAAAGGACCTCAGCATCATTAAGTTTCTTTCGGCGAGTCACCAACTCTCGCGAATAGTTCCGAGCGAACCAATATTCCACAAAGTCAAATTCACCGAAGAGACGAACACGGAAGGCCTCTTCATGTCCGGGCCTGGGCCTGGGGTCCGCTTCCACCATCTTGACCTAGTATTATGGTCTGAACTTTTCGCGAGCATTCCGGGGAAGACCCTTGGGCGCTTTGGCAAGTTGAGCTAACGTCTTAGCATCTAGTATAATACATGTGGTATAGCGCATATCGCTAGCGATAAAGGCAACCTCCTTGGATGTAATCTGTTTTTGAAAATACCTGCATACTGTGGCTACTAACGTGCCGTTAAGTTGTTCATCTTCTAGAATATTATTCTGGTAGCGACGCATAAACTCCTCGTTTGGCCGGGTATCAACGTCGGTAGGAATCTGGGCAGATGGGGGCTTGAACTCGTTATAACGGGCGAAATGTCTCTGGACATCGAGGACCTCAGACTTAGACCATACTTGGGCTATACGGCCAATAAGACCAAGGGCGTGCTAAAACTGTTCATCTGTTTCGGGGCCATAGGCGGTATATATAATAGCAAACCCCCATTAATAGGGTTTATGGCCATAACTGAAGCATATAATTTGCTCTAAGTATAAGAAAATGCTGCGATGGCATTGAGGGCCTCCTGGGAAGGGTAACGTCTGTAAATCGGGTCGAATTATCTACATGGGATATTTGCTAAGATCAGCATCGGATTCTGCCATGGTATAGAGAATGATCAAGAGTTTGTGAACGAAAAGGAAGAAGAGATCGTGCGGTGGGTGGATTGCTGGGGATCAATTTGTAGTGGGCTGACCAGCTACGAGGTTGCTGCCTGCGAGCCTGCTCCACTTGAGATCCTTTTCCAATTTGATTCTTGTATCCAGAAAAGGAAACCACATGCAAATGGCCGGCAATTCGTGATCTTGCAACAGATGACACGAGAGGAAGCTTGCTTATCTAATCGTCAACGCGTAGGTGTTGGTAAGAATGGTGTTGGGCATCGAGGCCAGATGTGGTTATTGTGTCACGGGTTGGAAGATGGGAGAGCGCGACCTTCTGGGGAGAAGTAAGTGGCACTCGATGTGAACCAGAACGCAGTGTAAGACAGATGAGTGTTGGGACTACCTACATGACATCATCCCGGCAGGTTCGGATTTCTGAGGGCCATATATGCGGTGACACCTCGAGAATGTCATGCATGCAGGTAGTGAGCGTTGTCAGGGTTGTTTTAGTCCTGCCAGGGCCAAAAGACGGCAGCGAAACCGCCTGGGTCACCCGATGTCAGGGCCCTATGCACCTAGGTAGTTTTAGCTGCATATTCAGCAAAGTCTATATTTTCAGTTCAGTTCAGTTAATGTCTCGTCTCATTCAGCCAGGTAGATGGTAATTGGCTGTATTGTATCTTTCGGCAGGGATTTGTGCGGTAACAGTGTCCAAGCTGAGAAATGATGTACCAGTACGCTCGAATCATGAAGGGCAATCGCAAGGCAAAATACTTCCATCCGCGTGCGCGCTGATGCCGGGGAAGTTGATGTATTCCGTTGTTACTGCACTCTTGTTAACTTACTTAACCATCCGTTTCCTGATCATGTTACATGATGGGGATGTGCAGAGATAGGGCCTGAGCTCCCGCCATGATTGACAATGGCACCTGCGCAATGATAACGCTTGTGATTGAGAATGCCTTGCACGATACATGTTTTCGTAAAATATGCTGTTGCGATGATTCCCATCACCGTACGTACTAATGCCGTTTATCGCATGTTAGGATATGTGTACATACTGTATCCCATTGCCACGAAGAAAAAGGGCAAGGGGATATCGTTACAGCCCCGCTCGATGACTTTTTGTTCAGCTTGTACCTTACAAAGAAGTTCGCCGGAGTTCGTTGAGCCGCTAGATCGTGGGCATGGGCTGCGGCACACAAGCCTCCCCTCCCTTAGGTTCCTGTCATAGGATGCCGACATGTGTGGAAGGGGGTGAGGTACAATGCCTCTGGACATGTGTGACGAAGCAACACGACAATATTATTCCTTTGAGAAGTCTTGGCATAAACACATGGATACAGGTCTCGAGGTAATATCAGGCAAGGGCCTGAATTGCCGTCCCTGTCGGTCTCAAAGATTCACAACAGGGGTGGCATCATATAGGATCAACATTGAAGTACGCAAAGGAAAAGGGGAAAACAAATATTTAAGGCAACTGCAGCATCAGGGGGTCAGCGAGTGACATACCATCAAGTTTCGAAGCCCGGAATGTTCGCCGCTGCATCTCCCACATAGACCCGCTACAGGGGTATCTCAGGATGCGGAGCATCGTTTCATTTTCATCTTGTCCTTTGCTTGAGAAAGCTTGTCTCGATCGAAGAAAGAAAACCACGGCAATCTCAGCGATTCAACGAGGCTTCGAGTATCTATGGTTGTTTCGTCTGGGCAACTCTTGGCATCACAGTCAAACTGTCCGCAGTCCACCATTCTCCGACTTCAGCAAAGCGGTGTTGACGTTGTTTGCGTACGGACATTGAGAATTGGTATGATGTCCTTGTGCAATAGGCGAGCCGAAACATTTTGTCGAAGCTAGAAACGGGATCTAAGGCTCGCGTACGCTAAGAAACAAGAGCCCGGGAATTATGTGGTTAGCGTCAGCCCGTTGGCGCTAACTGCGCCGTCCAGACTCCACGGATCTCGAGGACAGGGATCTCATTAATTACTTCCCTGGCCCTAGGTATGACATTTGCTGTGTCTTTTGACCGCAATGGTTCGCCATCAACAGCCTTAATTAACAGATATCCACGGTTCTGACATTTTATTAACACACTAATAACGATGAATGTGACCTATGGGTATACACTACCGAATTTCGTGTGTTGATGCGGCAGAATGCCCAGAGAACGAGAACACTTATCCCCAAGTCCCCAACAGTCTCATTGGAACTTAAAATGGTTGTGGTAGAGTATGAATCAGAGCGAAACTCTGAGAGTTAGCGTTTCCCGAATTAATATGTATTCTCTCCATTTTTTGATGAATCAAAATAAACAAGCGCAACAGTTTGAGTAAATAGCATGGAGATGGCTTTCAACCAACATGGAGCGCGTCGTCTTCCAGCTTGAGAAGAGGCCATACTAAGGTACGTACGGAGTTGGCTTGGCATCAAGATGAAATCCTTATATGAGAATAGTCCTGGCAAAGATACATCTAGTTCATGGATGGATGTTCTTGCGCGCTCGTTGGAACGGACAACTCAGGCCCGGCCACGGCGAGGAATAGTGAGACATTAGACTTAACTCGTCACCAGTGCACCAACCGATCAGGGCTCAAAATTTAGAGCAGTTAGGATTATTGCTTCCGACGGAAGGCCCATGTAAGTCAACCGCTAATGCGGTGATCAACGTCTACAATCCCAGATTGCGGGTATGAGTGTCTTCTAGCTAGTACCAGCTTGTGATCACGCCAAGGAGTAGGCGGGGTCTTGGCCATGCACATGTAGGTCGGGCTGCATTGCATGTCGCACCAGAATAGGATTGAGTGTTCCCCATGGAAGGCTTCTGCCGGTGCCAACAAACCAACGGCGGACTGAAAGATTGACTTACAGAACATGTTCTAGGGACCAGATGCTAGAGTCCACCCCGAATGTGGGATGCGTGGGAGAACGTGATGTCGCCAAAAAGAATTAAGTGTGGTATGCCAGGCAGGGTGTGACGCAGACCACTTTACGCCCCCAGTCCGCTTCAATTTTGTCCATAGATGGTCTGTTGACAGCAAAAAGAATTATGACAGTTCAATGGGATTATAGTATCTGCAACGGAATAACTCGAGTCCCAGATGGGTAGACAGAATTCCAGACCTTTTCTAGAGTTTTTCTCGAAGATTTCCCTAGACTCACAACAGAAGGTCTCTCGTTGGCTGAGTGTTCCCCTACTTAACCAAGATGGGAGTTGAGCCTAGCAGGACGCTGTTATTCTGAAATCACAATCATCAGATGTGCGTCTCCGTCTCCGCGCGCATTGATGGCTTTTATTTTTTCGCCTTCTGCCGTCTTTTCTGTTCGGTCTCTCCGACAGCTGAGTTCGCGGCAACGGACCCTCCAGATCTCGCCCAACTCTATCTAACCCATGTCATTCCAGCTTGTTGTACAGAACAGATCTAGAGTTGTGACAGTTACCATCGGAGATCTTCAACGGGTACCTTGCATATTTCTACTACAGATCTTAATAGGTCTGGCCATCAAGCCGCATCGCTGTCTTAACAGGGCCCTACTTTATAGGCGCAAAACTTCGAGTTTATACCTGCAAAGATAATTGAG